AACGCAAAAGGCAACGAGAACGTCAAAAAAGCAGTAGGTTTAATAAGCAAACCAGGTTTGCACGAGCGACACACTCTTTCGAGCTTTTCGTTGCCGTCACTGCACGACTACAGTACGACGGGAAATTTCCTCATATGAAAAACTCTAGGAGACTTAGGCCTTGTCCACACCGAGGCGTTTTCGTTTGAAAACGCATACATTTCGATGTGTTTTGGCCTTCCGTCCGCACTAATACGCAGAGCGTTTTCATCGCAAACGCATCGATTTGAAAACGAAAACGCATATATATGCGTATTAGTGTGGACGGTCGAAAACGCATCAAAAAAAAAAACGATGACCGAAAACTTCGCAGGCGCGCGTGTTTGTGGCATGCGCATAGAGTTTCACTTACGTCACAACGAGCAATACTATCGTTTTCGAAAGTTTTAGGGAGGCTTGTAGAAAACGCATTAAAACGGTAGTGTGGACGGGAATCGATCGATGTGTTTTCAGTGACAACGAAAACGCATACTTTTCAAAACGCCTTCGTGTGCACACGGCCTTATTTTATATCTGACAAAGTAATCGCGATGAATATTAAAAGAATGAGAGTTCATTTTTTAAGCGACTCTTTCGACGGCGCGCCATCGGCGGATCTGAAGGTCCCTCGTATCAGTTTAGACGCTCAAACTTGGGTCCTTGAATTGGCATGATGGATTAGTAGGCTTGGACGAAGCACAGGCATACCAAGGTCATGGACAGGAACGTGGTACGGCTGAACTTCTTTCTAGAGAGGTACGCTCGGCTACATGAGTCGACTGTCTTGATCGGTCGATAGGTAAAATCAATCGTAACATACTCTCAGGCGCTCTTCAACTGTTTCGTTTCATGGTGAGAATAGTTCATTACGGGAGATCGACTATAGCCTGTTCACAGACCCTCTATTTTCTCTTTAGAGATTTTCGAGTGCGTGTATGGAAAAAAACACGGCGGGGGATTCATTGAACGAAAGTTCAAGTGGGTGGTGATGGGGAAAAGAGAAAAAGACGAACATCGATTTCTTTTTTTTTCTCGCGCTCGCTCTTGTGCACTCGCTTGGTTCGCGCGCTGTCAAACTGTCAAAATAAACTTGCGCGCTGTAGAACTGTCGGAAAAAAAACGTCTGTAGGCAGGCAACATCGACGAATCTGCCGATAGTTCACAAGCGTTTTATTGGATTTTTTGTCTACAGCCTCACATAAAAAACAACAGCAACAACAAGACAAAAGTTACACACCAACCTGGGAGTAGTTAAACGAAGAATTCTGCAGAGCACTTCTTAAAACCTTCAAGTTGTCGTTGTAGACAATGGAAGAAGAATCAACATAGCTTTCATTAGCTCCAAGCTTGTGACTTCTGAAGAAGCCTCCGCAAGCGTAGGAGTAAAAATCATTACATGGATCCACACTTTTGTTCAGCTGATTGGAGATATCTTCAATAACAAACAAAAGTCTCAAATTAGCAAAACGCGAAAGTCAAACAGACGCTTCGAAGGTCAACCTCGCGCCCAGGGCTTATTCTTTTCCTGCCACTCCAAGCCTGCAAACCCAGACGTATTTCCGGTCGTCGCTTTAGCCGAAAATACGTCTGCGTTCTCAGGCTACCCCCTCCCCTTTTCTAAGCCATTGGTTTAGCTACTAGGGTCTAAAGGGTCTAGTTTCGAAAGCAACTGTTGAGCGGGGTCGGTTGGGATGTGAGACACAACAGTTTGGTTTTATTGGAAATGAGTTGTTAAAGTGAGTTTTCCGCAATAAAAAGGGTGAAAAGCGGACGTTTTAAGCGCTAAGTAACAATCTTGGACAACAAGTGTTCAGAATTTGCACTTTCTTACCCACAGAACGTCTATCCCGTGGATTTGGTACCGCTATGGCCCCTCCTCTCACCCCACCCTGGTCAAAGTTGTTTGGTCGGGATCAGAAATGATCCAGCCGGACTTCAACATTGTTTTTGGGGGAAGGAAGAGGGAGTATTTGTAGTTGCCAGTGCCTTCAAGAGCTTTATCTTGAAAGTAGACATGGTAACGACCATTTTTCTCAACATTTTTGTCCACGATTATAAGCGAATAAAGGTAGATTGTTTTCTACTTTCTGGGATTTTTGTCGTTGGTAAAATTAAAGGACAACGCAACTCTTGAGCGTCTCAGGGGCCTACGAGACAATGAAGAAATGTTACCTATATATAAGGCTTAATAATGATTTGCCTCTATAAATAATGCAACAAATACCACAAACCTTTAGAAATTTCATAGCACAGGGCAGTCTTGCAAATTTTTGGTGCTAGAAGAGAAAACAAAACAAAACCATCACTGTGAGGAGGAATTTTTAAACATCCAAGTACGTAACAATCATGCATTGGACCTGTAAGATGCCCGACTAAACAGCCCACATTTGAAGACGCCATCACTGGTTTCGGGCAAAATGACGTCTGAGAAACGAGCGCAAAACTTCCATACTGATGACGCGTCTCTACAAAGATCTGGGTAGTGCTTTTGATAGCCTGCGTAGCCAGAGTGACGGGGGGGGGCGGAGAGAAAAGAAGGAGGGAGGAAAGAAGGAGAGGGGATTGGGGAAAGAAGGAAGGGAACGCCTGCTATAGTAATCCCGCTTTGTTCACCTCTGCGGACACTGGCGTCCCCAAATTCTTATTGCGTTAATCAGACAACAAGCTTGTTCAGCAAACCAAACTGGCGATTTCAGTTAGCCTGCGTCGTGTTGTCAAACAATTTCCGAACGATGACTTCTCCGTTACGATTCAAAATCAATGCCGGTGCCTTAAGCTGAGTACTTGGTTTTCCTGTAATATCTTCCATACTACAATAATTCAACAAAATATCGGCATCTTCTCCAGCGAGTGTGAGTGTTACTTGCTCAGGCGTGTGTGTATAAAATGTTTTAATACCAGCAATTCCCTAGCTTTCTGCAAACAAGGTCTTTCTAGAATTAACCTTTCCAGGACTTTTTTTCTTTCAGCTGTTCACCGTCAGATTCGAGACGTTTCGTTCTTACATCGCTTCTTTCTGGCGTGATAGTAGTGGGAAGCTGTCTTTTCCTTCGATCTTCCACAGCCTCTCAATGTAAATCTTCCTCGACGTGTTGCTCTCTTGATGAAACTGTTCAGTTGAGCTGCGTTTCTAATTTTGCGACCACAAGGTCTGCAAGACCTGTTCTGACAAGTTTTCGTTTCTGGTTAATCACAACCCAATAGAGCCGCAACAATGAGCTAAAATCAGCCCCGCACTTTCAACTCTTCCCGACGACGAAAATAAATTTTCCAATGAGGCTCGTCCTCCCACAGAAGTGAAGTTAACTCCACAAAATCTGCTATTGCTATTTTTTTTAGCGTTTACATTGGGTTTCCGTCCCCTTTTACAAATTTTTGTGGGAGTCGCGGTGCCGACATTCCGTTGCGAAGATTTTCTCAAGTTTTACAGCTACGAAACCGCTTTCCCGCGTGAGGTCATTCATGCAGAAAAGCGTGCACCTAATTCTGATTGGTCGTTGAAGTGACAGCTGGGATAATTGAAATAAGGGGCGAAGAGCAAAAGACGCGGCTTTTGTAACAGGCGTTCCCTTCTTCTCTTTCTTACACTCCCATCCCCCTCCCTCCCCCCCGCCACCACTTTAACGTCTGCTATGCAGGCTATGCTTTCAACTGATCGTCCCGCGTAGGAAATTTTTTTCAGCTCGTTTCTCAGACGTCATTTCGTGGGGAAACCAGTGGTGGCGTGGCTAAATGTCCGCTGTTTTCTGTTTTGGAAAGCATTAGATAACATCGACCTAAACCAGATGAGTCAGATGCTCCACAATCGTGATTTTTATACTGTAGTAAACGTGTGGAAAATACAAATTAGCCGGGGGACACTTGTACAAAGTGCGTGCCACTGCTGGAAAATCCTCTTGTCTGTTTCAGTTAAATTAAATATCATAAAACGGGTAATAGTGGCAATTTCATACGCTTTTTAAAATATAAAGCTCCAAGGTTCATATATCCTGAATATGGATCGTATGCGACTTAAAATAGAGATAACCACGGTGTATCGCTTGATTCTGCTCCCGCCATTGTCATTCACACAGTATTCTTAGATTTGGCGCCAATTGTTGACATTGTTGGCATGTGATTGTGGAAGTAGAACTTTTTTTATTATGAACTTCTTAAACTTTCTTAGGTGAAAGTCGAAAAGCTGGAAAACTACTGTTTGAGACTCAAATGACAACATGGGATGGGATTCGCACTCTCGCGGGATTTATTTTATTTCGGTTTTTTCGTAGCCGCAGCCGAGTTCCGGTTTGGTTTCGGTCGCTGTTAGATAGGATTTCGTGACGTGTTGACACTAAATAACATCGACCGAAGCCAGCGTTCCTTGGGAAGACCATACTGCCGCGTCGTTCAATGCAATACAGCTGAGTCTATTACAGATTTAACATTTTTTTAGTGATATAAACTGGAAACGACAGTATTGACCGTTTTATAACTCAAACTAACTCAAATATGTTAAACATCTTCGCTGCGATCGATCAAGTGAGCGGAAGTCGACGGGATCATTTCAGTCATTTTGTAAGACGCCGCTGACATATCGATGACTCGTCTGGTTTAGGTCGATGTTTTAATATCTGGTGCTTTCCTTCTGTTTTTACCATGGCAACTGACTTTTGACAGCCATGTTAAGCACCGTTTTACCTTGCGCTTTATTTTAACAGCATTAGATTGTTGTAAAGACACCCCTGTGTCTTAGTTTTGTTTCGTTTCATTTTTAGCTGTGACCTCTATGTAGATAATAATAAAAAAAGCGCATTGTTAAATTTAAGTACACATTTTGAATTAACTCCAATAAGAGAGATTTGCAAGGTTCCCGGATTTTTCTCCATGATCCTCAACTTCAGATTGCGTATTCCAAATTCCAGCTCAGCTAACCGGACTTAAAGCATTGCGGCAGGGCTCAAAATACGGACAATGTCCGGCCTGATCGTGGACTTGACCGGTCAAACTCTCGTCTGGCCGATCATTTTGACCGGTCATCTTTGGATACGAACATTTTATAATATTTTCCATAAGTTGTCGCTTAATGCGTTTTGCTCAGTCTATAACGCTGTAGTGACTTCTTTTCTCTTTGGCTTTTTTTTCTTTGCTGCTTCGCATTAAAGGCTGTAAAGAAAAAAAGGACGCCGCAATAAATTTCATGTCGTCATGTCGTAATTGAAATGCAACAAAGCGAAACAACAACGAACTGCTGGAGTGACGCAACGATGCAGCAGGTGGTACTGTGCTTTCTGCTTGTGCTAAAGTCAATAGTGTCACCGTCTTTGGGAAAAAATACACTAACGATAATCTGTTATCCGTTAGAAAACTAAAGGATAGCTAAAAGTTTTGTCCATCTGATAAACTTTCTTTTTCAGCACTCTGCTGAACGTAACTCAGTCCACCTCTGATAAAGGTTATTTTTGTGTCTACTGATGAAGAAGGCTTCTCCACTGGTAAACGATGCTTTTTAATGTCGTTTACTGATGGGGTCGGCGAAAAGGAGAGGAACTCCACCAAAATCAGCCAGTTAAACTTCCAAGGTTTATTTTCCTTACTCGCAAGGCGGTTGTACATTCTTCCTGATGTTCCTCTCTTTCTCTATCTATAACTGCTTACCCTTCTTCCTTCAGTTCCTTAGCAGCTCGCTATTTGTTTTTGGTCGTTTATTGTTTATTTTTTCCTCCATTTATTTATTTTACAAGCCATTTATATTGTATTGCAAGATTGAAGAATTAAAGATGCTATTTGTAGAATTAAATATCAGGTTACAAGAATAAATGGAGAGGGCAGGATATAGTTAAACAAATTACTTGCCCTTTGATTAAATTACAGTTTTATTTAGGTAAAAAGAGAAAAAAAGAGAAAAGTATAAACCCTATAAACTATGAAAAATATATGAAAAATATTCAAAAGAGAGGAAAAAAGAAAAGCACATACACACACACATAAAAAAATGTAACATTTGAGAGTCGGTGTGGCGATGATTAATACTGAGCAAGATAATAGTTGAAAAGTGCTCTTTAAAACAATTTTTTAGTTGTTTTTTCACGTATAGATAAAGGAATATCATTCCAATAATAGCATCCTATGACTGTAGGACAGAATTTTCTTAAATTTATTCTAAAGCTACTGGGATTTAGGTGTTGCAGGGATGCACTTCTTGTGTCTTCATTCTATTCATTTTGGTCGTTGACCATATGTCTACATATATAATAATGCGTAGGATGTATCTGCCAACAAAAAAGAGCCCGCCACAAAACCCTATCTAGCTAAGTCAATTACTAAAAACGTAGAAATGTCCATTTAAAAGATAACTATCTTCCGAGGGATGTCAAATTTGGAGACAAGATGTCCCATTCTCAAAAAGCACAATGTTAATATTTATGTTTCTGCATGCAAAGCTTACTAGTAAATTGCCTATTCATTACGTTACATTTTTAAAGGTAAACAGTTAGAATGCTCTAGAACCTTAAAAGCCTATTGATCGGATATTTATCGAACTTTTATTAACTTTCCATATATCTTCAAAATCGGGAAGATAAGTCCTATAACACATCTAACGTTTCACATCTAACGTTTCACATCTAACGTTTCACATGATCTGCTTGTAAGAGGAATGTGAAAATCAACTTCGACAGAATTTGGGGATTGTCCCTCAAATACCGAGAGCTGAAATAGTTAATCATTACACATAGCAATTGAAAAAGATCAATTAGTGATTATTCAGAGGAATAGTAGGCACAGAGGAACCAGTGTGGGCAAAGAGGAACATTAGGCACGGAGGCAAATCGATCGCAATTCTTACCAGGTCGTCCGGCAGCTGTTTCTCCGGGAATAACTTTTAGCACATCGATTTTATAACAATTTCTTTATGTCGAACATGAATCTCGTTTTCAGACTCGATTCCAGAATAGTCTGATAAAAAAATTTAAGCTAATCGAGAACGAACGTTGTCTATCCCTCATTCTTGTAAAGAGCTTTACGCAAATTTCTGTTGACGTTAATGAGCCCTTCCCGATAAAGTGTTACGCGACGACCCAAACGAAAGCTCTGCTGTATATTTATTGACTTCTGATGATAAACACGCTGTTTGTGGAACGGATTTGCCCCAAATAAACTTCTTTACCGAAAATATTTAGTGTTGTTCTTCTTTGTAGAGGAGACTTTCGATCACGTGCCGGGCAACGAAAAAGATCAAGTTTTACCGATATGCAGATATGGGACGACCCTTGGGGATTTCAGACACCGCCGTACGATGATACTCAAGGTATAACGGACATGAAAACGGGCAAAAACCGCGGAAAGGAACTCAAGAACGTGTGAATGAATTTTTCACCTACTTGCTGCCAAAAAGCTGAACGTGAATGCACTACAACGATCTATTGCCAGCGTAATTCGATATTCCATTAGGCAAAAAATATATATATATATTATAGTATCTTGACCGGCCAAAATTGGGGTTTGTCCGGGCTAAAAAATATTTGGCCGGTCATCAGGACCGGCGACCTGCTGTCCGATATTTTGAGCCCTGTTGCGTGAAATAATAAGGACGGGACAGATCGTCAATAACCCGGAATAGATCTTGCGTAAAACGTCAGACACAACTCAACCGAAAAAATTTATACGAGAATTCAGGGGCACCCAACGTCAATTTTTGGAAAATATCTGTTCGGAACACGATTTGAGATCTAGAATTTTCGGAACATTTGTACTAAAATTTTTTGCTTGCTTGCCTCGCTTAAGTTTTTCGAAAATCTGAAAAATGGTACAATTGCCCATTTTTAACGGATTTTTACCCCAAGAAGGTCACCTACAATTCTCGGGAGCCTTTTTTCTGGCTGAAATTTTCGAAAACGTAAGTTTTGATCCCTATAATTTTCGGATCACTAGACTTTCAGCTAGGAAATCCGAACAGATGTAAAATTTTTAGGGGATGAAAATATGCCTATATCTACCATTTAAATACTAAAATACGTTTAACAATTAAGTGGTTTTGAACTATGTTCTCGTTGGGTGCCCCTCGTCTCACTCCACCCTGGTCAAAGTTGTTTGGTCGGGATCAGAAATGATCCAGCCGGACTTCAACATTGTTTTTTGGGGGAGGAAGGGGGAGTATTTGTAGTTGCCAGTGCTTTCAAGAGCTTTATCTTGAAAGTAGACATCGTAACGTCTATTTTTCTCAACATTTTTGTCCAAGACTGTAGGCGAATCAAGGCAGATTGTTTTCTACTTTCTGGGAATTTTGTCGTTGGTAAAATTAAAGGAGAACGCAACTCTTGAGCGTCTCAGGTGCCTAAGAGTCAATGACGAAATGTTACCTATATAAGGCTTAATAATGATTTGCCTCTATAAATAATGCAACAAATACCACAAACCTTTAGAAATTTCATAGTACGGGGTAGTCTTGCAAATTTTTGGTGCTAGAAGAGAAAACAAAACAAAACCATCACTGTGAGGAGGAATTTTTAAACATCCAAGTACGTAACAATCATGCATTGGACCTGTAAGATGCCCGACTAAACAGCCCACATTTGAAGACGCCATCACTGGTTTCGGGCAAAATGACGTCTGAGAAACGAGCGCAAAACTTCCATACTGATGACGCGTCTCTACAAAGATCTGGGTAGTGCTTTTGATAGCCTGCGTAGCCAGAGTGACGGGGGGAGGGGGGGGGGGGGGGAGAAAAGAAGGGGGGAGGAAAGAAGGAGAGGGGATTGGGGAAAGAAGGAAGGGAACGCCTGCTATAGTAATCCCGCTTTGTTCACCTCTGCGGACGCTGGCGTCCCCAAATTCTTATTGCGTTAATCAGAAAACAAGCTTGTTCAGCAAACCAAACTGGCGATTTCAGTTAGGCTGCGTCGTGTTGTCAAGCAATTTCCGAACGATGACTTCTACGTTACGATTCAAAATCAATGCCGGTGCCTTAAGCTGAGTACATGGTTTTCCTGTAATATCTTCTATACTACAATAATTCAACAAAATATCGGCATCTTCTCCAGCGAGTGTGAGTGTTACTTGCTCAGGCGTGTGTGTATAAAATGTTTTAATACCAGCAATTCCCTAGCTTTCTGCAAACAAGGTCTTTCTAGAATTAACCTTTCCAGGACTTTTTTTCTTTCAGCTGTTCACCGTCAGATTCGAGACGTTTCGTTCTTACATCGCTTCTTTCTGGCGTGATAGTAGTGGGAAGCTGTCTTTTCCTTCGATCTTCCACAGCCTCTCAATGTAAATCTTCCTCGACGTGTTGCTCTCTTGATGAAACTGTTCAGCTGAGCTGCGTTTCTAATTTTGCGACCACAAGGTCTGCAAGACCTATTCTGACAAGTTTTCGTTTCTGGTTAATCACAACCCAATAGAGCCGCAACAATGAGCTAAAATCAGCCCCGCACTTTCAACTCTTCCCGACGACGAAAATAAATTTTCCAGTGAGGCTCGTCCTCCCCCAGAAGTGAAGTTACCTCCACAAAATCTACTATTGCTGTTTTTTTTTAGCGTTTACATTAAATTTCCGTCCCCTTTTACAAATTTTTGTGGGAGTCGCGGTGCCGACATTCCGTTGCGAAGATTTTCTCAAGTTTTACAGCTACGAAACCGCTTTCCCGCGTGACGTCATTCATGCAGAAAAGAGTGTACCTAATTCTGATCGGTCGTTGAAGTGACAGCACGGATCATTGAAATAAGGGGCGAAGAGCAAAAGACGCGGCTTTTGTAACAGGCGTTCCCTTCTTCTCTTTCTTACACTCCCATCCCCCTCCCTCCCCCCCGCCACCACTTTAACGTCTGCTATGCAGGCTATGCTTTCAACTGATCGTCCCGCGTAGGAAATTTTTTTCAGCTCGTTTCTCAGACGTCATTTCGTGGGGAAACCAGTGGTGGCGTGGCTAAATGTCGGCTGTTTTCTGTTTTGGAAAGCATTAGATAACATCGACCTAAACCAGATGAGTCAGATGCTCCACAATCGTGATTTTTATACTGTAGTAAACGTGTGGAAAATACAAATTAGCCGGGGGACACTTGTACAAAGTGCGTGCCACTGCTGGAAAATCCTCTTGTCTGTTTCAGTTAAATTAAATATCATAAAACGGGTAATAGTGGCAATTTCATACGCTTTTTAAAATATAAAGCTCCAAGGTTCATATATCCTGAATATGGATCGTATGCGACTTAAAATAGAGATAACCACGGTGTATCGCTTGATTCTGCTCCCGCCATTGTCATTCACACAGTATTCTTAGATTTGGCGCCAATTGTTGGCATGTGATTGTGGAAGTAGAACTTTTTTTATTATGAACTTCTTAAACTTTCTTAGGTGAAAGTCGAAAAGCTGGAAAACTACTGTTTGAGACTCAAATGACAACAATAAAACTGGGATGGGATTCGCACTCTCGCAGGATTTATTTTATTTCGGTTTTTTCGTAGCCGCAGCCGAGTTCCGGTTTGGTTTCGGTCGCTGTTAGATAGGATTTCGTGACGTGTTGACACTAAATAACATCGACCGAAGCCAGCGTTCCTTGGGAAGACCATACTGCCGCGTCGTTCAATGCAATACAGCTGAGTCTATTACAGATTTAACATTTTTTTAGTGATATAAACTGGAAACGACAGTATTGACCGTTTTATAACTCAAACTAACTCAAATATGTTAAACATCTTCGCTGCGATCGATCAAGTGAGCGGAAGTCGACGGGATCATTTCAGTCATTTTGTAAGACGCCGCTGACATATCGATGACTCGTCTGGTTTAGGTCGATGTTTTAATATCTGGTGCTTTCCTTCTGTTCTTACCATGGCAACTGACTTTTGACAGCCATGTTAAGCACCGTTTTACCTTGCGCTTTATTAGCATTAGATTGTTGTAAAGACACCCCTGTGTCTTAGTTTTGTTTCGTTTCATTTTTAGCTATGACCTCTATGTAGATAATAATAAAAATGCGCATTGCTAAATTTAAGTACACATTTTGAATTAACTCCAATAAGAGAGATTTGCAAGGTTTGCGGATTTTTCTCCATGATCCTCAATTTCAGATTGCGTATTCCAAATTCCAGTTCAGCTAACCGGACTTAAAGCATTGCGGCAGGGCTCAAAATACGGACAATGTCCGGCCTGATCGTGGACTTGACCGGTCAAACTCTCGTCTGGCCGATCATTTTGACCGGTCATCTTTGGATACGAACATTTTATAATATTTTCCATAAGTTGTCGCTTAATGCGTTTTGCTCAGTCTATAACGCTGTAGTGACTTCTTTTCTCTTTGGCTTTTTTTTCTTTGCTGCTTCGCATTAAAGGCTGTAAAGAAAAAAAGGACGCCGCAATAAATTTCATGTCGTCATGTCGTAATTGAAATGCAACAAAGCGAAACAACAACGAAGTGCTGGAGTGACGCAACGATGCAGCAGGTGGTACTGTGCTTTCTGCTTGTGCTAAAGTCAATAGTGTGACCGTCTTTGGGAAAAAATACACTAACGATAATCTGTTATCCTTTAGAAAACTAAAGGATAGCTAAAAGTTTTGTCCATCTGATAAACTTTCTTTTTCAGCACTCTGCTGAACGTAACTCAGTCCACCTCTGTTAAAGGTTATATTTTTTTGTGCTACTGATGAAGAAGGCTTCTCCACTGGTAAACGATGCTTTTTAGTGTCGTTTACTGATGGGGTCGGGGAGAAGGAGAGGAAGGTTTATTTTCCTTACTCGCAAGGCGGTTCAACATTCTTCCTGATGTTCCTCTCTTTCTCTATCTATAACTGCTTACCCTTCTTCCTTCAGTTCCTTAGCAGCTCGCTATTTGTTTTTGGTCGTTTATTGTTTATTTTTTCCTCCATTTATTTATTTTACAAGCCATTTATATTGTATTGCAAGATTGAAGAATTAAAGATGCTATTTGTAGAATTAAATATCAGGTTACAAGAATAAATGGAGAGGGCAGGAAATAGTTAAACAAATTACTTGCCCTTTGATTAAATTACAGTTTTATTTAGGTTAAAAGAGAAAAAAAGAGAAAAGTATAAACCCTATAAACTATGAGAAATATATGAAAAATATTCAAAAGAGAGGAAAAAAGAAAAGCACATACACACACACATAAAAAAATGTAACATTTGAGAGTCGGTGTGGCGATGATTAATACTGAGCAAGATAATAGTTGAAAAGTGCTCTTTTAAACAATTTTTTAGTTGTTTTTTCACGTATAGATAAAGGAATATCATTCCAATAATAGCATCCTATGACTGTAGGACAGAATTTTCTTAAATTTATTCTAAAGCAACTGGGATTTAGGTGTTGCAGGGATGCACTTCTTGTGTCTTCATTCTATTCATTTTGGTCGTTGACCATATGTCTACATATATAATAATGCGTAGGATGTATCTGCCAACAAAAAAGAGCCCGCCACAAAACCCTATCTAGCTAAGTCAATTACTAAAAACGTAGAAATGTCCATTTAAAAGATAACTATCTTCCGAGGGATGTCAAATTTGGAGACAAGATGTCCCATTCTCAAAAAGCACACTGTTAATATTTATGTTTCTGCATGCAAAGCTTATTAGTAAATTGCCTATTCATTACGTTACATTTTTAAAGGTAAACAGTTAGAATGCTCTAGAACCTTAAAAGCCTATTGATCGGATATTTATCGAACTTTTAGTAACTTTCCATATATCTTCAAAATCGGGAAGATAAGTCCTATAACACATCTAACGTTTCACATCTAACGTTTCACATCTAACGTTTCACATGATCTGCTTGTAAGAGGAATGTGAAAATCAACTTCGACAGAATTTGGGGATTGTCCCTCAAATACCGAGAGCTGAAATAGTTAATCATTACACATAGCAATTGAAAAAGATCAATTAGTGATTATTCAGAGGAATAGTAGGCACAGAGGAACCAGTGTGGGCAAAGAGGAACATTAGGCACGGAGGCAAATCGATCGCAATTCTTACCAGGTCGTCCGGCAGCTGTTTCTCCGGGAATAACTTTTAGCACATCGATTTTATAACAATTTCTTTATGTCGAACATGAATCTCGTTTTCAGACTCGATTCCAGAATAGTCTGATAAAAAAATTTAAGCTAATCGAGAACGAACGTTGTCTATCCCTCATTCTTGTAAAGAGCTTTACGCAAATTTCTGTTGACGTTAATGAGCCCTTCCCGATAAAGTGTTACGCGACGACCCAAACGAAAGCTCTGCTGTATATTTATTGACTTCTGATGATAAACACGCTGTTTGTGGAACGGATTTGCCCCAAATAAACTTCTTTACCGAAAATATTTAGTGTTGTTCTTCTTTGTAGAGGAGACTTTCGATCACGTGCCGGGCAACGAAAAAGATCAAGTTTTACCGATATGCAGATATGGGACGACCCTTGAGGATTTCAGACACCGCCGTACGATGATACTCAAGGTATAACGGACATGAAAACGGGCAAAAACCGCGGAAAGGAACTCAAGAACGTGTGAATGAATTTTTCACCTACTTGCTGCCAAAAAGCTGAACGTGAATGCACTACAACGATCTATTGCCAGCGTAATTCGATATTCCATTAGGCAAAAAATATATATATATATTATAGTATCTTGACCGGCCAAAATTGCGGTTTGTCCGGGCTAAAAAATATTTGGCCGGTCATCAGGACCGGCGACCTGCTGTCCGATATTTTGAGCCCTGTTGCGTGAAATAATAAGGACGGGACAGATCGTCAATAACCCGGAATAGATCTTGCGTAAAACGTCAGACACAACTCAACCGAAAAAATTTATACGAGAATTCAGGGGCACCCAACGTCAATTTTTGGAAAATATCTGTTCGGAAGACGATTTGAGATCTAGAATTTTCGGAACATTTGTAGTAAAATTTTTTGCTTGCTTGCCTCGCTTAATTTTTTTCGAAAATCTGAAAAATGGTACAATTGCCCATTTTTAACGGATTTTTACCCTAAAAAGGTCACCTACAATTCTCGGGAGCCTTTTTTCTGGCTGAAATTTTCGAAAAGGTAAGTTTTGATCCCTATAATTTTCGGATCACTAGACTTTCAGCTAGGAAATTCGAACAGATGTAAAATTTTTAGGGGATAAAAATATGCCTATATCTACCATTTAAATACTAAAATACGTTTAACAATTCTATGTTTAAGTGGTTTTGAACTATGTTCTCGTTGGGTGCCCGTGAGAATTGTTTGCAATGAGGGATGTGAATACTAATGAATTTTTAAAACAAATGTAGATATGTGAATAAAACTTCTGCATGTGATGTTTTGACACAATATTGGCTTCCGATAGACAAATCCTGACAAATTCACGATGGCTACATGTATCTGTCTCGTCCGACTTTCTATAATCATTCAAACCCAACAAAGTCCGCTTCTCTCTGTGTATGTATATCGCGCGTCTGGGGCACAACCCAGTTTAAGATTTAACAGAGCCGTGTCTAGTTTTAAGACCATCTGTCTTTGGTTTTTGGAATATCGGAGTGGAGCTGAGCTGAGCTGAGGTATTTGTAAAATAATTAAACTCTATCGTATATCGCTGACTTGACATGCAAGCACTTTGATTCTGAAACAGGCGTGAGTATTGCAGGGTTAAGCGCAATTATACTCTGTCGTATGAATATAGTACATGACTTCTAAGCATCTTAAACACTGGCTAACTTTGCTTAAGACAGGTCGGTCATTACCACACACAGACAAGCTACCATTAATTCATGATACATACGTCTGGTTAGAATCCACGCAACAGTAAAAACTGTTTCGGCGACAACAAGGAATATCAGCAGACCCACAAGCAATCGGAGACGATATTTCCTGCAAAACTTGCCAAGCTTGAATCCAACTTCGTCATCAGCGTCACCAAGTAAATCCACAGTATCGTCTGCAGCTGGGCTGCTCAATACAGACATTTTTGAGTATTGTCTACCTCAGTATCGTGGAAGAGAAGATGGATTGCCAGTGAGGAGTTCTTTCCAGCTGCAGCTCGAGGTGTAAGCCGTAGTAGTAAGCGGAAATTCACGCGATTTTCCCAGAAACCCTACCCTACTAACACAGTCGCTTCGATCTTTCCTAGATAAGTCGGGAAAGAGGAAGATCGAACTTATCTATCTTATCTATCTTATCGAACTTAGGACTTATCTAGGAAGATCGAAGGAGACTCTGTTCGCAGGGTACAGAAACCCAGGAACCGCCAGGTGTGCTTTCTTGGTAACGAGACTAACAAACCGGAAATATCTGTGAAAAAACACCTGAAAACATGGATAACCAAAACAATCTAAACAATTTACTGAAAAAATACTACTCAAGTTAAACTAAGAATTACGAAATCGGCCCATTCCCCCGGGCATTTGTCGGGCATTAGCCTGCGAGCAAGCTCTCCGGTGCGTTCTGGCGGCCTTTTCCTCTCTGCCGCCAGAACGCCGCGGGAAAGCTTGCTCGGGCCAGCCCCGCCCGATCACAGTTGTGTAGGGACTTGGGACTCAAGTCCCAAGTCCCCACACACGCGTCCCAATGTCCCCGTTCCCTTGTCCCCGTCCCAGTGTTATACACAGCCTTTCTATCTTTAGTGCTTTCCAGTCCTGTAACCTTCACAGATATATTCATATGCAAAGGACTTGAAAACACAAGAGATTAGTGTGTACAAGTAAAAAGTTTCCAGCATTGTTCGCAATCCATGACAGGCTTTAGCGATAGTGAAACGGGTCAATGCAACGAAACAAAGTTTTTGACACTGACTCCACGGTTATCAACAAAAGATCGCGATCATCTTTTGTCCACAGAAGTACATTGTATGAATCATTTCCGAAGATTTTATATACATTCTTCATAAGTTACTAGAAGTATAAATGGAAATTATAACATCTCAAATCTCTGATCCGTTGTGGACGCCTTAATTATTATACCAACCAAAAAATGAAACTGTCTATTCTTTAAATAATAAAATTTCATACAGCAGATTTTTTTCCATAAAACTCACGTTTCTTAGCAATACTCAAAAGCGAATCAATTAAACCGCAGCGCTCTTCTAAAAAGAAGTATTTCCTTCAAACACAGCACTGGAGGGCAAATACAAGGTATAAGATTTTCAACAACGACTGCCGAATTACCACTTTTTAGTCAAGAAGGTTGTAAAGAAAAACGTAAGCACTGCAGTTTATCATTCTTGTATCTAGACGAAATTATAATTCTCGTGTAAAGTGGCTGTATTATCTACAAATATTATTTGCAGCGGACCGCTAAAATAGTTCATAAATGAGGCCAAATTTCTGTTCAGCTTTATAGCAAAAATAAAGCAGATACAAAGTCATGATCGGATCAGAGGACATTTAAGGCTTGGAGGGAACAACCATTACACGCTGGTATGTACTGCCATAAATGATTTCTCTTAAATTTTCATAAGTCACACTGAGTCGCTCTTTAGATGACACGAGGCTATAAGATAGCGAAGTACATGATTTTGTCTACATACTGTGTACTAAGAAAAACAAACCGCGCACTTTGAGTGTGGCTATACAGTTGAAAAATAACCCATGCCGGATTTCTCTCAAGGTTATCATCACTCCATGCGATGATTATTCTTCACAATCGTGTTCCAGTGAAATTCAAATTGCCGAGACCGGAGGTGACATTGCGCTACCGCTCAAGAATAGAGCACTAGACAGGGTAAAACATTTTAAAAATTTATACTGGAAAGCTATTCCGTGTAATCTAAATCAACGAACGTGGCTCCTCGTGACATGCAAGTTTCAAACACATTTTCGGGGTAAGTTTAAGTTTCTTAAGTGTAAGGTATAAATGAATCAACAAATTGTCGATCAATACTGTAGCATGGACCCATGAAGGCGAATCAAATAAGGACATTTTATAAATCTTATACTTGAAACTAGCCTTTTCGTAACATCGCTACAACATGCACGTCAGTTCAATCTCTACAAACATGCCTCGAGCCCATATTTCAACTTATTTTAAAAACATGGAAATAAGCTAAACACGCACCCACTGGGTTTTTGTATAATCAGAGAAACCAATGAAAGCCCCGGAAAAAGTGGGGAAGGCAGCCTTTGGTCAGTACTGTTGTTAGGTGTCTGAAAATTTGTGGCAGTGGTGCGCCTGGATATCACTTTTTTTTTAGGGTAAGAGGATTCATCCTTTAAAATCTCTTGTCCCTGACCCCTATAAAAAAGGGAAGAAACTTTGGTTAGTAACATGAGTGTGACGAGTACAAGTGTGTTGATCGATTGTTCAGATAACTAACTATTTGGTCACTTCTCTAAAAACAAATGTTTTACCTCCTGGCTCGACATTAAAGTGACAACCACAAACAAACGAAGGGTGGCAAAGAATTTTCTTTTTCAAATATTTTTTACCCCAAAGGGTATTTCGCCAGCGGTATTATCAACTGTATAATTAAAACTCTCTCTAAAGAACTTTATTGTACTTCAGAAAGAAAATATGCACAATTGTTTGTGATTTATTTATCATTTTTCCGTCATCAGTTCAGTTACAAAAAAGAAGTTTGGAGGTGGAAAAGAATGACTACCTGCTTCTTTGTGCTGTTCTTTGTGGCATGGTCTAGTTCTGTCTTTGGCTTCTGGAATATCGGAGTGGAGCTGAGCTGGGGTATTTGTAAAAGAAAGTCTATCGTTTATCGCCGACTTGACATGCAAGCCTGGGATGCAAGCACTTCGATATTGAAACAGGCGTGTGGCTAACTTTACTTAGAATAGTTCGGTCAATACCACATAAGGACAAGCTAATATTAATTCATGATACATACGTCTGGTTAGAATCCACGCAACAGCAAAAACTATTCCCGCGATTACAAGGAATATCAGCAGACCCACAAGCAATCGGAGACGGTATTTCCCGCAAAACTTGGCAAGCTTGAATCCAACTTGGCGGTCATCAACTAAATCCACAGTATCGTCTGCAGCTCGCTTGCCTAATACAGGCATTTTTGAGTGTTGTCTACCTCAGCTTCGTCGAAGAGGAGATGGATAGCCAGTGAAGAGTTATTTTCAGCTCGCGGTGTAAGCGGAAAATCAGGCGCTTTTCTCCGAAACGCAGAAGCCGGCATGTGCGCTTTCTTGGCAACGAGGCTCACAAACCGGAAATAGGGAACTTAAGAACCACGACGAAGTTCACGACGACGACGTCTGTTGACTGGCAAAGGACTGGAACGTCAGTTTCGGCGGGAAAAAGGAAACTTAAGATGGAGTCGATCGGTAGGTCGACGACGACGACACTGAATGTAAACAAACATGTAGACTGTGATGTTCGTTCGCAACAAAGTTTTTTCGCAAAGGCGTCTTTTAAGACGATGCAAGATCTTATTTTATAAGCCGTACGTCTACTTTCATTGACGATGAAGAATTTTTAGTGTTGTCTGACCTTTTCGAATGGAAAAAATCTCTGCTTTCCGTACGAAGGTTATTCAACTTTCAACCTGAATGACATGACCGAGTCCGAGTGTCTGTCAGAGTTTAGATTTGGAAAAAGAGACATTCCGATGCGATAGCTGTTTTCCATATGAAGTTCATTTCCTCTATACTAAAGATATATGATTTGCCTGACCTAAATACGTACAAATAAATTAGTCACTTACGAGTTCGCTCGCTCGGCCTGCACAGCTCAGTGATGTCTTCGAAGTAAACACAATTCATCAGTCAAATTTTCAATCAACATCGCTTGTTAGGAGAAAAAAGAAAGGATACCTGGATTTACGAGGTGAAAAAATACAAAGCCCTTGAAAAATCACTTAAAAACAGGGAGTTATACCTGCCGAAGGTTGTGGATTGCAGGACGAAGTGATTCTACTGTGTTTGGCGTCGTCGACGACACCACGACGACGAAATTTGTTAACCGCGCTTGCGCAGTGCACGGTATCTCACTTCCGGTCGTCGTCGTCGTGGTTCTTAAGTTCCCTAATATCTGTCATAAAACACTTGGATAACACATGGATAAAAACACATGTGTTGGGTTCACATTACACCACTAAGTCTGACTTAGTAATCTCTTAAGTCGACTTAGTGAAAATGACAGGTGTGAACCACTAAGTCACAGAAGCGTGATTTCTGCCTTAGTGTCGACAAACTCAAACGACCTAAGCAGTTCTTAAGTCTGTTTCAAACATGACTTAAGGCTGACTTAAGAAACCTGATAGCAAAAAGATTTCAAAATCGTGGGTTTTATCAGATAGAGATTCCCGCGTTAAGCGCCAAAAGTAAAGACATCACGACACAGCCTTCTTCTCACGAACAAAATTAACTGAAGATGCATCGCCGAGAGGACGAAACGTTAGTCTTCCCGCAAAGCGCCGGCTAGGAATAGAAATACGAGCAAAGATAAGAACGAAAACGAGCTAGCCGAAGAGTTGAAAGCTAAGATTAGAGAGGTCGATACATTGCTGGAACAAATGAGAGCACAGGCATAGCCAAAACAATCTGAACAATTTAGGGATAGACTATTAGAAAAGTGATACAGTATGTTGCCCAGTATCCGGACACTTTAGTTTAAGATTGCAATAACTTTCCTTTGTTAATCGCAAGAGCTCTGAAAATTGGCCCAGAGAAAATCTATCTAGTCCTTAATATGACAAAAGACAGTTTAACTTTTTTGCCTTTGTTTCCATCGCGAAATTAATATTTTGGAAGAGCTCCTATGTTGCCCAGTATCCGGACAGCTGGCCCAGTATCCGGACACAACAATAACAACGTAATTGTACATAAATTTCGACAGGCAAGCGACTTATAAGCTTCTCCTGCACTTGCAAAGTAGCCTGGCAATCGATTCCGAAAATATAACCTAGCATCGTGAAATGAAACATAACAAATGACTGGGGTATGGTGGGGAACGCGAGCACCTGTTTTAAAAATTCTCACTTCCTTGTCTAGCAACTTTTTCACTGATTTAAGGAAGGCATCCGTGGACATGCCGAAGCCGCAGTTTGCAAGCTCAATTAGCCAATCTGCAAACTATTTTCTTTCTTCATTTTTTATTTAAAGAAAAGCTTGGGGAAGGGACCTCAACCCGACGGTCAAAGGTCACTCTCCTATTTAGTCTGACCAGCAGTGTTGATTTCTTCATGCTCAGTCCCCACAATAAGCCTGCTTTTCTAGCACTAATTCCTCCTTCTTTCACATCTCTCAATCCCTTTGTGACATTTTTCAGACCGTTACAACCCCATTCTAGCAGTCCCAACTGGGGAAAGTATGAGAATTCCAGGTTCAACTAAGACGCTTTCAGTTATATATAGAAAATGCAGTCACGCGAAACAAGCCGCGCACACGCGAAATCAAGTCGCGTCTGAATGAGTGAAGAAAATTTCCATACGGAGTTGAGTAGAGTTACATTTTACGACTATATCATATATCCTAAGCTTTAATTATAGTTACTGATATGAAATAAATCTTATCCGGAGAATGTACGCAGCTAATTCATCGATTCTGTACAGCAAAGAAAAAACTGTCCGGATACTGGGCACATGACATCAAAACTTAGTGAATGTTTCTGGCCTCCGTTATTCCAAACAAATCGAATTTCAAGAAGAATTAATAAACTTTCTGAAAACCTGACTTCCTTAAGTACCCTCACTTTAAAAATAAAACAGTTTCTTTGAAAATATCACACATTACCCTCCCTTTTCTGAGCAGCACTAACTTTACTGCGCAGTAAACAGCGTAAATATTAGCCATGAAAAGTTTACTCGCCTGAACAGAACGGTGTCTTCTGCGACTGTTTCGCAAGCTTTGAAATCGCCAAAACTTTCATCTTAAAGCTGAAATGTTCAGCTTTCATTCGAAATACTTCGTTTACCGAGAACTGAAAAGGGCGCCTTAAAAATTGAGTTTTTGTTTCAAGTGTCCGGATACTGGTACCGTCCGGATACTGGGCAACATACTGTAGGGAGGGGGGGGGGTGGCACAAAAGTCCAAAAAATTTTTTTCCGCAGGAAATTATTAATAAAAAAAATATATTCCTACGGATTTGGGCCAAAAAATATATGCCTAAGGAGGATCTGTGCAGGTAAAACTGTTACAGATCAACTATGAAGTGATTGACAAGTCCAGATTGGAAATAAAACGTGATTTTTTTAATCTCAACATGACATGACTCATGAGTAAATATTGTTAAGGGCTACCTTGATTGACACATTTGCAGGCCAGACACTGAAAATAAAGAGTTCAACATTTTACATGTATTATTCACAAATCGTTAGACCAAACAACTAGGAACTTTTTGGAATAAAAGTTAGCCTGGGTCTTTTGCTTAGGCTACCCAGAGTACTTTTAGATCTCTAGAAATGCATTCTAAGCGGCGCCATAAAATTTGTACCTGTTTGATCATCCTAGGGGAACTTGAGGCTTTTTGAAATTGCAAGGGGATCAGTCTTGTTTTCTCAAAAATTGTAGATGCAATTGAACGTTTTACGAAAGTGAGAATTTTTCTTATTTCTCTCTCCATCACACTTTGGAATTCGAAAATTTTAGGTTTCCTTTTTCTACGAAAATTAGCCTAACATAAAAAGTAACATATGAAAAATTAAACTTCAGAAAATCGTTGGGAATTTTTTAGATAAGCTTCGAAAATTGTACCTGAATGGAACGCTCATCTGCAAATTTTTAGCCGTACTCAAGCAATAGAAAATTCTAGGCAATATTTGCTTCTCCGAACAGACATCTTACAGAAAACAGTCGTTGGTTGCCCATGGTTTGGTGAGCGACAAGGCAATAAGCTTTGAACATATTGCTACATATGGCAATGTTTAAGAGCCAGTCTCTGCCGGATCCTTATAAATTTTTGATAAACTTCTTTCAACAATTATATTACAAAAATGAAAACAGATTATTCACCTCTGTTAATTTTTTTTGACAATTTAATTCTTTTTTGGCACTTCAACCGATTCGGTTACACTTTAGCCATTTTACCCTTCGATAACAGGTTCTTACCCACGGAGAAGCAACTTTTTGTGTTTGAGCGATTTTCCCAAGATAAAATTGCGTCGGGAACAGTCGTGGGAGACTACTAAGGCATCTCCGCGAAGAGGATGACGGGAAGGAGAGAGGGAAAAGGACTACTTCCTCCTTCCCATCACCCCTCGCGCTCCCCCTGACCGAGCTTTGCTCGTTAACATTTATAGGAGACTGAGAGACGGCTGGGGACGAGTCAGATCTGGTGTAGTGGATGTCGACCTTCTAGCACTTCCGGGGAGTGGAGAGGTAATTAAGCATTCTTCGATCGCGCGCGCGAAAAGAATTATGTGAGGCCAAGATCGATGGACCAATGTCACTCTCTCATAATTCATTCTCTGCGTTTAGTGGCTTTGATTAACTGTTAGCGCTTAAAAAAAGTGTCACCTCTTGGTTAAACATCTTTTAATTGGTGTACAAGGATTATTATAACATATTTGCTTTAACTTTTTCTTCTACCTCAAAATGGACTTTGTACAAGTACAAAATTTAACGGCGTGCTTATAACAAATTCAATATTCGCCGCTAACACAACAACTGGTTACATAAAAAAAACCTTTAACTCAGTTGAACTGAACGTAACACATATCTGATGGAAAAAACACTCGTTCCGGAAGCGAAACAAAGTGATTAAAAGCGTGCATCACATGACCAGCTCACCACGTGATCACCATACGGCGCACCTGTCTTCGCCGCGGTTCATCTCTTTGCTACTTGAACAGCTGAAGGCTTTTGAAAACCTTTCAAAGTTGGACAGCGATCCAATCACCCTGCAAAAAGATCAGGAATCAAGATGATCAAATTGACAGATTGTAGGAAGTTATAAACACTGGCCCCACCCACCCTCTCCCGCTTTTGATATCAGGAAAGCGGGTTAGAGGTAAGTAGGGTTTTAAGACTAGGAGGGTGGGAAGCTTTATTAACTTTAACTTAACTTGATTAAGAGTTACGCTTGAGCTTCTGTGCGATATCTTATGCGAAAAAAGTAACGTTTTCCTCGAGCTTGAAACGCAACATACCAGGTCAATTCCCAATTCCAGAAACTAAATGGGGAATTGGTATAAGCTTTCGGCGCAACTATTTGGGATAGCTTGAGTGGACAAGCGTTACTTATGATTGGTTACTGCGCCTTGAATACTACCGTCCAATCATAACTAAGACTTGTCGACCCAAACAATCTCAGAAATCGCTGAGCCCAAAGCTTGTACCCGGTCTCCCTGGAGTTTCCAACCGGTAAGTCTCATTTGTAAAGAAAGAGGGGTGGGGTGAATGGGGGAAGGGAGGAGTGTGCATACTTTCATTACCACAGACAGGTTATGCAGAGATGTACTGTTAATATATTACCAAACGAAATACAATTAATTAAACAACTAAAGCGGTAAAAAAGACTTGGTCTGAGATCGTTAAAATAACGATGTAATTACCTGTATTTATCGTACGTGTGTGGGTCAGTCCTCAGTTGAAAGAGAGCCGCATCCTTTTTGTAGACACTACACAATTGCTAACAAAGATTGGACAAAATACATATGCTTCGTGAGGATATCAAGTCAAGACAGTCATCTTTACTTGTCCATTGATACATTTTACAGACTACGTATAGCAGGAGCAAAGTCCTAGACTGAACACCACACCTAAAATTCTCGTTCTAATTATCTAGGGACTTTTGGCCTGTATAGAAAAGAAAGAATTTGTGTCGGACATAATTCTTGGAAACCCAGACAGTTATTTCAGATAAGCAGTATTTTTCCACTACAGGGGCTGTAGACGATGTAACAAATTTTGCGGGTACAAAAAAGCCAGGAAACCTTGTTGCAACAATACATAGTTGTCTCTCAGTAGTGTTCGATATGTACATAACTTACCGTAGCGAATCCTATAAAGAAAAGTTGATCCACGCTCAAATTCAAGTCCGGTAGCTGCCCTTCCTTTCCATGGTCCGAAACCCAAGATTTATATGCCTGTATAAAAGAGGCAGGCAACATGAAACAGAACAAAGGCAGTTATACTGATAATATACAGCCAACTCCTTCCTAAACCAGTCACCTAGCACTGAGTGGTCACTGCCCTTCTTTACTCCCTTTATTTGACTCTCTATGAGACGGACACCTCGCCAAAACGGACACCTAGAGTTGGTCCCTGCCTTTCTTTACTCCTTCTAATTGACTCTGTATAGGACGAACAACTCGCTAAAACGGTCACTAAGAGTGGTCACTGCCCTTCTTTACCCCTTTTAGTTGACTCTCTATAAGACGGACACCTCACTAAAACGGACACCTAGAGTTGGTCCCTGCCTTTCTTTACTCCTTCTAATTGACTCTCTATAGGAAGAACAACTCGCTAAAATTGACACTAAGAGTGGCTCCCTGCCTTTCGTTGTTTGTTTTAGTTGATTCTCTATGAGACAGACACCTCCCTAATATGGACCGTTAGAGTGGTCTCCGCCTTTCTTTAATCCTATTATTTAACTCTCTATAAGAAGGACATCTCCAAAACACGGACACCTACAGTGGACCCCGCCATTTACTCTTAGTCTGCGAATACAGTCTTTTTTATTACTCCTCGTCGTTGGGACGTTTCACTGAAGAAAAAGGTCCTCAGCGGCAAGGAGCAAAAAAAGGGGGCTGAATTCGCAGGCTGTTTTACTCTTCCTAAGGCGGATACCCCTCCAAGACGTCCCACAGTGTTCGTTTTAGAGAGTTGACCGCAAACTTAATTCTTCTAAAAAACAAACAGTTTCAGTGGTCTGCTTTGCGACTTAGCACACCTACCACTTTCATGTTTCCCACAATGCAATTTGTTTTTCCCAAAAAATTTTGCAAAAGTTTTGTTGTCAGTTTCTCAAGGAGGATTGTTAGTCGCAAGAGAAGTTTAAAACAATACTGATGCACAATTTTGTGGAGAAATCAAATTGCAAATTGGAATAATAATTATGGAGAACGTGAAAGTCGCAAATAGATATATATATATATATAAGGACTATAATTTTCCCGCTGCATACCTCATATGCCAGTTTTATCCCTCCATTATCAGCTATGTTCTCATTCAAGGTCTGTTTACCGTTAATCTGTAAGACAGTCAAAAGAAACAATAGCGTTGTAGAGACACACATTGACTTCGCCAATCGGCAAAAATGACTTGACCAATCTTTTCTTGTGGGCCTCCAAATGGAACCTTAAATTTAAGCTAAAGAAATGTAACTAGTTTAATGCGATTCTCCGGGGCTACTTCTCCCATTAGTTTTTCTTACGAAGTTGGCAGAGTCTCACTCACTATGGTCACCCACCACCCTTATTTAGGCCTAGTAGAGCTGTCAAGTGATCTTAGCTGGGATCTCCATATAGCTGCTATAACTAAGAAAGCTAATCAGATTCTCGCCTTTCTTCGCAGAAATCTAGGTAATTGTCCAGTTAAAGTTAAGGAACAGGTCTACTTTACCCTTGTATAGACCCCACTTAGAATACGCTTGTAGTGCTTGGGACCCTCACCTTTATAAACATATTCTAGAAATTGAGAACTTCTCAACGCAGAGCAGCTCGCTGGGTTAAATCCTGTTACATCAGAGAACCCGGGGTAGTTACAAACCTTTTAAAAAAGCTTGATTGGTCATCGCCTCAGAGGAGGAGGTTAAATGCTAGACTCCAACTTATGTGAAAGGCCGTAGACAACACAGTCTGCCTTAAGATACCTGACCACATTAAGCCTAAGGGAAGAATCACTCGCCAGTAATCCTAAGAAGTTCATTCACCCCTGCTCATCAGGAAATACTTACAAGTTTAGGTTTTTTGCAAGAACAATTTGGGATTGGAATAATTTAAGAGATTCTGTGACTGAATCTGAATGATATGATGGTTTCAAAAGAGCCGCAAGTAATTTAATTATTTAATTTGTTACAACAAGAGTATATCTGATGGTGTTTAGTTTCATTTACGTTGTTTAAATTATTTATAATTTATTTACAAGTAACCCAGCTATTTAAATAGTTATCATGTGTATTGTTCAATACTGATTCAGTTCTACTTTGTTATTTAGTATGTCAATGCTGTGACCTCTAGCTGACCATATCTATGTAATGTAAACAATTATAGATTAAAGTTGTAGATCTTGCTAGATGCAGATTGTGAATGTGGCTCAGTTAACTGTCAGAAAGAAAACAAAGACCTGATTGTTCAAGTAATGGTTTTCAAACCACGAGACACCTCTCACGGGCAAGCGGTGAAAAGATTTTGGCAAAAGAGAGATCACAAGTAACTACTTACACTGTGCCCAAACACTTCATAGCTATTGTATTGATAAACAAGACAACTGGCTCTAGAGTTGAAATTCAATGACGAGCTTGGAGACCACCAGTCTTTCAAATTTCCATCTTTATTAAAAAGACGCCCTGAAACAAGCCAAACCAACAAGTGAACAAACAAAACGTAACAGTCACTTTACACGACAATAAGAAACTTCCTTTCTCTCTCTCCCCACCGCCCCCGGCACCCCCCACCGCCACCCCCTAAAATCTCAATTCTCCTATCTCCTGACCCCTAAGGAAGGTCTGAAAGCTCTTTCATATTCCTAAGTCCGGATTGTTTCTCATTCTCTGAAAACTTGCGAGCTTTTTTCATTCATGCGCCAATATTGTGAAACGAACTGCCTCAAAATGTGTGCTTAGCACCATGTTCTTTCAATTTCAAAGTAAGTTAAGTTATAGTAATGAGCGATTGTGAGATGAGACTGAATATGATGTTAAGAATTACACAGATCGAGGTAAGGCTGCCACACTCAGACAGCTTTTGGTTATTAAATATTTGAATAGAGTTGAGACGCTAGTGGAGTGGCCAACGTTTCAAATCAGTTTAAGACCCAATGTTTACAAACTACTAAGGGGGGTTTCCAGAAGTCAGGACGGGCCGGCAGGACCATGGCCGGACCAGTTATTTTGACAATGAAATAGGCTTTTTCCACGAGTTTTTGATGAAAAACCATCTCCTTCGTGCACATTATTTACGATTTGACTGATCTAGCCGAATAGTTTTGATTAAAAGCGAAATTCTCATTACGACAGGAATGGTCTGGCCGGTCAATTCTGACAAATGGAAACCGCCCTTGTTAGACTGTCTTTTTCCCCGCTGATACGTTTGTTAATAGCGAGTAATTTAATGCTTTCATATAATTCGACGATACGTAAAATATTACCGCCTGCGTCGAATCCATGGGTAAGTTCATGCCCAACCACCATCCCCAATGAGCCATAGTTGAAATATCTACAGAGAAACGGTGAAAATAGACCATTTCAGGTTTTGATAGTGATCATTGGGCTATAATCAGTTGACACCGATGAAAAGTGCGCCTTAACAGTAGTAAATTAAACTTGCTAAGTTTGAAAGCGATACGTCTAAAGCGAGAGAAGATATAGCCCCCAAAGTCGTGAAATTTTACGGACGTTTGTACTGTGGTGGTGGTGGTGGTGGTGGCGGCGGAGGATGGAGGGAAACTTGCCGCCCACCAAACAAACGTTTGTAAAATTGCGCAACTTTGCGGAGCTACACCTTCGTACGTTTTCAACAAACAGCTTTGAACTTGACAACTGTACTGATTTTAAGGCGTTCTTTCCAGCTGTGTTGACGGATTTTCGCCAACCGGCCTCAGTCAAAAGTTGAAAAAACCGTGAAAGGGTCTATTCAGTTTGGCTTACAAAGCATTGTTTACATCCACGGCGCAAGCATTAGTACCATATAGCTAGTAAAGTACGCTTAATTCTATATCGACAGCCATTTATAAACGTTTTTGGATCGCTTATTTGGGTTCTCAAGAAAAACCTGCCTTTGAGTACTGAACGGATTGGTCAGACAAAATTGCCCTCTAATAAGGCCAGCTCGGCTTTATGTCCTTGATCCAGAAACGTAAGTGTTGTACGAAAATGGCAAATATTTAAGCGACGCAGTTCAACCAGAGCACTGTGATTTTTATTTTTGGTGCTTATGAATTCTATTTACCACTTTTATTTAACCTCAGCTTCAAAGTATACCTACTTTGGATAATTCTTTTTGTAGAAGGGAGGTTGTAAGATTCCAGCCAAGAACACTGTTAAAGACAAACAAACATGCTTATAAACGGAGAGGCTTATATCCGAGAGCCCATGTAACCGGAATTGAAATTGATTGTTTGCAGTCCGCCTTTTCTCTTAAAATCCGTCTAGTTCTTATTTCAGCCAGCGCGATTGCAAACCAGACTTTACGTTACACGCCCTCGTTTATTGCGGCTCGCGGCTTCACCGATCGCCGCTTGCGTGCTTGGGTTTCGCGTGCAGTAAGTTTGCAAAGAAAAAAAAGAGACTGCTAACAGTCTAGAATAGAAAACAAGCTATAGCAGTACTGATCAAAATAGGATTTCGTTTTACTGTTTTTTTTATCAAGTTTCACAACGTCATAATTGAATTCATTTCAATACATTTGGAGGGTGGGGGGGCTTATAATGATCAGATGTATTTTCTTGTTTACAGTCGTGAGATGGGCCTATAACTGGGAGTACTTATAAGTGGGGTAGGTTATGAGCGTCCGTTTACGGCATTATCAATTATCATTATGATTATCACTTAAGTCACGGTCACTATCATTGTCATTTTTGTTGTCATTCTCACTGTCGTTGTCACTATCACCGTCACTGTCATTGTCATTGTCATTATCACTGTAATTGTCACTGTCATTGTCACTGTTACTGTCATTGTCACTGTTACTGCCATTGTCATTGTAATTGTAACTGTTATTGTCACTGGCACTTCATGGTCATTGTCAATGTCACTGTTACTGTCATTCTCAATGTCACTGTCGTTGTCATTGTCACTGTCACTTCATGGTCATTGTCAATGTCACTGTTACTGTCATTCTCAATGTCATTGTCGTTGTCATTGTCACTGGCACTTCATGGTCATTGTCAATGTCACTGTTACTGTCATTCTCAATGTCATTGTCGTTGTCATTGTCACTGTCACTTCATTGTCATTGTCAATGTCACTGTTACTGTCATTCTCAATGTCATTGTCGTTGTCATTGTCACTGTCACTTCATGGTCATTGTCAATGTCACTGTTACTGTCATTCTCAATGTCATTGTCGTTGTCATTGTCACTGGCACTTCATGGTCATTGTCAATGTCACTGTTACTGTCATTCTCAATGTCATTGTCGTTGTCATTGTCACTGTCACTTCATTGTCATTGTCACTGTCACTGTTACTGTCATTCTCAATGTCATTGTCGTTGTCATTGTCACTGTCACTTCATGGTCATTGTCAATGTCACTGTTACTGTCATTCTCAATGTCATTGTCGTTGTCATTGTCACTGGCACTTCATTGTCATTGTCAATGTCACTGTTACTGTCATTCTCAATGTCACTGTCGTTGTCATTGTCACTGTCACTTCATGGTCATCGTCACTGTCACTGTTACTGTCATTGTCACTGTCACTTCATTGTCATTGTCACTGTCACTGTTACCGTCATTGTCATTGTCATTGACATGATTAATGACAAAAGAAACGCCCACCTACCTATTCGATTTTGCCGCCTATTGTAGTATGCATTGACTTCTGCGGGACCATCTGGCCACCTACAATGTGCATGCCAAATGTTACACACTGAACGGAAAACACGACAACTTTGTAACGATCTAGTTAAGTGTTATGAGAAGCCCAAGGAATAACAATCAGCGACAAAATTGGTTGAGACACTTTGCCCCTAAAGGGCCGTTCTGACGTTTTATCGACTTTAAAAGGGGAAAATAATACTTTCCCTCCCCGGTCCCGTCCATGCAATGTTGTGTCGCTGTTCGAGCTACCTGTAAGAAAGCAACAGACACCTCAACATTGAATGGAGGGGAGAGGGAAGGGGTATGGATTGTTTTGTTCTCAAAAGTTACCCCAATTTTGTCGCCGATTCTTGCCACTAAGTAACTTGGTACTAAGTAATTTCTTAACAACGCTATCCTCCTACGTGCCCTCCTAAGCTTTTATAGAATCAGTACTACGAGAATTCTTCGAGTTTTCATTGATTACCAAGCTAGAATTACGATGGTACTATTACTGGAATACAAAATTGCACTTAACAAAATAGACTGATAAAATAAACAAGAACGCTTTTAAAAAAGGCGTTAAGCCGAGCTTATTCATTCTACACGAAACAGGATTTCCTTGCTAAACGTTTTTCACGTCCTACTTTATCGACGGTCGACTGTTCCTCAGGATATTTACTTTTTACATCGTATTTGATGATTTGAGTACGCGTGTACAAATACACGAAAATCAAGGGCCTCGATTCGAGAGAAATTAGATCATTGCCAAAGAGCAAAAACGTGATGAAATGGCGCGTCATTTCCATCATCGCCGAAATAAAACCGCATGCTTATCACAAGACTCATTTGCATACAATGAAAGTTTACAACACCCGACCAGTTAGCCTCACCATCTGGCAAAGTTTCACTGAAGTTTGGTCATAAAGATTCTTCTTTTTTCGACCACTGAAGATTCACTTGTTCCAAAGTAATCAACGCTTTCAAGCGATAGAATTCGTGGACCGACCCGTTCCGAAAAAACTCGGAATCTTTTAAATATGTTGTAGGTCGCGTCTCGATATTTACCCCCAGTTTCCACGTCTCCGCTAGGAACGCCTTGGACCATGATTCCTCTTGTGGCGCGCACACAGGAAAAAAAGAGACAAATAAGAACGCTCTTAAAAAAGCGGCCACTCTCGCTTGCTTGGAGATTTCATAAGAAATGAGTACGCGATTAATTCTACACGAAACAGGATTTCCTCGCAAAAGTTTTTCACTTCCTACTTTATCGAAGGTCGAGTATTCTTCAGGATATTTGCTTTTTAAATCGTATTCGACGATGATTCAATACGCGTGTAAAAATACACGAAAATCAATTCGAGAGAAATAACATCATTGCCAGAGGCCGAAAACGTGATGAACATGGCGCGTTATTTCAATCATCGCCGAAAATAAACCGTATGCTCATCACAAGACTCATTTGCCAACAATGAAAGTTTTCAACACCCGACCAGTTTATAGCCTCACCACCGAAGTTTTCACTGAAGTTTTCGCTTGTTCCAAAGTAATTAACGCTTTCAAGCGATAGAATTCGTGGACCGACCCGTTCCGGAAAAGCTCGACATCTCTCGCATGCATTTTTAGAGCCTCGCTGCTAAAGCAAGCTCGACTAAAAAAGAGTGCTTGAGAAAATTTATTAAAATCAATGACAATATGGAACAACTACAAGTTTGCAGGATATATTTATATAGTGTATAACATTGAAACACCATAAATCGTCAAAGGTACTTACTCATCTCTATCGACTTGTTGATCAAGCATTCCCAAATTTTTCTGGACCATCATCTTGTTCAATGCCAAAGTGTTGTCAAAAAAATCATCACTTACATTTAACTGGTGATTGTAAAAGAAACATCAAATTTTGACAGAACGAAGATTCAGCTTTTGGGACATTATATAAGAACAAACACAACCATCAAAGGATTTGCTCACCATTGCGTAAAGAGCGTCAAGCTTACTGTCATCTTTGATGAAAGAGGGGTACCCCACATCCTCTTTCATAGCATTGGCCTGGAATAACAAAATACAACATAAATGGTACGCGACGCAGAACTGTGTGGTGTCATGGTAAAGAGGGAAGTTGTTTTAGTTAGCGTTGCTGGTGTTGATAGGGTTAAAAGAGTTAGGAAACGTTTCTTACTGTGTATTTTTTCGCCTCATGTCAATATGTAATCTGGATTGCGGAATGCGGAAAATCTTTGTTCATGGGATCCGGAATCCTAGGCTTTAGGATCCGCAATCCAGCCCAAGGAATCCAAAATCCCACTAATGATTGAAATCTGGAATCTTAGTTCCACTGACAAGAAATCTGGAATCCAAAGCGTGAAATGCAGGATCCAAGACTGTCTTTGGTCAATTATTGGAAACTTAAAAACAATTTGCTGAAGAAAAATATTACGTGTCTGTTGTTGGTCAAAATTAATTCAGCTTAAATCTTTTTTAACCTAAGTCGGTTCTCCATTTTCTTTGTCTCCTAGCCCTTCTTATTCATGAATTAGGACTAAGAGACAAAGGACAGAAATAGGCCAAAGAATTTAGTTAGTATGTCACACATACCAAACGTTCTAGAAATGTGTCCCTTCCCCTCCCTCCCATGGCCGGGGTAACACGTACCTTTTCTCTAGCCTTATCTTTTGTATTCTTGTCCATCCAGTCTTGTGATTTAAGGTTATTAATGAAAGACTTGCGCGCACGAGTGGTCATGTCCTTTACCTAAAAAAATGAAAATTAAAAACGAGACGCCGCTGATTCATGTAATTAAAAAGTCGAATGAGGCTGGTGCACCATATACCAAGTGAATAGCAAGTCTCGATTTACGTCACAAAGAACACAACAATCATCCCTAGCCCTTACACAATAACACAATAAACTTCACACACCAGAACAACACAATAGTGCATATATTGACTTGGTATGTCAAGCATCACCTTTTAACAGAGTAACCGGTATTTTTTATTTGGAGTCAACTTTGGACTCATTCAATTGGGATTTTGAGCCAAGGTTTACAAGCAGGCGTAGATTTACGAAAGCTGCCACAAAGCGACTACAGTGTTAGTCACATATAGGATAATGCCTGAGCTCCGAAAAGAGTTCAACTCCCACAGGGCCGCCGGCTTACTGTTTTGGGACACCAACATGTCGGATGTGACGTCATGTGAAAAGGCTTTATAGTACAATAGGCACGTTGCAGCTAAACATTCACGTGGTGCAAACCTTTTGGCTTTTGCAACCTATTGCTTTTTCTGATGTTTCCACCCTCATCGCCGTCATCGTTGCTTAAGCTTCCTATATGCGACTTTCACATTCGCCATACGAATCTGTTTGTCCCCCATAAATTTGGCAAACGGTTCGTTTTCAGTTTCTCAAGGGTCGTTTATTACTCCCAAGAGAAACTGAAAACAATTAATATGCAAAATTTCGGCGGGGGGGGGGAACAAATTGCATAATGGGAAACGTGTTCGCAGCTTTATTTTTCCCGAGCGATTCCCAGTGTAACCGCAACGAAAACTTCACCATACCGTCGATTTAGTGTTCTCATCAAAATGTGCATCAACAAACATCCGCCCTATTGTCATGTCCATTGGTGCCATCAATCCTTGGATACAGGCCGACCATCTTTGATATTGTCGCCTCCCAGCCACAGCTTCGTTCAACTGAAGTTTAGCCTTAACAAATCCATCAGGCATTGACAGAACGTAACTGGAAACAACTTTCCACATTATGTAGTTTTTGACGATATAACGTCGGTTGTTGTAACTAAAATCAAATAATAGAGAATTTTAAATTCACGTTTACGACAAGCGGCAATCGGGAAATTTATGTTCACAATTAGGAAATGAGCAGATATATTTAAACTGTTCTAAAAAAATAACATGGATTAATCTAAACCGAGGCTAGTAACAGAGAGAAGTCGTTACATCACGTTGCCATGGTAGCAAACGTTCAACAAATCGTGGCAAATATGGCAAGGAAAAAACGAAAAAATTGACATGTATGACTTTCCAGTGCATCATTGCACTCAAGAACAAAACGGTAGCCCATACTTTCATGATTCCATAGTTCGACAATTCAAATAGCTGTCTCTGTCAAGAAAGACTGTTGAGATCCAGAAATTTTGCCACCGTGGTAACCTGACGTCACACTTCTACTCTCTATTTTTCAATGTATATAACGAACAGGAAACTACAAGTAAACGGAAAACTTCGTCAAGTGGTACAAACTTTTCATGAGACGAACCAAACTTAGCGAGTTAAGTACATGAAAAGTTCGACGTCTGGATCAGTTAAGTTTGTCCGAATGAATTTAGATCGTCCAGCACGTTCTATCCGTCTGCTTCAGACGGATAGAACGTCTGAAGATTGCCTCGGGACAAACGTCGATCTTCAAATGCGACGAACTAAACTGATAAATTAAAAATGTGTATTATGATGTATATTCATCCTCGTTCGGGAGAAAATTTATTACTGGCCGGCTAAAATTGCTTTTTGGTCTGATTCAGTTAATTGGTTCGACGCGTCCTAAGTGCGAAGTCTGACCCAACAGACGAATTTAGGTTGACCCAAATTAGAGTTTGGTTCGTCTCATGAAAAGTTCGACGTTTGGCCTAGGCCTAGCTAAGAGTGCGAAAATTTTGCGTCAAATGGGGGTGCAAGACTAACAGTTATTATTTACACCAGCCAGAATTAATATACTCACGAGGTAAACGTGTCATATATACTTTTGAATATTGGTGCTTCACCTCCCTTTTTGTGTTGGTAAAAAACCTCCTCGCTTGAACTGAATTTTTTTCCCTGGAGGGAAAAGGCGGCGTTTAGAAAATTCTGCATAAAGCGGGCCTGCAAATATGAAAAAAAACAAGCAAACTTAGGTCTTGACATGTCTAAGATCTTGGTCCAGACTTATTAGCCATTGTTGTATGTAAAAAAAAAAAAAACATTTAAACGGGTCCTTCGAGTTCACTGTTTCTTTCTCTATCCTTAAAGGAGCTATGACACGATTTTTTGATATTAAAGTCTTTAAATCTGTAAAAACGCATTGTAATGAAAGAAAACCTTGAAATAATGGCTGAGGTTTACTCTACTATACTTTACCATATTGTACAAATGTATGACTTTAGCTCTCGATGGCCCGTTACTCGAAAGGCCAGTCGACTTTTCGGGCCCGAAGGCAAATTTTACGGTCAAAACTAGTTGAATAGTAGCCAGTTCCTAGCTCACAAACCAGTCAGTTTTGCCTCGCTAACTAATAGTTTCATTTAATCGTTTTCAAAATTATTTCAACTTTGGTCTTGAATGCAAACCTGGAAAACATAAGACAGCTTTCCGCACTCGGAAAAAATACTGGGACTTTCGAGAAACGGGCGCCAGGATGGAAACGGATTGCAACTTTAAAAAAATTGAGCCAATTTTTCGAGACAATGTAGAAAAACAACCAAAATACGCTAATGCTTTGTTTTCCTTTAAACAGAATCATTTAATGTCTTTCCTTCAGAGATTAAGTCTGGAAAACAATGACTGGGTATTTCAGCTCAGCTTCTACTAAGCTGAACTCACCAAGAGATAAAGTTTACTAAAGAAAAATTCACTTTCCAAGATAACATATTGCATACTGCATTCATTTAAACGGGTCCTTTGAGTTCAGTGTGTTTTTCTATCCTTAACCCAACCCACACCCTTCTCAAAAGGTGGCCTGGGCCGAGTTGTTCAAAGGTGGGTTAAGATAACCCAGGGTAAGTGCGAGATTTGAATTCAGATTTGAAAGTTTAAAAAGCATTTCAGTTTTAATTCTTTTTGTCTACAAGTTGATGATTGGAAGCTCTAAAAATAACAGATAAAATTATCCGAGAAAATGCTTTTGAGCATAAGAAAAAGAAACCAGGGTTAAATTTAACGCCGGGTTAAGCGCTAATCGGCCTTCGAACAACTGGGCCCTGGAGGTGCTGCTTAAAATGCAGTACGGTAGGAGCCCTATTGGTGGTGCCATGTACAGTTTCCTGAAGAATAATGACTTTGCAAGCCATCAACATGACACGGATGGGACGCCTCCACCAGTCACGCTTCTATCATGTTCTTCTCCATTAGTGTTGATGAATTACGTGCATTTTTTGTACGCAGTATCAACCTTGTCGAATTTGTGTCTCTTCAACAGCTTTGAAACTACTCACTTGTTTATCAAACAGCGGGTTAAACGATGTATATTTTTATTGCTCAAACGATGGGACATTTGAAGTCGTTACATTTCTCACCAAAAAGGGATTTGGCCAAACGGGGATAAGGCAATGTTAACATAATACTAGCTGACTGATACATAATATGAATTTATTATTCATTCAAAATATTTCCCCGATTCTGATTGGCTAAAAGCACACGCCTAATTCACCATAACCAGTTACTGATGACCAAATTTGGAAGAATTTTATGTTTAACGAGGAAATGACGTCAAAAATGCAGCGTTCTTGCAGGTTAATGCACCTTTAACCGAGAAGACCTGGGGACGAGGTTGAGTTGTTTTGGTTGTAAAAACAAAAAAAGGCGGACATTTCACTCGTTTCAAGAGTAAGAACTAGGCGAAATTATAGCTAAAAACATGGCAAGAACAGAAAGAACACAAGTCGAAGGGCCACATCTACCATTTGGAGAATATTTGCGGAGCTGAACAACCCTAAACGTTCACTATCGAAGGTGAACTTAACATCGATGGAGGTAAGCATGTTTTAGCTTTGTTTTTAAACTAGGAATAATTTTGAAAGAATAATAAAACAATTACTGAATTCGGCTTTCGTATCATATGAAGAATTATGGAGATCTCGGATGGTGTTATCCGCCTCGGCCTAAACCCTCCTCGATCTCCATAATTCTTTTTATAATACTCAGCCTCATTCATTAAATATTCCAACTAATATTCTAATATCGTTAAATATTCTAACCGTGAAACCTGATGCAAAACTAAAATCGGCCAAGGTCTGATCCAGAGAATCTACTGATCGCCCTGAACGATGATATTGTTGAACTGTCTCTACCAAATCCTCGGAAACGGTGCCAGCTTCATAGGCCTGTGTAAAGAAAGGAGGCAAGCACTAGGAAGTGTAGTTGGATTCCACATTTTTTTCCAGGAGTCAAAGCTGGATTAAATACATTTACTTTTCTTATAGCTCGTGTCAGCGGCAAGGAGAGCATTTCCCGGTTAAAAGAAAAAAACAATTTATTTGATTGTCAATGTGCTCAGCACGCAAGTACTAATTGGGGATACTCTTTTTACGTTCCCTGTAAGAGACAAGACCGCCCGCTTTTTACGTGATCATCCCAGCCATGTGAAGTTATACAGTCAACCGTCGGCTCTATCCACCGAGCTAATGCTGCCGCGGTTATAAACATCCGCAAAAAGGTTTGCGACTTGTAAAACGTAAGTGCGTGTCAGCTACAGTCAATGACTCAATGCTTGCTTATTTTGAATGCAACAACAGCCTGGCATGAAATTCACTCTTACTTTTACTACACAACTTCAAACAGAGCTTTTGACATTCCGTTGACGAGATTGTGACGTTGAAAACCTCTTTGGTAACAAGCTTGGACATTAAAACAAGGTATGAAACTGGGTATTCCTGGGACCCGGGATTGGACCAAAATACAGTTCGGGATTCGAGAAACGTGAACGGGATACATTCTTTGTCTGCTACCCGAAAAGCGGAATTCGCCAAAATTTGGACACGGACGCGAGACTGGAAAAGAAAACGATATTCGGGAAAGCGATGACAGAAGTTCGGGATACGGGATTCTTATTAAAACGAAGCGGGATTGCAGGACCAGGACAACCACCCCATCTTTCCAGACCCAATTAAAACCTACCTTAGCAAGTTTCTTCTCGAGGTCATATATCTCATTCATTCTATCTTTCACGGTAGAGGGATCCCCTCCAAGTAAGATGCCTATTCTTCTCATGTAGGTTTTGTACGCCTTTTGAATCTGTGAGTAAAAGGGGGCAAAATCACAAAAATTCGTTTGTCACTGTTGTTGCTTTTTCCTCATGTCACATGATGGTCCCGGCTAAGGATCTGTCACTCAAATTTACATTTTGAAAAATCGAAAAATTCACGAAATTTAAGTGTAGTTTGTTGGAGTTAAACGCCTGCCAAGATAAAATTTAATTTCATTGATAAGCCTTTTGCAACGGCTGGTCATGTCATCACCTTTCTGTAAACACAAAAAAAATTCATTGCAAAAACTAAAAGACCATATTAAAATGAGGTAACCTATAAAATTTCAGCCGTATATCTTTAAAGCAGCGATTGCAACGGCTTCCGAAAATTAGAAGGATTTTCATGGGAAAAACAACTGTTGTCACACAGTCACGGTTGAGTGGTTTTGCCTAGTAATCCACGTAAGAGTACCGTATTATATTTCTAGTCTCCTGAGTCATCGAAGGTTCTCTCGGTCATTACGTTCCAGTGGGCAAAAACTGCTCACCGTGCAGGGCTCGAAATTAAAAAAATCCTCAAGTCGCCTTTTGGCGACCACCTGGAGAAAAATAGTCGCCAGATGCAAAGTTTTAGTCGCCAGTTTGTAAATGACACAGTCAGGGCTTCTGATATTTCGCGCGGGTCGCAGAGCCTCGAAATTCACAAAAACACGCAAAATACCGCAAAATTCGGTAGAAATCTTATCAAATACATGTCTGTACAACATGTTTGAAACGTTTGTCAGCTATTGGGGTTATTTACTCTCCGTAAACTTGTAAATTTATCTTGAAACTTCGTCACTGAAACGTGCAAACAACGTTTCGAAACTACGAGGCGTAAATTATGTTGCAAAAACCTGGGCACTAGCCATGATGTTAAAGGCTTTGCCATTAGTTCAGTTCTGGAGCATATTGTTGTTGAAAGAGCAAATGATGACCTCTGTTAGAAAAACATAATAAAAATGCTGGTCTGGTCAGCCCAAAACCGATCGAACAAAGTTTTCCCGAAAATAACCACAAAATCGTTTTTTTTACCGATTGATTTTCGGCTAAGTTTGCCCCCAAAATTCCCGCAAAATCAATCGATTTTTCTGCGAATTTGCCCCTAAAAATCCCACGAAATTAGATCAGATTTGAAAATATCGTGAATAGAAGTCGGTATACATTTGGAGGTAAACTGGCTTTGTTTATGCGATTTGGCACATTTTCTATTATGAAAGCAAGGCAGGATAGGATGAAATGTTTGTTTTAACTTTACTCTTTTAATTTAAATCTAAATCATAGAGAACTCTGGTCGCCACTTTGGCGACTAAACTTGAATTTTTAGTCGCCAAAGAGAAAATGTTAATCGCATTGGCGACCGTATCAGTCGCAATTTCGAGCCCTGCCGTGCCACTAGCTAAACTAACGACTTATGGAGATCGGGCGTTCAGCACCGCTGCGTCAAGGCAATGGAATAACTTGCCTCTTAGCATTCGCAAATCTCTATCAATCGCTATTTTTAAAAGACATTTAAAGACTTATCTTTTTAAAGAAGCCTCTGACTTTTAACGTTTATTTCTAGTACACGTATTTATATTTTTATAGTCGGGAAATTTATCGCAGTATTTTAAGATTTTCGATTTTTAACTTTCATTTCTTGTACACGTATTTATATTTTTAGCTTTGAAATTAATTTACCTCGGTATTTTTTAGCTTTTAGGTTCTACGTTAACATAATCATTGTGAAGCGCTATGAAAGAGTAGCTGAATAGCGCTAAATAAATTATAAATTATTTACTATTATTATTCCACTATTATGTCATTTTACCATATAAGGTTAAGAGAACGCGCAAAATACGAGGCCGTAATGCACCTATCAATGTTAAGCCCCAGGGTGGGGGCGGGCTACCCACGGGAAGTTGACTGAGAGTGCCTTCCCCTGGGTAGGGATTTTGACATTTAAGCGTTGCCCCAGGGTCGGGAATTTGACATGGCCGCCATCTTGGAAGACCGAGAGAAACTGGAAATGAGTGACCTGCCATCTTGGTAATACCCAGAAGTCACCAGAGGTGAATGACCTCTACTTTTCTGCAAAGTATCAAGACAACATGAGCGAAAGAAAGGTAAGGAAATCTGTTTTATTTTTCGGTATATATGAACCATCACTTCTTCATTGTATGATCGAATGTTTATAAATAGAAGAGTCTTCGTTCCTTCTGTTTCTCTTGGATTACTTTTTGTGCATGTTTGCATATTCATGAATGTTCTTCGTGATGCTTGATTGCATTCAAAAGCTGATTATTACGCATGTTTTCTTCGCTCTGTTTTAGGTCCTTGTTCAGTACGGTGAGCGGCGAAAAGTTCTCGTCGTTGACGGCACATTTCCATCAACTGTTAAAAAGGAATTTGAAATCGACAGTGCAGAGACGTTAGTCTTTCAGGAATATGATGATGAGTGGGGCGAGTATTTAGACATTGATGAGGTCGACTTAGCCTCTTTGAAAGACAAGGGAACGCTTCGTGTAATATTAAAAGAAAATGTAAGTATTTAATGACATTAAATACAAGATTCATTTCGTTGGAATTATGTCCGTTTATTTTTTTAAAAACATCACTTGCTAAAAATTGTAGGAACAGTATTTAAAATCAGATTTATTTTTACTTTGGCAATGTCAGAAATCAAACCAAGCCACCAAAAGTTCCTCAATTACTTGTACGTTGACGTGTAACCCTACTACTTGTACTTCGACATCAAAATGTAAGTGCAGTTTTCTTCCATTTATGTCATATTCAATGTTATTCTTCAAATGCATCTCTAGAATATGTAATCGCTGTAAGAAGTTTAGTTTGTTTTCATGTCTTTCAATGACAATGTAATATTTTATAAAAATTTTATTGGAAAAAATATGCCTTCATTTCCTAAATTTTTGTGCAAGAAAGAGGGGCCATAATACTATTAGAAATGCACTTTGAATGTATTTAAAATGAAGGATTGTTAAATCTAGGCAGTTCATCCTCCACTACAACACATGCTAGCAAGATTCCAATCTTAAACTAACTATGTAGGGGCAAGACATACTTAAGTGCTTAAAATATTTTGTGTATGTCTTTGTAACAGCTGGATCAGCAAGGGCAGCTTGTGGCAGCAGCCCTGGACTAGTTCAGTCTACTATCTGTGTCAATAATGGCAACATCCAGATCGGCCCAAAAGTAAAGGTTAGTGTAAAGTTCTACAGCATCTAGCCTACAGCCATAAAAAAGTATGGCATTTTATTTCTGCTATGTGTTAAGATATGTATGTAATGTGTTTGTTCATTTGTGCTTATCAATCATTTAATTCAAAGGGAATAAAGGAGACATATTTACTAGTATTGTGTACATTAAAGTAACATTTTGTAGTTAACAGGACATCTTACCTCTTGTCGTAGGAGTCCTGTACAATCGGTAACAACAAGCAGGTGATTGTCGAATCTTCCAAGATCTATGGCAAAGGGTCCACAAGAGTTTTGACATCCTACGAAACTGCTGTCAATGAGTCTTCAGCAAAACTGGCTTTAGAGGATCCTTCCCTCTTAATAAAGAGAGATGTGCTTTATGAAAAAGCCAAAGAAGTTGTCAGAAGCGACACCAGTTTTTCATTTAAGAAGGGTAAGTCGAGATCAACGTTGTCCGGTTTAATAGATGAGGAGAAACCAGCCAAGAGGAAGTATACAACAGATTCATACAGAAAAGAGCATATCACCAAACTTACGGAAGATATTGATGGCAAGCAAAAACAAATGAAGTTTAAAATGTTACATCAAAGCAAAGCCCAATCTTCAAAAGACTGGGAGACTTGTGACAAAATACAAAAAGAAATGAACACAATCAGGCAAGAAATACATAAGTGTCAGCAAGAGTTACAGTTGTTGCAAAGGAAGGAGAGTAAGTCGAAATGGTATAAAAAGAGCAAAAAGTGTGATGATGGAGAAGAGAGTACTACTGCTGATGGGAAGAAACAGAGAAGTCTCTTTCAAAGTTTGAATCAAGGAAACCTTAAAGAAAAAGGTGAAAAGGTAGAAACAGGAGGTAAAAGAGAGGCTGATCCTCAGGAAACACATGCTAATGAGAGGGAAACCTGTTGCCAGACACAAATTGCAAACGAAGAGGGCCAGGGTTTTCGGGAAAGCCCCCTCTAGAGACTTCTAAATCCTATAGGGGGCTTTATGAGAATGACATTTTGCGGCTGAAAAGTTTTAAAAACTTATCTAATTACATCCAAGTTGATGATGTTACTGATGTTTCCAGATTAGAGGGATTCACACTGGATAAGTACATACTAACAAAAGAAAACATATGTTATGAAGAACATAAGCAGCCATGTACAGCATGTATTGGCCTGTTAAGTGTTGCAAAGCAGATCCTTGATGAAGGCTTCATTAAACTGAACGAAGCGTTTGCAATGTCAACTCCTGGAGTAAAATACAAGGCAAAAGATGCAAAAAGGAAGCTGTTGCAGATGCCACTGGCAGCGCTGAAAATAAAGGAAAGCAAGACCAACACCATCTATCTGGTATCTAAGGATACTAACCTGCAACTAACAAGAAGCCTTCTGAAAAGAAAGGATTGGGGTTCTCAGAATACTGGTATGCAAATGTCTGCAAGCTTAGTGAAGGAACTGCTTTCAGCGACAGAGTCCGATGCTGAAAGAGAGAGACTAACCTATGGTATTGTAAAATCATCTGGATTAAGTCACACAAAATTGAGGCAATTATATGGCTTTGAGAATTTAAAACGAAGACAGGACAAGGTTGAAAACGCCTTGCGGGAAATGAGAGAGATCAGAGAAGCAGTGGCATCAATTGCCAGTATTCAAGAGAAAGCAGTTTTACAATCTTTTGGAATTGAAGTTGAAAGCGATGAGGATTTGGAGCATGATGAAAGTGAAACAGACACGGATGCAGACGGTGAGGAAGACAGTGCCTTGAATGCAGTGGAAAACACATCTCTTAGTGAATTGATCCCTGCCACTTTGAATGAATCAGAAGACAGATTGGTTAGTGAGACTGACAGTGCTTTTAATGTATCAGAAATCGGACTTGCACCTTCTCAAAACACTGACATAGGTGATATGGCTCATCAGTTCTCCCTGAGCAAAGAAATAACCGAGTCAGCTTGTTACCAAAATTCCCACCAGCTAATGGATATTCTTAAGTCTTGTGAGCTGAATTGGTTTAGCTTTGTGGAAGTCATCAAGGAGAAAATGAAAGATTACTCAAAAGAAGCTATTGATCAGTTGCTGCTTGATTTTAGTGGCCAACTCTATCTGTTTAATCTAGACGAGAGGGAAGAACTGATAATAGAACAAAGCCGACAAGCGTTTCTTCTTGCTCGGAGGCTTGACGAAAACAACTCTGATGCAGATGACGAGGCTGTACTGTCAGAAGCAGAAGAAATGGAGGTTGATTGGGGGAATATCCATGACCCACTGCAAAAGGAAGCCCAGTCAGCAATTATACAAAAGATAAGGAACTTGCGCCTTGGTGCGAAGAGAAAAGCTGCAAAAAAGATTGCAGAGGAAAGATTCCTGAGGAGAAGGAGAGGCAAGAATGTCAGCAAGATCCTAAAAGAGTGTCCAGACATAGGTCAGACGATAGAAAATTATGTCAAGAGTGCTGGTGCAGGGGCAGACAGTTGGCGCAGGACAGGTGTCCTCACCTTTGATGGTAATCGCAAAGTACAGAAGAAACCAACGTTTAGCAGGATTAAAGAACATCTAGAAATGGTATACAATAGAAAGTTTGGGTACAGTACAGTTGTTGAACTTTGTGTGGCTAGAAACAAGCGACGGAAGTCATCCACACGCTATAGGGGTCTTGCAAGAGTCACATGCAGAAGGGCAAGAAAAGGATTCACGTTGAGATACAGCCCAGACCAGCACTGGTCAGCAGCGTTTTACAGAAGCCTAGATGCTTTACACCTCAGAGATGGAAATGATATTCTGAATATTAACCGGGATGACCAAGCAGGTTTTCGTCTTGACACGCTTGTAACACACAACAAACGTGCTACGTTATGCATCGCTGAAGAGGTACCACTAACAACCAAGTCAGATTATGTTAATAAATATCCATCCACTCTACAGACTACGTCGTACAACTTCTTGGGTACTGGGACAACTGCTGAAATTTGTGCTGGCGTTGTGAAAGCCGTACCACTGCACAGTAAAAATCCAGCTCAACATTTCAACGATTTAAATGAAATTGAGACCTATCTTGATGTGCAACCAGCTTTTTTTAACTGTCTCTCTGGCGAGCGAAAGACGAAAGTTTGTGTTCGTGTTGATGGCGGCCATGACGAGGGCCCCACTCATAAGGAAGTCCAGTTTTGGTGGACATGCTACCATCTTGATAAAGCCTCTCGAGTTCTCATTCTCACCACGCGAGACAGTGGCTCAAGTAATAAAAACAGAGTAGAGCTCCAAAATGGATGTCTTGCACTGGCCCATTCTAATTTATTCATACCATCTACCTTAAATGGTTCTTGTTTGGACTCACAAAGTGGTAATGTAGATGAAGGCAAATTAAAGCAAAACCTCAGTGATGCTATTGATGTGTACATAAGCCGGGTAAACAAATGTCCGTGTGCTGATACAGTTGTACATCTTTACAAAGGTACAGAAAGCTCAGAAATCCAAGGGTTGAGAACAATGGTGAAAACATTTCTCAAGGGGAAACCCAGTTTGAAGAAAAAGCTCAAGGAAGAGCATCCTAAGGAGTATCAGAGGATAGAAGATGTGTGGAACCTTCGAGCCCGTCACCTAGTTCCTGGTTTACCAGATAAGTATGTCTTCCATTTAACCTGCTGCTACCAAGATGAGTGTATTCACCCTCTGTGCAAAGATGGAAGGCCAGCTGTTGAACCAACTTGGTACCCAGGAGGTCCTCCTCTCAGCTTCACCCCTCTTCCTGTGCCAGATCCAAAGAGGTAAAACAAATGAAGAATTTGCTATTTTTAGTGTTGTATGACTTGGTCAATGAAGAAGTGATACAAAACACTGTATACGAAAGTAGAAATTGAATATGTTTTCCTCTTTATAGACCCTATGGCAATCTAGCCTGTAAGGAGTGTAGTGGATTCTGCTCTGGCCATTATATGGTGCCTGAAGAGTTGTTTGCCAGACATGCTGATAAAACCATCAAAGCGGTTCAGCCTCCTACAGAAGTATTGAAAGAACTCTTTAACAGAAGAGACACTGAAGTTGCTGCTGCTGACGTATTACTCCCCCAAAACGAGGTAAGTTGTTGTTGCACATATTTAGACTTTTGTTTTTGTTGTGACTTTTTTTCTATTTCTTTCTGAAGGTATCCATGTGGTTCCAACATCTTCAAACTGTCCAGGATAATCGGAAACGTGGTGCATCAAAGGCAGCCAAGACGAGGAGGGAAAGAGGATTGAACAAAAAGACAGAGAATCATAATACAGAGGCTAGTTACTTTATTGTCAGTGCAGTTTTGGACTCATTTTAGATTGGAAGTATATGTTTTTCAATTACTACTAGTTTAAAAATCATGGCTTGTGAGTAGTCTCCTTTTGTAATTGACAGGTCTGCCAAATCTGCAAGAGTGAGGATCCTGATAATGCCCAAGAACAAGTCCTGTGGATACAGTGTGACACATGTGACATGTGGTACCATCAAGTTTGTGTTAGAGCATCTTGGCCACCTTTATTATGCCCTGCAGAGGATGACATTTTCTGGCACTGCCTCTCTTGTGTTGCAGTGAACACTATGTGAGGTTGTAAAAGACATATCCTTTCCAACCTGTTAATTATTAAGTCCTGACTCTGTTAGAAAAAGTTACCCCGGAGGCGGGAAATTGACATTTAGTAGGTGCCTGGGGGTGGGGAATTTGGCTCTGGCTTCCATTAAAATGTCAAATTCCCCTGGGTCTGAAATCTCTCCCTTACGCATTACTGGGCTCAAGTCTCTGATATTAACGGAGAGAAAAGGGAGCCCTGTAATGCGTGAGCGAGGAAGATTTAGGACACTGGGAGTGAGGTTACTGATTAACAAACTAACCTTTACGTTTTCAGACTTGTCTTTATAGTAACCAGCACTCATTCCTAACTGAGACGGGATAATCTAAAAACCGCAAAGACAATCAAGTTATTCGGGCTGATATCTCATGAACCTTTAGTGACTGACTCGGAGTTTTGGGCTAGATAGGGCTGGATGCTCAAGCGAGGTGAAACCCGTCAATCAAAGAATGAATTATTCGACCCGTATTAACCACTATTATAAAAATAACGGGGGTGCAAGCGAGCTGAGATCGGACGTCGGCATGTAATGGCGCACTATGCAGCCGCTTTAGTCCGTTTTTGCTGTCACCTCGCCCATCCAGACCAAAGACGGAACATATCAGATACACCATGAAACCGGGATCCACGTCCCCTACTCTTAACGAAAAATGTCACGGGTTCTTGTACGTCCCCTTCTAATTGATGTGTAAGGATGAGGGAGACAAGGCCAACTGACCGAATACGCCTTATTTGTACTTACGTTAAGAATGTGTTTGTTGGAATCATACAAATCTGTGACAACGACAACCTTCAGCAAGGTTTGAACATTCAGTTCCTTCAGAACCCGGCCCATTAGTTCCTCTAGTAAAACGTTCGATCGTTTCGTGTTGGTCACCGTCCATCCTCCGTATTTCTCGATCAACTTTACCAAAGGGTCTTTCCCTCGGTTATTAATGGCAGTTGTATTGAGGCAGGAATTGTAGATCTTGATTGTTTTCTTGATGGACAAACTCTGCAAGTAAATAGAAAGACAGTAGGTCAGATCATAGTCAGCATAGCGTTCCAAAGAGAAACGCAAAAGGCAACGAGAACGTCAAAAAAGCAATAGGTTTAATAAGTAAACCAGGTTTGCACGAGCGGCACACTCTTTTGATCTTTTCGTTGCCGTCACTGCACGACTATACAGTACGAGGTGAAATTTCCTTATATGAAAAACTCTAGGAGACTTAGGCCTTGTCCACGCTCGGCCTTGTCCACGCTCGGCTACATGAGTCGACTGTCTTGATCGGTCAATAGGTAAAATCAATCGTAACATACTCTCAGGTGCTCTTCAACTGTTCCTTTCATGGTGAAAATAGTTCATCACGGGAGATCGACTATAGCCTGTTCACAGACCCTCTATTTTCTCTTCAGAGATTGTCGAGTGCGCGTATGGAAAAAAACACGGCGGAGGATTCATTGACCGAAAGCGCAAGGGGTTGGTGGTGGGGAAAAGAGAAAATAGAAGCAAATCTATTGCTTTTTTTTCTCGTGCTCGCTCTCGGGCACTCGCACAGCAACAACAAGACGAAAGTGACACACCAACCTGGGAATAGTTAAACGAAGAATTCTGCAGAGCACTTCTTAAAACCTTCAAGTTGTCGTTGTAGACAATGGAAGAAGAATCAACATAGCTTTCATTAACTCCAAGCTTGTGACTTTTGAAGAAGCCTCCGCAGGTGTAGGAGTAAAAATCATTACATGGATCTACACTTTTGTCCAGCTGATTGGAAATATCTTCAATAACGAACAAAAGTCTCAAATTAGCAAAACGCGAAAGTCACACAGACGCTTCGAACGTTAACCTTGCTCCCAGGGCTTTCACTTTCCCCCCACTCCAAGCACGCGAACGCAGACGTATTTCCGGTCGTCGCTTTAGCCGAAAATACGTCAGTGTTCTCAGGCTACCCCCTCCCATTTTCTAAGCTATTGGTTTAGCTAACAGGGTCTAAAGGGTATAGTTTCGAAAGCTACTGTAGAGCGAGGTCGGTTGGGATGTGAGACACAACAGTTTGGTTTTATCGGAAATAAGTTGTTAGAGTGAGTTTTCCGCAATAAAAAGGTGAAAAGCGGACGTTTTAAGCGGTAAGTAACTCTACAATCTTGGACAACAAGTACTGAGAATTTTGCACTTTCTTACCCACAGAACGTGTATCCCGTGGATTTGGTACCGCTATGGCCCCTCCTCTCACCCCACCCTGGTCAAAGTTGTTTAGTCGGGATCAGAAATGATCCAGCTGGACCTAACCATTGTTTTTTGGGGGCGGAAGGGGGAGTATTTGTAAGTTGCCAGTGCTTACAAGAGCTTTATCTTGAAAGTAGATATCGTAACGTCCATTTTTCTCAACGTTTTTGTCCACGACTGTAGGCGAATCAAGGCAGATTGTTTTCTACTTTCTGGGATTTTTGTCGTTGGTAAAATTAAAGGAGGACGCAACTCTTGAGCGTCAAGGGGGCTACGAGACAATGAAGAAATGTTACGTATATATAAGGCTTAATAATGATTTGCCTCTTTAAATAATGCAACAAATACCACAAACCTTTAGAAATTTCATAGCACAGGGCAGTCTTGCAAATTTTTGGTGCTAGAAGAGAAAACAAAACAAAACGATCACTGTGAGGAGGAATTTTTAAACATCCAAGTACGTAACAATCATGCATTGGACCTGTAAGATGCCCGAGAAAACAGCCAACATTCCAAGACGCCACCACTGGTTTCCGGGCAAAATGACGTCTGAGAAACGAGCGCAAAAATTCCATACTGATGACGCGTCACCACAAAGATCTGGGTATTGCTTTTGATAGCCTGCGTAGCAAGGGGGAGGGGGGGAGGGGTAAGAAAGAAAAGAAGGAAGGAGGGAGGAAAAAAAGGAGAGGGGATTGGGGAAAGAAGGAAGGGAACGCCTGCTATAGTAACCCCGTTTTGTTTACCTCTGCGGACGCTGGCGTCCGCAAATTCTTATTTCGTTAATCAGAAAATAGAACAAGCTTGTTCAGCAAACCAAACTGGCGATTTCAGTTAGCCAGCGTCGTGTTGTCAAACATTTTCCGAATGATGACTTCTCCGTTAGGATTCAAAATCAATGCCTGTGCCTTAAGCTGAGTGCTTGGCTTTCCCGTAATATCTTTTATACTACAATAATTCAACAAAATATCGGCATCTTGTCCAGCGAGTGTAAGTGTTACTTGCTCAGGCGTCTGTGTATAATGTGTTTTAATACCAGCAATTCGCGACTCTGCGTCCGACGAGTCACTCACTGTCGAGCTTTCTGCAAAGAAGATCTTTCTAAAATTAACCTTTCCCGGACTTTTTTCTTTCAGCTGTTCACCGTCAGATTCGAGACGTTTCGTTCTTACATCGCTTCTTTCTGGCGTGATAGCAGTGGAAAGCTGTCTTTTGCTGCGATCTTCCACAGCCTCTTGATGCAAATCTTCATCAACAATAGTGTTGCTTAAAGCTTTCTCGATGAAACTGTACAGTTGAGCTGCGTTTCTAATTTTGCGACCACAAGGTCTGCAGACCTGTTCTGACAAGTTTTCGTTTCTAGTTAATCACAACCCAATAGAGCCGCAACAATGAGCTAAAATCAGCCCTGCACTTTCAACTCTTCCCGACGGCGAAAATAAATTTTCAAATGAGGCTCGTCCTCCCCCAGAAGTAAAGTTAACTCCACAAAATCTACAACTGCTATTTTTTTTTAACGTTTGCATTGGGTTTCCGTCCCCTTTTACAAATTTTTGTGGGAGTCGCGGTGCCGACATTCCGTCGCGAAGATTTTCTCAAGTTTTACAGCTACGAGACCGCTTTTGGCGATACATTCCCGCGTGAGGTCATTCACGTAGAAAAGCGTGCGCCTAATTCTGATTGGTCGTTGAAGTGACAGCTGGGATAATTGAAATGAGGGGCGAAGAGCAAAAGACGCGGCTTTTGTAGCAGGTATTCCCTTCTCCTCTTTCTTACACTCTCCCCGCCCCCGCCACCACTTTAACGTCTGCTATGCAGGCTATGCTTTCGACTGATCGTGCCGCGTTGGAAATTTTCTTCAGACAATCAGAAGCACTAACGAGATCTGGGTAGTGATGCATCATCAGTATGGAATTTCTGCTCTCATTTCTCAGACTTCATTTCGCAGGGGAACCACTGGTAGCGTCGTAAAATGTTGGCTGTTTTCTGTTTTCACCAAGGCAACTGAGTTTTGACAGCCATGTTATGCATCGTTTTACCTTGCGCTTTATTTTAACAGCATTAGATTCAAGTTGTTGTAAAGACACGCCTGTGTCTTAGTTTTGTTTCGTTTTATGTTTAGCTATGACCTCTATGTAGATAATAATAAAAATGCGCATTGTTAAATTTAAGTACACATTTTAAATTAACTCCAATAAGAGAGATTTGCAAGGTTTCCGGACTTTTCTCCATGATTCTCAATTCCAGATTGCGTATTCCAAATTCCAGTTCAGCTAAGCGGGCTTAAAGCATTGCGTGAAACAATAAGGACGGAACGGATCGTCAATAACCTGAAATAGATCTTGCCTAAATCGTCAGACACAACTCAACCCAAAATATTTATACGAGAATTGTTTGCAATGAGGGATGTGAATACTAATGAATTTTTAAAACAAATGTGGATATGTGAATAAAACTTCTGTATGTGATGTTTTAACACAATATTGGCTTCCGATGGACAAATCGTGACAAATTCACGATGGCTACATGTATCTGTCTCGTCTGACTTTCAATAATCATTCAAACCCTACAAAGTCCGCTTCTCTCCGTGCATGTTTATCACGCGTCTGGGGCACAACTCATTTTAATATTTAACAGCGCCTTGTCTAGTTTTAAGCCCATCTGTCTTTGGTTTTTGGAATATAGGAGTGGAGCTGAGCTGAGCTGAGCTGAGCTGAACTGAGGTATTTGTAAAATTATTAAAGTCTATCGTATATCGCTGACTTGACATGCAAGCACTTTGATTCTGAAACAGGCGTGAGTATTGCAGGCTTAAGCGCAATTATACTCTGTCGTATGAATATAGTACATGACTTCTCAGCATCTTTAACACTGGCTAACTTTGCTTAAGACAGGTCGGTCATTACCACAAACAGACAAGCTAATATTAATTCATGATACATACGTCTGGTTAGAGTCCACGCAACAGCGAACACTATTCCCGCGATTACAAGGAATATCAGCAGACCCACAAGCAACCGGAGACGATATTTCCCGCAAAACTTGCCCAGCTTGAATCCAACTTCGTCATCAACTAAATCCACAGTATCGTCTGCAGCTGGGCTGCCTAATACAGGCATTTTTGAGTATTGTCTGCCTCAGAATCGTGGAAGGGAAGATGGATAGCCAGTGAGGAGTTCTTTCCCGCTGCAGCTCGAGGTGTAAGCGGAAATTCATGCGATTTTCCCAGAAACCCAGGGACCGGCACGTTTGCTTTCTTGGTAACGAGGTTAACAAACCGGAAATATCTGTCACAAAACACTTGAACACACGGATAACCAAAACAATCTGAACAATTTACTAAAAGAATACTACTCAAGTTAAACTAAGATTACGAAATCGGCCCCCCGGGCATTTGTCGGGCATTAGCCTGCGAGCAAGCTCTCCGGTGCGTTCTGGCGCCCTTTTCCTCCCTGCCGCCAGAGCGTCCCGGAAAGCTTGCTTGGGCCCGCCCTGCCCAATTACAGTTGTGTGGGGACTTGGGACTCAAGTCCCAAGTCACCACACACGCGTTCCAATGTCCCCGCCCCCATGTCCCCGTCCCAGTTTTATACACAGCCTTTCTTTTTTTAGTGCTTTCCAGTCCTGTAACCTTCACAGACATATTCATATGCAAAGGACTGGAAAACACAAGAGATTTGTGTGTCCAAGTAAAAAGTTTCCGTCATTGTTCGCAATCCATGACAGGCTTTAGCGATAGTCAAACGGGTCAATGCAACGAAACAAAGTTTTTGACACTGACTCCACGGTTATCAACAAAAGATCGTGATCCTCTTTTGTCCACAGAAGTACATTGTATGCATCATTTCCGAAGATTTTATACACATTCTTCATAAGTTACCAGAATTATAAATGGAAATTATAATATCTCAAATCTCTGATCCGTTGTGGACGCCTTAATTATTATACCAACAAAAAATGAAACTGTCTATTCTTTAAATAATAAAAATTCATACAGCAGATTTTTTCCATAAAACTCACGTTTCTTAGCAATACTCAAAAACGAATCAATTAAACCGCAGCGCTCTTCTAAAAAGAAGTATTTCCTTCAAACACAGCACTGGAGGGCAAATACAAGGTATAAGATTTTCAACAACGACTGCCGAATTACCACTTTTTAGTCAAGAAGGTTGTAACGAAAAACGTAAGCACTGCAGTTGATCATTCTTGTATCTAGACGAAATTATAATTCTCGTGTAAAGTGGCTGTATTATCGACAAATATTATTTGCAACGGACCGCTAAAATAGTTCATAAATGAGGCCAAATTTCTGTTCAGCTTTATAGCAAAAATAAAGCAGATACAAAGTCATGATCGGATCAGAGGACATTTAAGGCTTGGAAGGAACAACCATTACACGCTGGTATGTACTGCCATAAATGATTTCTCTTAAATTTTCATAAGTCACACTGAGTCGCTCTTTAGATGACACGAGGCTATAAGATAGCGAAGTACATGATTTTGTCTACATACTGTGTACTAAGAAAAACAAACCGCGCACTTTCAGTGTGGCTATACAGTTGGAAAATAACCCATGCCGGATTTCTCTCAAGGTTATCATCACTCCATGCGATGATTATTCTTCACAATCGTGTTCCAGTGAAATTCAAATTGCCGAGACCGGAGGTGACATTGCGCTACTGCTCAAGAATAGAGCACTAGACAGGGTAAAACATTTTAAAAATTTATACTGGAAAGCTATTCCGTGTAATCTAAATCAACGAACGTAGCTCCTCGTGTAAGTTCGTGACATGCAAGTTTCAAACACATTTTCGGGGTAAGTATAAGTTTCTTAAGTGTAAGGTATAAATGAATCAACAAATTGTCGATCAATACTGTAGCATGGACCCATGAAGGCGAATCAAATAAGGACATTTTATATATCTTATACTTGAAACTAGACTTTTCGTAACATCGCTACAACATGCACGTCAGTTCAATGTCTATACAAACATGCCTCGAGCCCATATTTCAACTTATTTTAAAAACATCGAAATAAGCTAAACACGCACCCACTGGGTTTTTGTATAATCAGAGAAACCAATGAAAGCCCCGAAAAAAGTGGGAAAGACAGCCTTTGGTCAGTACTGTTGTTAGGTGTCTGAAAATTTGTGGCAGTGGTGCGCCTGGATATCACTTTTTTTAGGGTAAGAGGATTCATCCTCTTGTCCCCGACCCCTATAAAAAAGGGAAGAAACTTTGGTTAGTAACATGGGTGTGACGAGTACAAGTGTGTTGATCGATGGTTCAGATAACTAACTATTTGGTCGCTTCTCTAAAAACAAATGTTTTATCTCCTGGCTCGACATTAATGTGACAACCACAAACAAACGAAGGGTGGCAAAGAATTTTCTTTTTCAATTATTTTTTACCCCAAAGGGTATTTCGCCAGCGATATTATCAACTGTATAATTAAAACTCTCTCTAAAGAACTTTACTGTACTTCAGAAAGAAAATATGCACAATTGTTTGTGATTTATTTATCATTTTTCCGTCATCAGTCCAGTTACAGAAAAGAAGTTTGGAGGTGGAAAAGAATGAACACAAACAAACGAAGGGTGGCAAAGAATTTTCTTTTTCAATTATTTTTTACCCCAAAGGGTATTTCGCCAGCGATATTATCAACTGTATAATTAAAACTCTCTCTAAAGAACTTTATTGTACTTCAGAAAGAAAATATGCACAATTGTTTGTGATTTATTTATCATTTTTCCGTCATCAGTTCAGTTACAGAAAAGAAGTTTGGAGGTGGAAAAGAATGACTACCTACTTCTTTGTGCTGTTCTTTGTGGCAAACATTTGTCAGTCTTGCTCCGCTTTCGAAGGTAAGCCAAAGTACTTCCACACCAGCTTCAAATCATTTATAGGAGCTGTTAAAAGAAACACTTCTAACGCGGTCAATTTGGAGCGGTTCGACTTCCCGAACTTTCCTGAGAAACATTATCCAAAAAAGAGCAAAGAAAACGCTATGACAACTGACGAGGTAAATCGTCAACAAGAAACCGCAAAGAAAATTGTTCGTTTTTAGCATGTTACCTTTACGTTTTTTCGGGAACGATCGATGTTACTAAGGCAGATTTTTATTTTACGATCAAATTCACACTTGTTAATGTGAGTAAGTCTCGTCCTAACCAGTCAGTCTTGTGCAAATATATTCCTAATCTTTGCCTTTTTTTTCCAAATGTTTTCTTAGCTTGTTCGCCAGACGGTCTAATAAGTTGCCTCTGAAACTAATAACTAATATTTTTCAAATATTATCATACACCGTTTAAAAAACGAGCGGGAGTATATTGTCGCCAAGAGTTTTTTTACACCTGATTTTTACACGACTGCAAGTTTTTTGAACGGTTTCAAAATCTCTGATTTAGATCAACTCATTTTTGCACTAATATTTAGATTTTCGGTCATTTTGGATTATCAATAAGTTTTTGAATTGGTCTCGCCAACACCACCAAGGAGAAAGAGAAGAAAAAAAGAAAGAAAATTATTTCAACAAAAGGATCAATGCTATTGAAAAGAAACACCGAAAGACCGTCCTCTTCCCCCTGCCATAAATAACGTACAGGTTAAGTTTAAAGGACTCTGAGTAATATTGACCGGATTATCATATGTTGGTTATGAAGTCATTCGTCTTCGTTTTACGTACTACAGAAATATCCACGAGTACCTCCACCTCTACCAGAGTCTCCACAAGCTCGTCACTCAGCGTTTCGACGTCGACAAGTGTAAGCACCTCCACATCGACACCTTCGCTGAGTAGCAGTTCTACGAATACAGAAAGCGGCTCCAGATCAACTTCAACGTCACTCAGCGTTTCGACCTCCACAAGTGTAAGCACCTCTACATCAACACCTTCGCTGAGTAGCAGTTCTACGAGTACAGAAAGCGGCTCCAGATCAACTTCAACGTCACTCAGCGTTTCGACCTCCACAAGTGTAAGCACCTCTACATCAACACCTTCGCTGAGTAGCAGTTCTACGAGTACAGAAAGCAGCTCCAGATCAACTTCAACGTCACTCAGCGTTTCGACCTCTACAAGTGTAAGCACCTCTACATCAACACCTTCGCTGAGTAGCAGTTCTACGAGTACAGAGAGCAGCTCCAGATCAACTTCAACGTCACTCAGCGTTTCGACCTCTACAAGTGTAAGCACCTCCACATCAACACCTTCGCTGAGTAGCAGTTCTACGAGTACAGAGAGCAGCTCCAGATCAACTTCAACGTCACTCAGCGTTTCGACCTCTACAAGTGTAAGCACCTCTACATTAACACCTTCGCTGAGTAGCAGTTCTACGAGTACAGAGAGCAGCTCCAGATCAACTTCACATTCGTCTAGTAGCAGCAGCAGTGTTAGTTTGGATTGGGAAGAATGGAATCTAACACCCAGCTCTTCTACAAGTGTGTCGAGCACATACGAGGACGTCGTGGTCGACGTCGAAACCGAAACTCTCTCTAGTAGCAGCTCCAGATCGGTTTCAGATTTGTCCTCCAGCAGTAGTAGTAGTAGTTTGGATTGGGACGAGTGGAATCCAACACCCAGCTCGTCGACAATTGCCTCTAGCTCTTCCGCGGACATCGATGTCGACATTCTTATTACTTGGATAGCCTTGGAATATGAACGAGGTCTTCTCCGACGGAAAAAGCGTGAAGCAGAAATAGCGAGCTTGCTGGAGAAAAAGATGGTGCCTTACAAGAAAAAGCGTTAAAAGGAAGCATTGATCAGAACCTTTTTGGTGACGCGTAGTCTAGCAAATGGTAGCATTAAACCAGCTTTCACATTAAAGATACAAATAGTTTACAAGTTCCAAACGCAACAACGTTCCTTTTACTAACTTGACTCTATAGGAGAGAAGGCGTATACCATCTTATTTAGAAACTTTCATTATCTTATTTCAATATGAATTTTTGGAGAAATACGAGCAACGTTGTCATCTGACAAATCTAACGCCGGCGTTCCCTTTGTAAAAGCTTAGTTGTCGGGCAACGTTTCCGAGTATTTTGTTGACAACGTTGTTGCATTACAAGTTGAGATTTTTTCTTTTTTTCTTGGCGCGTTTCCACATTCTAGCTCGCGCAACTAAATTTGGTAGTAGTGAGTCGTACACTGTAGGTGTTTATTCGGGTAAACAACACCAGTATCCATTACAGATAGCTTCTTCAGTAGCATCGCCTAACCAAATAAGCTTTAAATGAGATCTAGAAAACATTCATTTTTATTTGAAAACTTTAAAAATCTTTATCTAGCTGTACAATCAATCGTAACTATTTAGCCACCGAGGAGAGTTGATCTCTGATTTTACCAAGTCCATCTAACATGGTGTCCAGCTTTTCTTTTGTTAGCTCTACGTTCAGGCGGCGTACCGCAGGCATGGCGTTCTGCTCCTTGGCGTTTTCTTGAACCTTGAAAACAATCGCAAACAAGAATAAAATTCCGTATGTACGCTAAACATTTTTGCCCAGTTTATCATGAAATAAGTAGCATGTTGCACTGACCTGTAGTTGCATGATACATGTCGGCATAGACATTCTACCAATAGCGTTCGACGATGTTTTTACATCCACACGCCAATCAAAGTCAATCAGCTTTGGAAGTGAAACTGGAATCGAGAAAATGAGTTAAGAGCAACTACTCAGTAAATTTTTATGCTCCTACTTGAGCACGCATGTTTTAATCCTGCACGCGTGCCCTCCATCCGAACGCGTGTTCTACTCTCGCACGCTATCCCACTTTCGTAGGCCCATCCCGCTCCCGCAGGGGGTATTCCGCTCCAAAATGCGCATCCAGCTTCCATACGCGTATCCCGCTTCCGCACGTATATTCCGCTCCCGAATGCGTATCCCGCTCATACCCGTGTATCGCGTTCTTGCACGCGTGTCCTTCTTACGCGGGCGTATCCCACTCTCGCACGCCTGTTCTTCTGTTGATCTTGGACCACATCTCAGTGCCTAACTGACGTGCCCATATTAACTGTTTGGGAGCCAAAGGCTTAAAGTTTAAGGAGTTTACGTTTGAGTACTTTAATACGTTAGTAAGGTTAGTACAGTCTTGATCAAAGAAACCAAATGTCACGCCTTCTTCAAACACATAACTCACCTTGTTCATTCGTTGCATTTGTTCTCCATACTGGCCTGAAACAATGATTGCAGTTACTTTTACTCTGACTTTAGAAACCAGATCTGATAACTGAAAGCACTTGTAACCTAGGCTGAAAGTCAAGTTTTCAGATGATCTAAACAAATCACCACCACAAAAAAAAAAAGTCAAGCTTCTCCACTTTTCATAACACTCACACAGAAACCTAACCAGACGCTGACGGTGATGAAAAAAGAGATATATGTCTATCATTGTGAGCAATCTTTGTTGTTCAAAGTAAATGCAGAGTAAATTATTAATTCACTTACATAGATTCAGCGATGATCTTTGAAATCAGCTCTCTCAGATTCTTGTGAAAGTTCTCTATCAATTAGCAGAAGAAATAGTCAAGAACAGAGTCCCAAGTTATCCTCTGACAATGAAATTTTTTCACACGCTCACGCTGAATAACTACAACCCTCTTAACAACATAAAATGTCTTGTTTTTCATTCCCCTGATTGGTGAGAACCATACTGATTATTAATAGATGCAATGACAACAGTTGTTGATCTGAGATCTTAGAGTTGTAACCAGTTACGTGTAAGGGTTTATACTGTTGTCCACGTGGGGACACTATTATCAAGGTTTGGGTAATGAAAAACACACTCAACATATCATACCTGGAAACAGTTCATAGACTGATTTAGGGTCCAAGAGACATTCAAACAAAGCAGCGCAAATCACAGAAATTAGACTCTCTAACAGCTGAAAAGTTAAAAAGGGAAAGGATATTATTGCTTCATAAATGATGATAGCAAAGTCAGATAAAAAGCAAGATGCCACATTCTAAGATCAATTTGGAAAAAAAAATGCAAAATATTTAAATTTCTTTTTGTTAAAACCTAAAAAATGAATAGCATTGTGTAAAAGTAGTGTCGAAGACCTTTTATTTATTTCATTTATTCATTCATTTGCTCATTGATTCATTCATTTAAATGGTAACACCACAGGATTTTGTCAACACATTAATACTTGGAGTGATTATAACCTCTGCATGATATGCACGGTGAAGGAATGGAAAGGTTGAAGCTATTTATTTCTTTCCTTTACCTGCCGTGCTTCATTAAGGCTCACATCGAGAGATTTTGTAACATTCTGAAGTACAGATATTGGCACTGGGATAAAAAAAGAAAAAGATAATCATGTAAGGGTGACCTACATATCAGACAAATGAAGGGATCCCTTCAAATCCATCTGAAGGGATGACTTGTCCCAAGTCATTAAACCTGACTTGTATCAAATAGTAATTTGATTAAAATTCTCCATTCAGTGTTATTAACCCTTTAAGCCCCAATATCCACATACAAATTCTCCAAACTGACCTCAATACATTTCTTGAAAGAATATGTTGAGAGAATTTCATAAAAGATCAATGCATTCTCACTTTGGTGATCATTTCAACAATTCTCATAACCTAATCTCTTGACAATGTATGGACATTGTTAGGAGCAACTTGATGTTGGTCACATCGGGACTTAAAGGGTTAAGTAAACCCTCTTTCAAGTAAAAGGCTCAGGTGTGAACAGGGCAAAAGTATTATCCCCCACACTCCATGGGGTGGTGAATGGCTCTAAGGTTCCCGTGTAAAAAGCTTATTGACTTGCTTATCTTTGGGACATTAAATAAATAAAGACATAACATTACTAACCTTCATCATTTCTGTACCTAAATGCCTCGTGAAAGAGGGTTCGAACAACATCTTTTGACTGGGCCTAGTGTAAAGTGACAACAAAATTAATGCTGTTTAACTTTTGTACTTCCACAGATTATAGTGGAGCTCCACGCATGCACGAACCGCCGCTGAGCCGAACCCCATAGCTAAAGAAAATTTGCTTATCTACCAGTCCAAGAAATTTTTGTAACTGACTGTGTGTCCATTCGTCCGTCCACACCACAGGGCAACCACTGTGGTCTCACACTTTTAAGCTAGGGTGGGAGCCTGCAATCTTATATCGCACATCCATTCGCTATTTGCACATCTCCCATAATACACCTTGTTTGCCCCCCAAAATTTTGCATAGGCTTTGTTTTTCATTTGTTGTAGGTATTACAGCCGTCCCAAGAGAAATAGAAAACAATGCTTATGCAAACTTGGGGGGGAGGGGACAAACAAGGTGCATTTTGTGGTGAATGTTGTGGTCAATTGACAGCTGCCATAAAAGGGTATCCACTGACCAGTATCACAAGACCATATTGGGGGCTCAGGTGTTGACCCATCAAAGTTCTCTGCTGCCAAAATTACTAGTTTTCAACTGATCATGGGCTCAAAACCAAGTGGATTTCTTTGCATCCATGGTTACAAGTTCATTGTTTGATGAAATTATATACATTTATTAACAGGAGCTTCGCTTTTAGCCTTGGCTAAATCAAAATTTATCTCAAGGTAATTATTTCAAACTTGTCAAACATGTGAATCCCTGGTTCCCTATCAAAATTCTGTCAGAAAGAAGGGCTTGAATTATAATTACTGCAGAATGGTTTGTCCTTCCGTCTCCACAAAGGCTGACTGACGAAGAACACCGCCAATGATAGAGAAGTGTCCTTGCAAGTTACCTTGTGTGCAGAGACCCTTCGATCTTCCTAAATAAGTCAGGAAGATTTCCGAATTATCAAGGAAGATCGAAGGGCCTCTGCTTGCAGGGTACTTGCAAGTGATATCACTACTACGATTTTAGCAATTATTTTTGCAAAATTAACAGGAATTTCATTTTAGATGGCAGGTCCACATCAGCCTCTGGTTGACTTTTACCAACCTGCGTTTACAAATAAAGTTATACACATGTATGTATGACTGTGAAAGGTTTGAACCCAGGAGTCATTTCAAAAGTAGGTTGAGTTTGATCGTCCGGGTGAACGTCAGTCCTGAATAGGACTGTTGTTGTTGACAGTGACTCTGACGTTTCGACAACCTGTGTGGTAGTCATCTTCAGAGTCAAAGTGAGTTGTATCACGTCAGTTGATGGTATTATACTCACTTTGACTCTGAAGATTGACAGGTTTTTACCAACCTGCGTTTCAAACTAAACGATTATACACATGTATGTATGTATGTATTTTGAAATCTCACTTAGAATCTGCATATTCTTATGTTCTTTTTGCTTTCATAAATGATTCCATCGTCTGATCATTTTTCTTACCTTAAGCAAAAGATTTAGAGGGTGGAAGACTTCTTCGTCCAAAACGACCGCCATCTTGACAACAGTTTCTCCTCGGGGAGGGGTGAGTCTAGTTCAAAAATACCCCCGCAAAAATTACCTAAGTAAACACAAAGATGCCTTTGCAAAATAGAGATTTTACTCATATGAATCTACATAGCCATAACGAGACATGTTTTGAGGGAACGTTTTGGTAGATAATTGAAAGTAAAATTAATTTATCCCCTGCAGGTCCCGAAGGGGATATTTTTGCTATGCCTTAGTAACCATGCGACGATAAAGATTTCCGCTACATAGTCGCACGTACGAGGGTGACTTTCCAAGAAATGAGTCGTTTTATAACGCGAAATGCTCTCCTCTCGAAAAACATTTTACTCTGCCCGAGGAAACTTTACCCCACGGCACGGAGACTCATGGAAATTGACAGTTCACAGGCGAAATTTTTGGAGGAACCTCTCATTATGGTTGACGAAGCCGATGCGGTGAAAGGTTACGAGACAAAAAGGGATTGTCATCTAAAGGCAAATATCATCGAACACGGGATGCTACATCGGGCATTCAGTGTTTTTCTGTTTAATGGCAAGAGAGAATTATTGATGCAACAAAGATCAGACAAAAAGATCACATTTCCTGGTTATATTACAAATACATGCTGCAGTCATCCGCTTCATAATGAAGAAGAGATGGAAGAATATGGAAATATTGGTGTTAGAAAAGCTGCTAAGAGAAGACTCTCTTACGAGCTGGGAATTCCAGGTGTGTGAGTATAAGTGGGTGGGTTGTGGAAATGACTACCACCACTAATTTTACTAACTTCATTTCATTTCTGCAAACTCCCCCCACAATCCCAAAGATGGCCCCCGGTGCCCTATGTAAAAGAACAAAGATGGGTTGAATTTTTGTCTGCACCTTTGAAAAAAGAACAGCAAAGTTTTGAGGGAAAAATTGACCTGATTGGAAATTCTGCCTCCCTGTCCCCCCCTTACTGGGTTTTTACATAGTTGCAGTCTTCTATTGTTTAAGATAAGTCTGGGACTTAGTTGTGTCAAATTGCATAATCTATGGAACTGTTTTGGGACACTGCTTTTATTGCCTACTTCAAGATTGGGAAGAAACTTGCTTTATAAACAGTCCTTCAGTGTTTATTCCATTTGACACTAGCCCAGTCTAATATGCAACCTGAAATGGCCAATCATTAAACAAATTTCTCTTAAAGGGAGTAACCTGTAGTAGTAGGGTTAAGTTGTTCACTACTGTTGTTTCCACAATTTTTCTTACAATTATTATCTTTCATCCATCGTCATCACCATCATCAATCTTTACTTGTCATTCCGTTGCTGCTTAGGTGTGTGCCTGGGTGTGAGCAAAAGATCAACATCATTTTTGTAATAATATTAAATTATTTGCAGCCTGACAGTTTAAATAATTTATATCAAATTTAACAGATTCTTGAAAAACAGACCTATTCGGCTAACTCAATGTTGTACCCAATTCAAGTCTCCCGGGGATAAGATTCTTTGTGTATTGTATTTGCATTCTAATGTGGCATTCACATTTAAATGATATGGAAATTCTGAAACAAAACATTTTATTCCCAGAGGGTTTGAATTGGGTACAACTTTGAGTTAGCCGAATAGGTCTATTATGCCATTTTATTTCTCTTCTTTGCAGATGATGAAATATCAGTAGATGATTTGCGATTCCTCACCAGGATTCACTACAGAGCAGGTTCAGACAAAATTTGGGGAGAACATGAAATGGACTATGTACTGTTCATGCAAAAAGAAGTAACACTGCAGCCAAATGTTAACGAAGTCAAAGACTGTTGGTATGCTTCACAGACCCAGATCAAGGAACTTCTGCAAAAATCCTCTGAAGACCCAAACACCTTAGTGACACCGTGGTTTAAATTGATTGCTGATCACTTTTTATTTAAATGGTGGGCAAGCTTGAATGACTTGTCTCACTTTGAAAATGACAGAGAAATTCACAGGATGCCAGGAATACCAACCTAGGTTGGAACTGTAAAAAAAAGAAGACATTCACGGGGACTTTATATAAGAGTGTTTTTGCTGGCAATGCAAAAAGATGCAGCAATCATTTCTATTTCTATTTATTTGATCTAAGCAAATCAACTGAGGATTGACTCAAATGTGATTTTGTGTTACATTAGTTTTGATATTAATATTTTGAGAATATAAATTGAATACCACGAACTAGGTGAAATCCTGCAAAGCAAGATGCCTGTGATTTATTTCAGTTAAATATTATGCACTGTGATTAAGAGCTTATTGCCAAGTTAGAGTCTTTCAAAAATTTTTAAACTCATAATAATACCATTAGCTGCTGACACACTGTATTTCACCAGATAACAGACTTGGTTTAACTTTAAACTTGATAGTCACAGTTAGATATAATTAAAATATCTATTTCTACACTTTGTATCAGATTTTGTCATTACTTGGGCTACCCTAACAGTGATACAGTATATCTTCATAAAAGTATTTTTACTGTCATTAAATTTCAGAAGAAGTTACACATTGTATTTTAAAATTATTAGAATAAATAATATTCAGCTAAAAAGCGATTTTTTTATAATGGGTTGTATTTTGGGGGGTCAAAATTCTTCCAGATTTTTTTGGAGGTAACTAGTATCTTTCTTAAAACCTAAAAAGGAGGTGTGTACAAATGGATATCAAAAAATGAATACTATAAGTGCATTGTAGAATGTCTAGAGAAAGAACAAAAGGCAACATGGTACATTCTTCTTACTACAGCTCTACAGGAGTAACTTAGCTATCATGTCCCAGTTGTTCAAACAATGGATAGCACTATCCACCAGATAAACCATTATCCACCAAATAAGTGTTAGTACGCTATCCACTGGATAGAGACCTGTAGTACCTGTGAATAGCATTATTCACCTTTAGAACAATTCAACCCAGGTGCATAAGTATGTAACATAAGTCCCAAAAGCTTGTAGATCTCAAGGTCCCTAAAGGAATGATAAAACTATAGAAGATAGAGTAACTAATGATAACACTTTTTTTCAAAGTACTCTATTTAGATTTTGTCAGTTATGTAAAATGATATCATACATGTTTTGCTAAAAGCAACTGAAAACAGTTATTTTGAGTTTGACTTTTGAAGGAGCTCTCTCCTCTGCAGGTGAATCTGCCTCTGAGTGAAGTGGTGGCCACTGCCTGATTTTCCTTTTTTTGGGCAGGCAGGGGGGGGGCTGCACCTTTGCTCAATTCACATTGTGGAAAATCTAATAATATCCCATTCAACGTTTGCAGGGGAGAGAGTTGAAGAGGTTGTGGAATAAGGCCTTAACTGACTACTAAACTTCAGTGTACTATTAAAAGAGTCTTATGATTCACAAGCTTAATATTATACAACGCAACTGGACGGACTTCATCAGTGGTCACTTTGGGCTTTACACCAGGCACCCAACAAGGTTATTTTTATACTTGCAATGAATAAATTAATGCAGTTTAAAAAAATATTATAAATATATTTTCTTTTCATGACTTTTTAATAAGGTGGATAGGCACTGCCCTGAATACCAGAGTTATATATCAGTGCTTGAAAAATGCACTTAACCAAAAAAAGCACAATTTTACTGGTGGCTTAACACCTAGAAAATTATTCTGAGGAAACTGAAACCTGTGTATATTAAGCAGACACCTGGCTGTCCGCTGAGTAGAATAAAATAATTATTCACACGTTTGACTGTAACTTCTCAAACTCATCAATAATTTATAAAGAAAATACAAAGGAAATTAATGTTTAATGAGTGTTGAGAAATCAGATGAAAAACTGCTCTGACATTTTGCATCCCTTAATTTCGCCTTGTAAAATCATTTTATTTGAGAAGTAATCTCAAGCATTTGACACAGTGTTTCATCACCAGATGAAATACCTCAAAGTTTGTCAAAAATACTCTGCCGCACGTCATACTGTCAACTCTCTTCTCAGTGTTTCATGTAATATATCAAACATGAGACGCAGTGTTTCATCACCAGATGAAACACCGAGAAGAGAGTTGAAAATACGACGCGTAGCGGAGTATTTTTGACGAACTTCGAGGTGTTTCATCTGGTGATGAAACATTGTGTCGAATGTTTGATATTTCTTCTCAAACAAAATCATTTTTGAAGGAGAAATTAAGGATGCAAAAATGAGCAGTTTTTCATCCAATATCCAAACACTCATTAAACATTAATTTCCTTTGAATTTTCTTTATGAATTATTAATGAGTTTGAGAACTGGTGATGAAACACTGCATCTCATGCTGGATATATTACATACACTATACATACATACAAACAGTAATATACACTGTATATTAAACTGTGCATTGAATAGTATAGCCCCGTGCAAAGATCAGAATGATTCCAAGGCTTTACACTTTCACTTTTTCATGTCACTATGCTTTAGTTGTTTCCAGGGATTCATTGTACTTCGACTCGTCTTCTACTTTTAATGCTGCCCACTTGTTTGGAATACCAATCTTGTTCCACGAGTTAGCAAACTCTACAAACTTGTCCCAGAAGTCTGCCTTTGTCGTGTTTTCAAAATATCCGTTTTCACAAGCAAATTTGCGCTACAGGTGTAAGCAAGAAATATTCCATTAGATGTTAAGCATTGATAATAAAACACAAAAAATCATTCAGCAAAATTTTCTTATAAAAGTAAGAAAAACTTTGATCCTTGTAATGTGTACTAGGGAATGAGTTAAGGAAAGTTTTAAAGTTTCCATTGATAATAAAGGCAAAACTGTACTTGTGTTTTACTAATTTTTTCAACAGTAAGAAAACATGTTTTACCAGTAGCATTGCAGTTTTAGCAGCATTTTTCATGTCTTCCTCCTTGCTTTTGAATGGTGCATACAGTTTAGCTGTAAACTCAGATATATTCAAGTGGTTCAACTTCCTGTTGAGTACCTGAATCCAAAGCATAAGAAGAGAAAATTACAAATAACTGTCATTTTTTTCTAATGCATGAAAAAGCTCCAAAAATAAACATACATGTACGTGTAGACAACTACTGACAGAAAAACAATGAAGCCGTTATCATGTGCAGACATTGCAGCACCTGGTCATAGGAATATTGAATGCAAAAGAGAGAGAAACCAAAAATGTCAAGAGCTTGCAAGGGGAATACCCAAGTAGACTTTGGATGACAACGACAAAAATACATGTACCCTACTACCAGTCATTTTTGGAGCTGTGGGGGAAAGAAAGTAACTTGAAGGAAACAGGAATCCCATGCAGCGTCAAAACTTTACAAAAGTCTGCAATGAAAACCTGTACGAATTAAGGAGATAATGATGATGTTGATCATGATAATTATATATAATTATGTCATATCTTTCACAAATATTAGTTCTTAGAACCTTTTTTCTGATATCCGCTCTCCATAATGTATATTTTTCTTTGCAGTATGAAACACAACTTGTCACATGGTGGGCATCAACCTTTTCTGTTCCTCCTAATAAGGTTGCTATCTCTTCCTGAAAACAAAGGGGCCAATAAATAAGGAGAAATATATAGAAATATCGGCTGGTAGTATAAGAATCTATTCAGTCAGTCAGCTCTCATATTTCGCTTGCCCAGCACCAGTGTGTTTCCCGCAATGACGACGACGAACGAAGTGAAAACTTCACTAAAAAATGAATTTGCATTCTTTCAGACTTAATCAGGTCTATTTGCACCCGCTCAATATGTCAAATTCAGACGACTTTTCCTGGAGTTGAATTCTTAAGGATTTTATTCAAGTTAAAAGAAAGGAAGGAAAATTTGTCATCGTATGTCCACGTCCTCCATAAAATGTGCTGCCGAACTTGGACCCTTTTAAAATGACTGCAACCCTTTTGTTTTAATATTAATTAATTAACATTTGTTTATTTTTTCCTTAGTGTATTTATTTATTTATTTATTTACTTTTTTTAAGACCCCCCACAAGAACAGATCTTCATTTTTGAAGGAGGTGGGGTTCCATGGAAGAAGAAGAAGAAATACCTTTAATTTTTCCAAAGCCCCTTGGACAAGCCATGGTCCATGAGTAACAAATACCTCCTTTGCTTTAAGCACCAGTTCTCGCTGTTAAACAAAAGTCGTAAAGTAAGACAACAAAAAGTATGAAAGAACCCAGTTGGCTAATTTGCCTTGGTTACATGCACAAAAGAAATAATGTGTAAAAGCATTCATTGTTAAAATAATATTGTTGTGTTACAGTATCCTATTACAAAATAGTATTTCACCCGATCTTGGGAAGTTCTCTCACTGGTCACTCAACAGTAGGAATTGTTTGGATCAACTCTGATTGGCTGTTACCGAGGATAGGGATCAAAGAAAATCATTTCTGATTGGCTGTTTACTAGCCCAGATGTCATTTCAACTAGCCCCAAAAACGTTTTGTTCTTCTGTTATTTAGTTTGTTAAAAACAAAATTATAGCCCGGCAAAATTGACTCGGCAGCTGAGTTTATATAGGATTAACTGCAGCAAGGTTGTGCAATGATGGATCAAAACATTAAATTATAATGCCTTAACCCTACTTCTCTTTCAAGAGGCTACCATGGCCACCTTTTCTTTCCCAGGCAACTTGTTTAAAAAAACACTGCAGCTGCCAAACATGAACACTGTTGATCAATATTACTATACACCCTGATTTATCCCTACGGATCATCTAACTGTTGATCTTTCATAATTACTTGAATATTTAATTATAATGGACCATCATGTACACCACACTATACCTCAAAACCACATGTTTTGACTGTAAAGGGAATCTTTCTTTGACATTGTACTTGTTGTTTCAACTCATGCAGTTCAGTCAGTGCTTGACGAAGAAGAACTGCATTTTCTTGGGTCTGTCTCACCAACTCATTGAGCAGCTTTTCTAAAACATGTGATAATGATGATGATATGATAATTATTATTGGATGAGCTGGTTTTTGTGATATCCAGAATAATCAAAGTCGAGGGAAGTGTTATCAGAAGAGCCTGAAAGCCAAGGCTGATAGCACTTACTGAGTTTGTTATTCCGGATATCACAAGAACCGAATGTATACAATAATAATAATTGTCTTATAATAATACATTGTTTTGAAGAAAACAACAACAAACACACTGTGGCAAGGAACCAGAATTGATGTTGTTATTGGAAATCATGCATTGCACGTGCAACCTACAGATTAGTCAGTTATCTACTAGCAGCTAACTAATCTGTAGGTTACACTGATTTCCAAAATTAGCTGGAAAGTAGGCTGTTAGCCAATGAGAAGAAAGATAATGAGTACAATGTATAATAATGATTATTATTATTATTATTGTTGTCATTGAAGATTATACAAGAAAAGTATACCTTGCAACTTTTTCTGACTCAAATACATGAGACTTTTGTCTTGTCATGACCAGAATTTCCAAAAAAATCAGAGCAAAGACTTTCTGAACACTTCCAAACATTGCCCAAAATCAAGATGTTTTAACAACTCTTTGATCACTTCAAATGCTATTTCAAAGGCAACAAGTTTAGTGTTACATGCAGGACATGAAATGAACAGTGAGCACATTTGAGAGTCAAGTGTGAGAAATTGTCAAGAGATCAAGATCAATGTCTTCATAAGTCCACAGGCGTGAGACTGACACATAATGCATGAGAGTTACAAGTAACAGCTGGCATAGTACAGTATATAATGTGACCCTCACTGTCATACATTTTACATCATAATTTCCATTTCTGAAACCTTTGGTTTCTTATATTAAATCTCCTAATGTAGTTAATGCCAGGTAAGAGGTGACAAACAGTTATTTTTACATAGTAGCACAGCTTACCTGTAGAGGGAATTGCAGCTGCTATCAGGGTGAACTGCTGGCTGGCATTAGAAGAACCTGAGGGAACGTCAATGGATGCTGATCCATTTAAGACAGTTGAGCTATCACCTAAATCTCCAGCAGCTAATGGACATGTTCCCTACAATGAAGATACTGATGAATTGAAGGCAATAATTTCTCTTGGGTTCAGTATCTGAAATGATTCAGTAGCCCAAATTCATGTCACAAGAGAGCAGTATGCTGATATTATTGTTATGCCTGCAATCCAGGCAATTATTTAATGTCTACATCTGGGTAAAATTTTTGTAAATAATTCATGCAGTCTTTTACTTTATGCAAATCACTGCTTTTGAAAACTCTTTGTCCGGACTTGAGTCTAGACTTGGGTCTGCCTGTGGTAAAACTATAATATATAATAATAAATTAGAAACATATGTGTACTGCAGAATTATTATGATATTTTAACACTAGAGCCAACCTGATAAAATCTTGGGGATGCTATAAAAGGGGTGTTTGGGGGTTGAGGTTTGGAGGGGCTGTCAATCTGTTGCCAGGTGAATGATGTGAACTAGAAATTGGCTACAGAAGAAACCACCATGTCTCTAAAGCCTGGTTCACCCTTGTGACTTAAAGACATAAGCCGAACAGTATAAGAAGGTGGTTATGTAACGTTGTTATGTTTGTAGTGTGAACAATGATGTTGACATAACAACATATAACAACATAAAAACAAAAGAAATAAAATTGATTATGTCAATGTTATGTTTATGTCCATCATTCTGTCCTTATTTTTTCGTTAGACATGGTAAAAACAAGTGTGAACAACCTTCAACATAATGACATAACAAAGAACCAAACAGAGCATGTTGAAACTATCAAATGTAGTCTTCCTCAAGCATGATTCTCAATGTGGCAGCTTCAGGGGAGGATATTGTTAGTGGAGATGTTGCAGTTGATGGGACTGATGAACTGCAATCAGAATTAGTTCAGAAATACCCTGTCTATTATGAAAAACCCTTTCACCACAAAATGAAAAATAATCCATGAAAAATAAAAAATGAAAAAAATAAAACGGTGAAAGCCATCAAAATGTTTTGAAGCTTTCGTTGGTGTTGTCTTCTCTGTAAACTTGAAACAAAGACAAATGCAACAGGTAGAGTCTTCTCTACCATCTATTTTGTTTTACTCACGTTTATGTCGTTATGTTGTTGTTCACATTGGCAACATAAGCTCCTTATAAGTTAATGTGTCATTGTGTCCCAAGTGTGAATCTAAGAGGGGTAGTGGTTTACCTGCCCAGTTGGCAAAGAGTTTAGGGTTAATCAATTCATTAAGATTGCCATGATTGTACATCTTTCCCAGGGAAGAAGTGCAATGGCACATAATTGAGCATAAGAAATTAATGCAATGAAGGTTTTTGAAACCAATAAATATGTAAAGGTTAATTCACTTCCTTTGTCTGAGATTGTATAGTCAATCTCTTAACTGTTTCAGTCCCTAGTTGAACATTGAGACTCAATAAAGACAGGAATAATATTCCTGTCTTTATCGAGTCTCAATGTTCAACAGAGTTCAACCATCAATTGAAGACTATTAACACAATTTTCACCCGGCCAGGTTTGCTGAATGTAGCATTCTACTCTGCCCATCCCGATTAATTAAGCGAACAAAATCAAACTACAACACCCCAAATTAAAGGACATTAATTTTCTGTTCCCATTAAGTTTACATTTTATATTATGTATGATTACTCTGATCTAGAAACTACTGGACTGTTTGGTGATTATAGATCGACCTACATCTGCGGATGCCTTGGATCTCTGCTTTCGATCTCTCACTGGACATCATAATTTTGCTCAGCTTTTTTGCCAGAGATGAACCCAAAACATCTAAAATCATGTGCCGTGTCCGCGTGCACTTAAAACGACCACCATTCACGAACTAAAGCCACCACGTACAGCATTTACAAGGTTGAGCGTGTTTTTTACGAAACGTTGGAAACCCTGTAAAGCCGTATTTGTCAGATGTTGGTTGGCAAGGGCAGTGGTACTTGAGAACGATATGGGAGCCATATTGGCGAAACCACGATCCGTATGTCAAAAGACAACCAAAAAATATTCTCAAGGGAAGTCTACTTTACCTCCGATTTGCTGGCTAATTCTACCTCGTCTTCATCGAAGATTAAAGTCGTCATTTTTGTGTTAAAATCGAGAAATCACTCCTGAAAAATCACAAAGATTATTCTGTACAGGGGTTTGATTTTGTGGTGAAAAGGCATTGGAAGCAAGGTCGGCGAATGTTCGGGAGCTGTCGGAACCAATCGAGGAAGACCGAGGATCTTGGATCTGGCTCATCGAGACGAAGCCTGGGTACTAGATAATCCCCTGCAAGCGTTCAAAATGGCGGCGGTAAGTAACCATGTGCATAACTAGAAAATGCCTTCTTTTCTTCCCGAAAAAGGGCTCTGTTTCATTATTTGTATTAGTCAATGTTTCCTTACGAAACGGCTTCCTTTCATCATGTTATCAGTATAAAACCATGCCATGGAAAACGACGCGCTTCCAACTTCTGCATGATCATGCATGTTTCCGTCTGCTGTCATAATCTTCATGAAACAGCGTATAGTATTGTCCCCCCGACTATTTCTTCACCCATCTTCGTTTATCAAGTGTAATTTACTTGATTCTGACTACATGACGATCTGTTTCAAACTGTAAGCATGTGTAAAATATCCTTGCTGATGATTACCTTTTTTTAATTTTATGAGCAAACAAACTTACTTATTGTAACCACGGTAAATTAAACATTGAAGCCTCTTTTTAGGTAACAAATTTTCTTCACTACAATGTTGTTTCCTTACAAGTCATTTCGTTTCAACAGTAGCCATGTAACCTTTGATAATTTTCTGGTCCATTGATATGTTTGTGTGAAACATTCGTGGTTTTAGTGTTAGGTATATTTCAAATTTCCAACCTACCAAACAGGCCTCTTATCCTCTGACTAAGGTGCTGTTTTATTACATGGAGGGAGGAGGATCCTTGCACCAGGAATATTTTAGAAGGCAGATCATCCTATTGCCATAGGTTTTCTGTATGCAGTTTACATGCAAAGGGTTTTACTTGTCTCTAGCACTAGGATCTTCCCAGTACTAGGATCCTTCCTAACTGAAAGGTAGAAACAACCCAGTAGTAGGAAGATCCTAGTTCCATATAAATGGGCTTCACTAGGAAAATCATAGTACTAGGGACAAACAAAACATAAATAGCAGGTCATTCATTGGGTAATCATGGCAAGGCTGACCATTTCATTTGGCATTAGCACAAGCTGATAATTGTGATAACTCTACTGAGAGGAAGTTATTAATGCTAGTGAAGAGAGCAGAAGGGTCCTTTTGTCACCTGTCATCATTAATTCCTTCTCTATTTGAGCACCACACGGACCAAAATTTCTGCCTGTAAACCTAAAAAGTTGTTCTTCCTCCCTCCATGTACACAGCTCATTAATCATATCGTAAAATTCCAAAAATAAGCCCCTTCATGTATAAGCCCCTCCAAATATAAGCTGTCCAAACTCCTAATGTAAAAAACTCTCCGTTAAATCGCCCCTCCAAAATAAGCTCCCCGGAGGGCTTGTACTTGGAAATTGATCTCAAATACAAAGTAAAACAAAGAAAAACGGTAAATTTCCTTTCAAAAATAAGGCTAGCCCAATCGATTTTTAAACACAAATTTCCCTCCGTACATAAGCCCCCCAAAAAGAGCCTTTAAAAAATATAAGCCAACTCTCCACAATGGCCACCTCCCTACAATGGCCACTTTTTATGGCAGACAGTCCATGCATTGACTCTTGTTTAAACCTCTCTACAATGGCTACCTCCCCACAACACCCACTTTCTTCTTTCCCCAAGGTGGCCATTGTGGAGAGGTTCAACTATATGTATGTTATATCAGCAGGGACTGTACTGAACTTCCAGGCCAAGCTAATATTAAGGGTTATTAACTGTTTAGTGTTGTAGTATAGGGTGTAGATATATGTGTGGAAGAGTTTTCGTCTAGAGAAGGGTATCTAGTAACAAAAATGACCAGTGGTAATAATAAAAGGTGTAGTCTACAGCAGGAATTGAAACTTGGATATTGATCTGCTCTATGATGTAGGATATTGGGAATTTTAGTGTTTAGTCTAAAATAGAGCTGAATTTAAAGAAACGCTGAACGTAGTCTTCTCTATTGTGTCATTATCTTTGTACATGTAGGCTGCAGCACAGAAAGTTCAAGAAGTCAGAGACATCACAAGAATTGAAAGAATAGGTCAGTAATTTAAAGAACTCATGAGTCAAAGTGAGTGGTTAAAACAAGTATTATACCACAGGAGATGTCTTACTCAATGAGATTAGAAAACCACTAAGTTATGAATTTATTTTAGGTCTTTATTTTTATTACTCATAGGAGCTCACTCTCATATTCGTGGGCTTGGCTTAGATGATGCACTGGAAGCTAGACAAGTAAGGAGAATGTTTATTCCTTGTTTTAATTATTGTGAGTACAGCAATGTATGTGTACATGTACAGTTTGTAAATTGCCTTCATGAACCCAAGGCTGTAATGCCAAACAAATTTGGCATTACTATTTTTCTCAGTCTAAACTACATATGTAATAAACTATGACAATCCAAAGCTCTAGATTTTTGTTTGCAAAATTTTGATCATTAATTTTTACAGTTACTGAGAGTCTTCACATGAGAATTCTTAATTGAGTGACAATTTCTCTGTAGGTTTCTCAGGGAATGGTTGGTCAGGTTGCAGCCAGAAGGGCAGCTGGTGTTATTTTAGAAATGATCAAGGTACTTGATTGTACATGTAGTATTTTTTATCATTGTTACTTATAAAGCAAAACCAAGTTAAAGTAACTAAAAATGTAGCTCACTGTGATGCCATTTAAAGACTGTAAGTAACAAATCATGTCAAGTCATAGAAAGAAACTTGAAAGTACATAAATGTTTTCATATAATAATCATTATGTTCTTGAGAATGTCTTTACAGTGTTGACTTTTTAGCCTTGAATGTATTTTTACCATTATTACTATTATGTAGATGTATACTCTTAGTGTTCAACTGGTAACCAGTTCACTATATAAGTCACATCTTGCAGCCTATTATTATTATTATTATTATTATTTTTATTATTGTGGGTGATAAGAGGAGCCAGCAATCCTAATCTCCAGGTTGTTATTACGCATGCGTCGCATGTATGTAGCCAGCTTTGATTTGGACTTCCACTAAGAATGAATGGAATGCACATTTGGACCTTCTATCACTTGTAATCTGATCGTGCATGTTTTGACCATCTGTCACATGAAACTTATGCAAAGCATAGGGCTGGAGGAAAAGCATTTTGACCTTTGATCATTGCCGCCCACACTCCGTAACCTTTGGTTATTACTAGTTATTTATATTAATTTGTGTTTCCTTAGGAAGGCAAGATTGCAGGAAGAGCAGTTTTGATTGCAGGACAGCCTGGCACTGGAAAAACAGCTATTGCTATGGGTAAAGTGAAGTTTGTCATTGTCTCTCATGAAATTATTGCTAAGCAACTTACAAAATGGAGATGACAGTTGTAAAGAAAACTACCACATCAAAACACTGATACAGGTTCATCTCTTTTACTACTAAGACTGACCAAAGGAAAAAAAAAAAAAAAATTCTTATAATGAAAAAAAAAATACATTTAATAAACACAGATTTATAATGCCAAAAAAAATAATGTGGTCAAGAAATGAAAAGTTTTGTGTCCATGAGAGAAAGGTCTGGAAAGCACGGATTTGTCATTTGAATGGTTACAGGATATTTTCATCTAAAAAACGACAAAAATCTACTCATTTTTGCATAATTAATTAGCTTTTTACTCTCTAATTCGATCTCTTCCTATTATTTAGCCTAAAGTAAGGACATCTTCTCACTGTTTTGACCAAACCCTAAATTTAAGGTATTTTAGTGGCTAACATCTCCCATGAGCAACAACCTATGTACTTAATTCTCACATATGCTTTGAAAGACATCTTTAAGGTTATCAAATCAATCATAAAATATTTGGGCAATCTCATACTTTATCAATAATGACGATTATGTACATCTGACTTGCTTATTTGTCATTTGACCAAAATGGAAGAAACATCTTTTTTTAAACAAAAATAGCACAAAGTTGACGAGAAGTCACAAATCAGATGCATCATTATCGATACTAAAAAGCGGAATTGTTAGAACGTGTCACCTGAGGCATGTTTTCTGTGTTATTTATGGACGTTTGGATGGATATTTTATGGGCGCTTTGAGTAAAACACAAGGAGCAAAAGTTAGTTCAAAACTTGATCGGTCGAGCTTGTAGGTGAAACAAGACTCAACAAGGATAAAAGATAGTGAATAAATGTTACATACACGTCTCTCAGGTGCTTTAGTCCAGATTTGCTGCTCAGTTTCGTCTGTTCCTTTGTGGCGTTACTTCGTGACGAGGTAATGAAATCGAAACATCTTGAAACATTGCGAATTTTCGGCTTTTCAACAATTCAAGTCTTTGAAATAAGTTGTAAACAGAAAGAACAAAATCATTCTCAAAGGACAAGAAAGATCACTGACAATCCGTCTATATCTACAGAAAACAACTACCTGCTCGAACACCCTCCATCTTTGACTTTAGACTCTGCCAAAAAGATGGAATCTGTGACGCCGGACTACCGGACTCCGGAATGCGGAATACGCTATCTATTGTTGTACGCGCCAATATCCTGTTATAACTGGTGTGTTGAAAATAGGTTGTGAAAGTCGTGTTACTTGAAATTTTGAGTTTATTCGATGTTGACATTATTTACCATGATAATAATGGTCCATAATAGCCCTTTTTGTAGTCAGACCGTGCCATGCAATTTTTAGACAATTAGTGACTTGCCACTGGGTATAATTACTTACTTAGTTGTATTTTAATCCCCGTAGTCTTACAACTATACAGGTTGGTATCTGTATCTGGGTATATTATTGACTACAAAAATATAATAATAACCGTTTTTAAACGTGTTGAGGAAAAACTTCTGAGGAATACAAAATACCCAAAAGGGGGCACTAATAGATTGCAAAAAAAGTCGGCTAGACTTCTTTGGCTATAAGGAAGGAGTAAGGTAACAGTTTCTTGAACACAGACTAATACACTATATTCACTTCTCATTTAAGCTGTCATTTGCGGATTCATATAGTAGACTAAGTTCTCTTAACGGACACCCTCGTATATAGCGAATAGCTCTACTTACGACCGCCATCACAACTCCCACACAAACTCTGGATTTTTACTTTCCCGTAGGCGGCCGCGGACACTTAAAGGGTTTACCGGCGAATTAGATGTTAGCTTTGATTTAAAGCTGTCCTAAAAAGACACTCCTCTGAAAGTTGTTTTTTTTTTCATATCATGTCCTCAGTCATATGGCTGTTTGTCACTGTTATGAATCATTCTTATATATCCGTTTCAGAGTTACCGTTTTTTCACATACTCGTCCGGTTACACTTGAAAATGCAAACTGAATTGTATGCTTTTATTTAAATTACAACAAGGCAAGAACATCAGCGTAAACATACACTAAAAAACAGTTTTTTGCTATTATCAGTGTTAATTTGTAGCTGGGAGGAGCTTCCGTAAGCGGCTATCTAACCTTTACACCACTTTTAAAGTGGCTGAATTCCACTTGCATAACTATGCTGCATATGAGATTCATTCTTGTAAGCGGCCAGATCCAGTTAAGGACACCTTTTTCTCGTCCCGAGGGCGCCCTCATACGAGAGTTTCCACTGTATTACAATTTTAGGATTTCTCTTACATTTTAACAAATTTTCGCTTAACGAGGCACAGTCGAACCTACGTGCGACCACCCAACTTAAGTGACCACTTCCCAATAAGCGATCACTTATTCAACACACCAAATATTATCCAGTCAAAGCGCTTGTAGTTGGAACCTCCTGTAAACGAACACGTCCACATCCAGTAAACGACCGCGACCACTTTTTACGATGACAGTCTGATTGAGAATTTTCCATGATGCAATGGTCTGATCTCTGCGTTCCCTGTATGTCCTAAGCTACTCGGAGTATGAGAGGAACTTTAGAAACAAATTAGATTTATCTATAGTATATTGTAACTTAAAAATTGTATACAGTACATTCAATCCAAAAAGACCTCCCTCAGTTCGACTCTCGTAAAACCCAAATTTTCCTTGGGCAACCCCATGGGCATTATTTACTGGGTGTCTTCCGACCACGCACGGACCGGAACATCAAATGTCTGTAATGTGTCTGTCCATAATTCAACATCTGCCTGCCTCAGCACGGCACACGGCTGGGCACTAAACTGGTTTTGGTGCCCAAGAGTAAGCAAAAAGGCCCTTCCGAGATCGATGTCTAGGACGAGAAAATTGACCTTACCTGGGTAGGGTGAAAAATTTGAAATCGAAGTATTACAGTTGAAATATCTCTCGGAGGGAATGTGGGAAGGTTGTTAAACATATGGAAGCAGTTGTTTGAGAAAAATATCTAACTCAATGTGAAAGGTTCAAAGCTCTTTTCATGAACTAGCTTGCAACCAGATCTCTCAGTCAATAACTGTATTAATTATTATTAAATACACAGGGGTTTCAAAACAAGCCGGAGACTAGAGTTCTGCTGGCTACTCGACTGTATATCGCTGGCTGCGCTGGTCATAACAATTAGCTTGTGACAAACAATCTCGATTGTCACAGCCGCCTGCTTTTCCAGAGTTGGCGCCTACTTCAAAACATTTTGAAACCCCTGAATACACTTTACATTCTTCATTATATTTGGCTTGATTAAAACCTTTCGAGTATCCGATCCACATGTGCATCTTTACAAATATCATTGTCTTCATTGTTTGCTAGAACATGCTATATAAATTTATGTATTTTATCAACTGTCTCATCTAAATTTGTGGGTTGTGTATCTTACCACTTGAGTTTCCACCCAGAAAGATGTGTACCATGATTTTTTTGTTAAGTGGGAGGGCTAAATCCTGAGAATTAAACCATTCTTTCAACAGATCTTCATTGAGGACAAAACGGACTTAATTTTATTACTCCATGGAAAACTTACTTTGCTAAAGAAATGTAAAACTTTATGAATGTTTTGTTTCTTACTGTAACGTTCCTCGTTGTAACATTGAAAGTCCACTTGAACATGCGAACAGCTCCTTGCTTTGCATGCTTTTTGAGTTTTCTTTTGATACCGTTCGTTCAACTAATGATTTCTTGAAGCAAACGACTGGCATGCTCTTGGTTTGCTCAAGTTGTCTTTGGTTCAATCAGCTTTCCGTACCTGAGCTTATCCAACATGAACAACGTCCACAACACGTATTAATTAGTCGCAACTTAGATTCATGTAGTGAAGGCCAGCATTTCCTTAAATTCTCAAAGGTTTCCCAACTTGAAGGAACAATGTTAAGTCTTTCTCTTGCTTCTAATACTTCAAATGCACTGGAATATTCTAATTAATGCTGAAAATAACCGCTTCTTCGACTCAAACGGGTGCACTTTCTTCGTCGCAAGATTAGCCGCCATGTTTGTTGTTTCCCAGGCTTCCCCGTGATTTTAGCACATGCGCGATTTGATTTACAATGTCACGTGCGGCTTTTCAACCAATAGAAAATTGTAAAATGAAGTTCCGTTGAATAGTTTAAATTCACGCGGACTTCACAAGCAACACAGCGATGCAAACAGAATATTTTCGTTACTTTCGGATAGATAGAAAGACTGTCTTTCAATAATACCCATGTTATTTTCGAGAGAAAGTGATCAATTGCAAAATTCTTCACAAAAAGCATGTTTCCAAGTCAGCAACTCAGCTGGATTATTGCAGAAAGGTATGTTCTTCTTGATATCGTGGTTCGTTAACAAGAGCTTACTTTGGTTTTCTAATAACTTTGCGTAAGCTTAAACCTTCAAAGATACATCTTAATTTAAGATGCATGCACAGATATGCCATTGATTGATTCTTTTTTGTTTACTGCAGAAAAAACTGTACTCTTTGTTGCAAATCGTCAATGGAATACTCTGAAAATTTTATGTTCTGACGCTAGTAGGCTGTGGCAGACTTGTCAAGACCAATGTTAAATAAAATAGGAGAAGAAATAGCATAAGTTTCCGTTATGCATGCAATGTATACTACAAGTTGGAAGCAATTCAGTTTCCAGTTAATTCATAATGACTTGAGAGTTGAACTAAACCTATAAAATTTGAGTAGGTTTGTTTATTTGAGCTTCGATTCATAATATTCATACATCTGCAGTAAGGTCAAAAATAAAAGGCAGCTCTATCTAGTCTGATGTGTGGACCTTCAGTTCAGAAAGCTGTTCAGCCACTTTGAAAGAAGCAGTCATTTAGCATTATTTTTTTCCATAAACATGCTTGTATTTTTCAAAGTTGTTTATTTACTTTGTCTTTTCACTGACATTGAGAGCTAGATTGCTTTTCTGTAACTTGGTATTCCTTAATAAGTGGAAATTGTAAATTGGCCACTATGTCATTTACTCTCATAATTATTACAATTTATAAGAAATATTTCTAACCAAAAATTAGTATATTATTAGTTATTTTATTGATGTAGGAATTAAAGGTATAAAAACTGAGCATGATAGAAAGTTTTGTTTTTATTATTATCCTCCAGGCAATAAATATTGACAAATAAACAGGATTAGACATTGATGTTTCCATTAGCCTTATGTGCCTTTTGGGAGTAACTTAAATTTACATTTAAGTTCATTTTGGGACATGTGAGTCAGTTGAACTGAGTTTCACCATGTTGATAATATGAAACCAATTTCCTTTGCCAATCAATTCTATCCAGTTTGCTTTTCACTTTTTGCCAGTTTTATATAAATCAAGTTCTTCTGAAAATACCATAAAATTATAAATAAACCAACAGATCAGGATATAAACCTGAAGTTGTTTGTGACTATATGAAAACACAACCATGCATGCAGTTGACAGTACTTCGGACAAATTTATTGCAAGCGGAAAGTGAAAATGTAAATTTGTGTGTAAATTGATCTAAGCTAGTTGATTTACTGAATATCTGCTTGTGAAACAACATACCCAATTTGTGTGAAGTGGTATGGGAAATTCTACCCTGCAAGCGGAGTTTTCTTTCTTGCATGGCTTTTAGCGTTTACAAAGTCGTTTGGGTGGCTTGTCTGTCGCGTAGTTGGTTTGTTTATGTGTAAACAAACCTCTGCTCGCAGGGTAGTGAAATTCTATTGCCATTCATGATCTCCGATCTCTGAGGATTTACATGTGAAAGCTCATGTGAAACCCCATGTGAAGTGTATGTGAAAAGAATGTGTGAATTAGTAGCATGTGAAATTCTAGATGTTTTGCCATTCAGTGAGGATTAAGTACATGTGAAAGACCATGTGAAACCCCATGTGAAGTGTATGAAAATATGTGTGAATTTAAATGAGGATTTACATGTGAAAGCCTGTGTGAAACCCCATGTGAAGTGAATGTGAAAATATGTGTGAAAGGGATGACGTCGCTTCACACCCTTTTCACATATATTTCACTATGCAAAATTTCACATGCACGTGAAATATGTGTGTGAAATGCGTGTGAAAAGTGTGTGAAAAACGTGTGAAAAATGTGTGAAAAGAGTGTGAAAATAGGACATTTTTCACACGTTTTTCACATGGTGTTTCACATACATACTCCTAGTAGTGGATCTGGTGCCAGCAGGGTAGGGCATTTGTACGCAATTTGGACACTCCCACACCAGTATGAACAAAAAAAATGGAATTCTTGTCGCAAGCCAATCTGGACGTGTCTCATGTACTTTATTTGTCTCTTTGAACTGGTCTGCACCAACATCCGGCTTCACTTCGCTGCTATTTCACGTGCAACTAAAATAGAAAAAATAGTTCTTTCCAAAACACGAAGACAAAACGACTTCTATCTCTGAGTTTGAGAAGACATGGGATCATTTATAATCATGGTCTGAATAAAGTTGCCAATAGATTTGAATTGTAAATTATTTATCAGCATACAATAACAATAAAATAATCTCAGAGAATGTCAGAAAGTCATTTTGTTCACTGAACTCTGGCTCCTGGCTCCTGGTTCCTGACTCCCGATACGATGTTTCCGTGTGGTGGCAACCGCTGCTTAAAAATGCGGGCTCCATTTAATGTCAAAGATGTCGGACGTTTGCAACATGTGAATTGAGCTACAACAGTGGCAGAAATAATTCTTTCAATGGGTTAAGAATCGGCTTTTTACCTTTCGTATTGTTTTGTCCTAAAACAACTTGATTTGGATGTTGGTGCGTAAACTGAAGGCTAACGAATTTTAGTCGTACAGCGAGTCACGACGCTGAATTACGCTGAACTGGACATCGAAGGTGGCATGAAGAACAAATCAAAGCGGGCACAAACTAGCTGTTGAGACATCTAAGAGTTACGTACATGGATTTTATTGATCGTTTATATTGTTTTTAGGGCGAAATTGTTAAAGTAAGTAGAACTGTGAATTAAATCTTTGTATGTTGTTTGTACTTGAAAAGATCGCGTATATAGCTGTCAAAAATCATCGTTAGCATTTCTTGCACAACAATTTTTATGATTTTACCGTTATTAATGTTAAATCATTGTCTGATGAGTTTTTTTGTTCGATTTCTTCTCATTCAAAAGCAAACACACGAATATTGTGAGGGCCTAAATTTTGATGAAATATGCAAAAGTCGTTCAGTCACATGAACAGTTTATGTCAACACATGGAAGAAAATGAATTGCCCAAACTTTTTATGATCTTTTTCTCAACTTAAGTGATGGCTTTAACTACTCATGCAAAAGTTATAAAGATAAGCGGTTGCTCATCAGAGATATTTGGGAATAAAATACCCTAATTTTACGTCTTACTCAAAACTTGGAAATGATGACCCAACTTAAGGGGGCTAAGAGGGGGGAAATCGAATCGGAGACTTTAAACAGTTTATTGTGCTTAAAGTCTGATGATGTCAGATTATCTCTCAGTGCATTTAAGTTCCAGGTGGCTTTTCTGTTTGTTGCACTGGCATCGTAAAGTTAGCTAATTAATTATGCATAAACGGGCAAAATGGCGATTTTTACAGGGGGAGCCCGGATCTCCCAGGGAATTTAATATTTTGACCTGACAGTCTGTCACATAAGCTAACTCCTGATACCTAACTTTTGTGCCAAGTTTGAGCGAAATCGGTGATTTGAGCATTATCACCCCCTGCCTGGTTCTGCCTGGTTTTCTCATGGACACACTCTTAAAGAGCAAAACAACAACTCCATATGTATCACTGACACTAGCCTGAAAAATTATTACAGTTCTTCTGCAATTTAAATTCCCCAAAAAACTTCACTTGCCTGTCAGGCAAGTTAAGAACAGGATTCACTATCCTGATAGCAAAATCCACAAGCCCTGGGCTATCAGACACTACTTATTTGCATGCTGCTTTGTGCATGATCTCTGTCGTTTATCGACACCTTACTTTTCTTTTCTTTGTGTCATGTTTGACAATGTTTGCTGCAGGCATGGCTCAGTCACTTGGACCAGACACTCCATTTACATCCTTAGCAGGCAGTGAAATATACTCACTGGAGATGAGCAAAACAGAGGCTCTTACACAAGCTTTTAGAAGGTCAATTGGTGTTCGAATAAAGTAAGTTTGTATCAATGGAAACATTGCAGTCTTCTTTGATGAGAAAATTGCAAAATCTCAAAACATTTCTCTCTAGATAATCATGTTTTCACAATGTTAGACTTTGCAGAACTGCAGTTGACATCTATCATTTATAATTAGGAATAAATTTTGAGGTATATCATATTTATTTTCCTTTGACAATAGTGATGATGATGGTGTGGTTAAGACTTATTTCTTTTTCCAGGGAGGAAACTGAGATCATAGAAGGTGAAGTTGTAGAAATACAAATTGACAGGCCTGCAAGTGGAACAGTGAGTTGATTTAACTGATGATGAGGGCGTTATTTCTGCATATTATTGGATATCTTCTCATGGTTAAGGTTGCATTTGCACTGAAATGTTTATTTTTCTTAATATTATTCAAAGGGAGCAAAAGTTGGTAAACTGACACTGAATCTTGCATTTGCCATTGTTATCACTCTCTAAGACTATTGTTGAAGGCTGTCAGTGGATACTAAAAGAACTTTTTTTTAACTGATGATGAGGGTGTTATTTCTGCATATTATTGGATATCTTCTCATGGTTAAGGTTGCATTTGCACTGAAATGTTTATTTTTCTTAATATTATTCATTAGGGAGCAAAAGTTGGTAAACTGACACTGAATCTTGCATTTGCCATTGTTATCACTCTCTAAGACTATTGTTGAAGGCTGCCAGTGGATACTAAAAGAACTTTTTTTAACTGATGAAGAGAGTGTTATTTCTGCATATTATTGGATATCTTCTCATGGTTAAGGTTGCATTTGCACTGAAATGTTTATTTTTCTTAATATTATTCATTAGGGAGCAAAAGTTGGTAAACTGACACTGAAAACAACTGAGATGGAAACTGTCTATGATCTGGGAACAAAGATGATAGAATCACTTACAAAAGAGAAAGTGCAAGCAGGGTAAGAATTTAGTCAGTAACAATGATATTAAAGGGTCAACTTTCTCTATAGCCAAAAAGTTAGTTTCATCAGTGTGTTGTAAATTGGCCACCATAGAAAGATTGAGAATTGATTTGAGCACTGTTGTTCCTCCAGAATTTTTTCTAGGGGAGCCCATTGGCCTCTTTTCCTGAAAAGTAAGGGCCGTATGGAAACTAAAGGGGACCAAGGTAATCTGGTCCTTGAGTTCTCTGTTACTTTATGAAAGTTGTTTTTTCTGTCAAGATGGCAGTCACATACCTCTGCCCCTCAGATGTGCATGACTGCTTAAGGTACAAATTGTAAAATGACAAGTCGTGTGTGCAAGTTGCTTTCAAACAATAACTGTTCTTGTACAGAAACTGCAGTTACTTCTTAAGCTTGGTTCATTTGACTAATGATATTGCCTTGCATTTCCAGTGACATTATAACTATTGACAAAGCAACTGGGAAGGTCTCCAAACTTGGTCGCTCATTCAACAGAGCTAGAGATTACGATGCAATGGGACCACAGGTTGGTGATGTTGTACTGATATTATTTTATTGTACTTTTATCATGGACTTATCCCTTTTGATTTGCCATCCTTGACATAGTCCTTTTCAAGACAGGTTGACACAATGTGTGAAGGAAAAAGAAACTCTAGGGAAGGAAACATGAGTATATTTTGCACATTGTAGCCTGCAGGCAGGTTCTCCATTTGAGAATTGTAAGATGTGGCGGGTCACACATGCCAATCTTTGGCAATTCACTCGCATGTGACCTCTGAATCTTGCATTTGCCATTGTTATCACTCTCTAAGACTATTGTTGAAGGCTGTCAGTGGATACTAAAAGAACTTTTTTTTAAATTTAGACCAGGTTTGTTCAATGTCCTGAGGGAGAGATACAGAAGAGAAAAGAAGTCGTTCACACTGTTACTCTTCATGAAATTGACGTCATCAACAGTAGAACACAGGGGTTCCTGGCTCTTTTCTCAGGTAAAGCAAGTTATTTGGGACCATAACCTAGTGTGACCGAATTGCGTCTCAGTGTAACTACAACAACGACCTACCTGTATATGCTCTATGTTGGGGGCATTACCCAGTGTGAACGAATTGCTTCTTAGTGTAACTCCAACGACGACCTACACGTGTATAGTGTAAGTTCGCACGTGACCTTTCTCAAACTGATGGGGTAGTAAGCGCCCTTTTCCCGCGTCTCTCTTACATGCACATGGTGAGATGACATTCAAGCCTACTGACTCTCCACCCATTTAACGTTGATTGTACTCAAAGCAGTGTTGATTGGCCATGATGTTACAATCAATGCACGACTGTATATCGTTGTAAGGAAGTTCATTTCCACTGCTGTTTTTGCTAAAGGTGATACTGGTGAAATCAAAGGAGAGGTGCGAGAGCAAATCAACGCTAAGGTGGCAGAATGGAGAGAAGAAGGAAAAGCTGATATTGTGCCAGGGGTAAGAGATTTAACACCAAATTAATTCAAGTCCTTTTTCTGTTCACTTCACCTCTCCGCAATAGCACTCAAACTCGCAACTCATCTGAAGTTTGTTTTATACTCTGTCATTAGTCATCATACACGCCTGTATTAAATATAAAGATCATCGCGGTTAAATATACAACTTTTGCTGTTGCGGAAAGAAGCCTGAAAAATTCAAGCTTATAGGTCGCGGTGACTAACGATGAACCCTTGGAACTAAGGCTATATATACTCAATACAATTGAACCTCGATTATCCGGACCTCGATTATCTGAACTTGTTTTCCTGGGCCGAGTTGTTCAAAGCTGGTTAAGATAACCCAGGGTTAGTGCGAGATTTGAATTCAGGTTTGAAAGCTTAAAAAGCATTTCAGTTTTGATTCTTTTTGACTATAAGTTGATGATTGGAAGCTATAAACTAACTGAGAAAATTATCTGACAAAATTCTTTTGAACACAAGAAAAATAAATTTCCGGGTTTTCCATACAAATGGTAAGCGCTCAAGGTGAAGACAACGAGAACACAACAACAATACATCTAATTAGCAAAACTTTGCACATGCAGCACACTTTTTTTCTAATTAGCAAAAAAACAACTTTGCACGTGCAGCGCACTTTGTTGTACATTTCTTTGCCGTTGTTTTGCACGACTAAAACGTGAAATTTCTTTTAACTTCCTAGTAACACGGTTTATGGAGGAATTGTCTGTGTTTCTGTTCACTCTGTTTTTTCACTGCCGCTCATTTTCACCTCGGTAGCCCCTAGCATTTCTCATTTTCTCACTGCGGCGATATAATTTTCATGTTTTTCTTCAAACGAAATTGTTCTCCGTTGTTATTTATTTCTCGTTCTAGCTCTTTTCTCGTTATCCAAGTTATTTGTTATCCAAGTTAATGTAGGCATAAAATTTAGTGGAACCAAAGATTCGGGTTTTTTTTTTTGTCTTTTTTTTTTCTCTCTAAAAGTCCGGGCGGCCATGTGATTTACCGCCGAATTGAGCGGGGTGCTTGAAGCGCAAAATTTCACCTCAGCTATAACATACTCCTCCCCCGACGGGCTGACTCCTGACTCCCTTCTCCCTTCCCCAGAGTCTGTACGGTCAAGGTCCGGTCATACACTGACGTCATGACCAAATTTTCTCGGATGATGGATAGATTACCACATTTTTTAGCTATGGGGTTCTGCTCGCCCGCGCCTGGAGCTCCGCTAATAGGGACTTTAAGATCCAACTACGCGGACGCCAACGAGAACGTCAAAAAAACAATAGGTTTAATTAGCAAAATAACAACTTCGCACGTGCATCACACTTTTTTGTACATTTCTTTCGCGTTTTTGCACTACTACGACGTGAAAATGCCTAATTTCGCGTTTTATGGAGGACGTACATGTAAACAAGCAACGATAAAATTTTATTTCTCTTTCTGAGCTTGAATATGGTCCCTTGAAATTCAGCTCCAGGAGGGTTCGCCTACAATTGACAAAGTAAGTGGGTAGGAATAATCACTATAAAGACTGAAAGAACGCAAATTCACTTTTTAGGCGAAGTTCTTGTCGCCGTCGCGTCGTTGGATCTTAAAGTCTCTATTAGTGTGGACTGTCGAAAACGCATCAAAATGGAAACGGTGACTGAAAATATCGCAGGTGTGTTTGTAGAATGTGCTTAGCGTTCCACTTAAGTCACAACGTGCATTGAATCGATCCATAAATGTGGGCAAAAATAATTGAATGTAACTTCGAAGACAATGAAAACTAAGTTCAGGCGGGGAATGACAATGGGAAAGCAAAGTGTCTAAAGCAAACAACTTAGTGAATCTGAGGTCCGACGCGTTAAAGACCACCACGAACCACCGCCTCATTTAACGTTAATCATTGTTGCTCATATTATTATTATTATTATTATTATTATTATTATTATTATTATTATTATTATTATTATTATCATCATTATTAGGCTCTACTCTATTCCTTAACTGTTCGCTATGCTTCCGTTGCTGCAGGTGTTGTTTATCGACGAGGTTCACATGCTTGATATTGAATGCTTCTCTTTTCTCAACCGAGCACTGGAAAATGATATGGCACCTGTTCTTATAATGGCAACAAATAGAGGAATTACAAAGTAAGTTACATTACAATTTAGTGAGAAATAGTCACACGATGCGTGGTATAACTAGCCCGCAAAGCAAGCTCGTACATGTAAAACTAATATTTTCTAGCCGTTTGAGTGTCAGCAACAGTGAGAATGATTCCTTTGGCTACTCGGTGTATTTGACCCTAATGTTTCGCGCCATTTTTTTCAACCAATTAGGTGGCAGAACAAACCAGTGGTGACCTTGGCGCCCGTGTGGTCCCGCGCTTTACCGCTGGCCACGTGTATTTTTTAAAACTGCGATTTGTTCTTTTTAACTGGTACTTTGGCTCCCCAACTCTCAATTCATTTCATAGGCAAGGATCAGTAATTCAGTGGTGGGCAAGTTGAACAAAATTGCAGTCTTTTAAATGGCTTTACTTGCTGAAAAATAGGGAAAACTTCTTCCCAACTTTTGAGAAAATCCAACCCTGATTTTGAGTATTTTAACTGTATTTCCATCCGCCTTGAAAGACTTATTCTCTAGTCATGCTAGCTGGATAAATGTATGGGTTCGTTAGCAATGTCGTACAATGCCTAAAACAGCAGGAGATCGGCCTGGTACTGTCTATTTTCTACAATCGTAATTTCTGAATACACTTCACTTGCATGTATTTTGACAAGGCCTTTTTTCTTTCCCAGAATTCGTGGTACAAATTACAAGAGTCCTCACGGCATTCCAATCGATCTTTTGGACCGGCTTTTAATTATCTCCACTTCTCCTTACCAAGAAAAGGATCTGAAGCAAATTCTTACGATACGGTAAGGGCGGAGACAACGTTTTAACACAAGATTGCATTAGTAAATCTTTGTTAGTGATTAGTCAACTCTGTCGTTTGTTTGTGTCCGATTGAACCCAGACCAAGGAGGGAGGTGTGAGCTACAGAAATGAGAGTGGTTTAATTTACAATTAGAAATAGGCATACCAGAGTTTCACCTGTAGATTGATAGGTTGTTCTGTCTGATTCTGTCAGTTGTGTTGCTAGTATTGTTGAACAATCCTCCGTTTTTGAAATTTTTCCTTCAAGAGACTGTTCACAGTCCTCTATTTTTCCGTAAGATCGTTGGGACCGATGCCCAGCCCCTCGCCATCCGTACCGGTAAGCGCTCGAACCTGACGATCTTACTACAAAACAGGATTTTGCAAACAGTCAATTCCTTGAAAGTCCCTTGAAAAATTTGCCCTTCCATTACTCTTTAGTATGTTTATGAGAAGCGTGATTGAACAGAGTTACACAGAGCTGTTAGTAACAGTTGATCGTCGAGGAATTTCCGACTGAAATTTTCAGCAACCAGAGGTATGAATAACTGGACAGATGATTAACAATGCCAGTGATTTTCATTTCGCAACTGAAGATTTGCATACTACTTTAGTCAAGAAATTATGACCGACAACTTTATTGGTTGATCCGACGAAAATGGCGACTTCATCGGACATATCATGTCCTTTCTGGACAGAAAAATTATTCGGTGTAGCCCTGATTACAAGAGGGATACCCGAGTTTCAACTCTAAGCCCTACTTGATCTGTTTGATTGAAGCCGCTGTGTAACTTGTGGGTTTGCCATAGTGGCGGATTCAGATCTTTAAGTGGGGCTCCGCTCATCCATTTCCGAAGATAAGAGGGACAAGGAGGGGGCCCAGCCTCGAAAAGAGTTTTTTTCATGACCCTGCAGGTGGTGGGGCCCGGTGGGGGCTCGGTCCCCTTGACCCGCTACTGTGTCTATATTTATGAGAAACAGCCCCCCTCTCCTTGAAATGGAATATTTTTTCCGCGCAACGGAAGAGGGCACTTACTTAGCTTACAGCGAGATATATATAGCGAAGAAATTGCTATGTACGAGGAATGCGTTGTCTTGCAGATGTGAAGAAGAGGACGTGGAGATCTCAGAAGATGCTATTTTCTTGCTAACAAAAATCGCTCAGGAAACATCGCTTAGATACTCCATTCAGTTGATTACAGCCGCCAGTCTTGTCTGCCGGAAGCGAAAGGTAGAGTTTCATAATTGGTATCAATTTTTTTTGCACTCCTAGAGAACACGTAAATTCGAGCTTCTTACTCGATAGCCTGAGTCTCGGACGAAATTTAATCCCCGGCGTTTAATAGGCCATTTGCGAATTCCAAAAACTCACACTTTCAAAACGAAGCTAAGTGTAAAACCTTTCTTGTAAAAATGAGTTTTGTTTGCATGGGAATAAAGAATCATTTTGTTCATATCAATATTTTTTAAACACTTTTTTATTGTTTTATTAGTAGTCTTTTATCATTTTACGATAATTCTCTTTCGTACACAAGAAGAATTATCATATATTTTAATATTTCATATTCTTATTAAATTATTATTATTTATTTTATTGCGATGATAGAAATTTTTTTTTTTTTAGTTTTGGTTGTATTTTTTCTGATCGGGTACTTTTTCTAGGGAGGTAAATGTCGATGACATCAAGCGTGTTTATTCTCTGTTCCTGGACGAAGCTCGATCAGCTCAATTCCTTAAAGAATACCAAACAGAATTCTTATTTCATGAAGAGGTAACCGAGCCTGCATCTGAAGCTATGGAGACTGAGGGTGAGATGGCGTGATTCCTATCCCAGTGTTCATTGCGTGTCTCAGTTTCCAAACTTCCGGATCACTAACAAGCTTGTGCGGTATTCATAGACCATCATCTCAAACCTACCAGCATGGAAAATAGAAGTTTGACTGAAATTTCCATTGCTAGTATATGTAGTGGCACGAGCAAGCTTTTTAATGTGTAGAGAGCGTTGATTGACAAACGAAATGCAGCTGCACAAGCGTTGGGCGTTTGTCATAAAGTTTTAGCTGCATAAAACAAGGATGCCTCATTTAAGACTGTCTTTGCGTGGTTATAAGCGATGAACGTCTAACTGTGTAATACTAGGATTGGTTTGTGTTGTCCTGAGCCGTTTGCAACATTTCAATGGATGGTTTTTCAGGATGTTGTAGTTACTATTTGTTACTCTATTCAATCTCCTGTGACCTTGGTTTTTATAGGCAATAAATATCATATTTAACATTTTATGGTCTAACAAAATGAATTCCTAGGTTAACTACTAGGCCAGGGCATTCCCTTTGCTTCAGCTTATTGGTAGGCGGAACAGCATATAGAAACAGCCGTAATTTGCGGGTAGGTAGTATCAGCCTTTGGAATCGTGCTACTTATCAATTATGCTTAACGCATTTCGGCATTTAACTCCTAGTTTCATTCCTTATCGTGGTGTAAAACCTGGCTGGAAATTTTGGTGGAGAAGGGATAGCAGAACCATATTTTCTTGGCAAAATCAAATAGAATCGCTGTCCCGGCCGCGTCTTTTATGTCCCATATCACTGGAGTCGATAAGGTTCAGGGTGATGAGGCATTCTAAGTGTATAATGACACCAGGTGTCACACATTTGTCATTCTGGGAACAGCCGTTAGTGATGGAAAGGCATGTTCTTCATTATGAGTATAAATGGGCTGATCTCTCGTTTTCACGAAATAATTGAATTTTATATATATATTGGCATGGTTATTGCTTGATATCGTCACATATCGTTATTTTACGACCAAACTGAGGGCCGAAAAATATTTTTTGGAGACACCGCCTCCCGCTCCCCCTTATCTGGAGTTCTGGATCCTCCACTGGCCCTTACTCGATGTCATAAGCACTTTCGGACTTCGTCCCCAACGTTGTATGTATTTAGTTGGTGGCTACTGAACTTATTGATAATTTGGTGACTGTGAAGTACTTTGTTGTAAGATTTATCAGACGTTCACTGAAACCGGCGCGCCAGTGCGCATTATAGGAGAGGGATGAAATAAGGGACTCCTTCATTTTCCCGCCATTTTTCCGCACGAACGCACTGTGGCAGCCGCCTCAGATTTCCCGCCAAACTAACTCGGTCAACTCAAAAACTATTGTCGACTAAAAAATTAAGGTCCAAAATGCACAAAGATTTTAACCAATAGCTTCCAAGAAAAACCCTTGTGTTCAAAAGAAAGAGCCGTTTACATTTCTCGAAGTTCATTAAACTTTATGTTGAAAGAAAAACACAAGGGAAGTTGAAGAAACAAGCTTTATGTCAGCGGTGAGGCAAGCAAAATACAGTAAGTACAGTACGAAGACTTTATTGTTTGTTGTTGTTGCTGTTGTTGTTGTTGTTGTTGTTGTTTTGTTTTGTTTTTTTCTTTACTGTTAGGTAGGGTAATCAAAAGTTCTTCTATTAATAACAAGTTTTTAACAAATCTTTGCTTGTCGTAGTGTTTTTGTTTTAAACAGAGCGTGTCTGCATGCTTTACGCATGATAACGGGTAGACTTGGGGGATTAGAAGATAACAAATCAAGTTTATATCTTTTTTTTGTGGAGAGGGAGAAGGGGAACGGGCATAGTAACGAAATGTTAATGAGTATAAAACAAAATAAAATAAAGTTTGAACTAACGATGAAATTGAACAACTACAAATCCATGTAAAGGAGGGATTCAAGAGTAGGTTTAGGATGACTTCTTTTACAACTTGCCACCATGCACATAATTCTCAAATCATCTTGCGTTAAGGACGGATAAATTAAGAATTGCAGCGACAATTTGCTAAAGACATAATCGCGGCACTAATGATTAGAACAACAATTGAGTCCTTTTCAATACTAAAAGAACCTCTACTGTACAATTTTATACAATTTTATTGAAGGCTTTGAGCTGGACACGTCTACGTCTGGAACAGTTGGAGTGCATGGATCCGCCACTTCGACCAGTTCATTCCTCAGCGGGGGTTCGGCTACAGGCTTCTCTCTTCCTAGACCAAGCACGTCCTCAAGAACCGCTTCAGCCAACAAAAGTTCGAGGTTTGTTAAACATCTCTTTCGTTTCCAGGGGACGTTCCATTTTTTATCCTCAACCACCCCCCTTCCCCGCCCCCCACCCCCCAATAAGGATTACGGGTTTTCGAACAGGGGGGTTCGGATTTTTTTCTTCCGAGAGGTCGATCAAAATTGGACCCGACAAACTTTTCAAAAGTGCCTACAAAAAATAAACCCTCCGGATTTCGTTTTCCAAACGGCGCCGGCAAAAATTCGAGGGTTGGGATTCCTGTTATCTTTAGTGGATAAGAAATGGAACGTCCCCAATAACCGTTTAAACAATGTTTCATTAACAATAAAAATTAAGAACCGGGGGAAAAAATTTTCACCAAGCATTCTTTGTAACTAGATAAAAAAAGAGCGCTATTTTTATTCTTTTCTGTATTCAAGACTTGACTAGAAACTCACTGATTTCAACCGATCATTATTATCTTGTATACCAGTTAACAACAAATCGTTATACAGCTTGCCCTGCGTTGTTTTCGTGGAAGGCAGATTACTTTCGATTTCCATTAATTCAAACAAATTTCCAACAAGTTGACATAAAACTTGTTTTTAGAAGATAAACTACACATTAATCGGCAAAACAAAAGACTTTTAATTTTTCCTACTAATGTGACTCACGGCTTGTTGTCGGTGATCTTTAAAACAGTTCAATCAAAGTACCGACTCCAGGAAGCTCCCTACGGACTCCCGCTCCGGGACCCAACGTCTTTACCTCAACCAGTGTGTCGCATAGAACTCCCAGTTCACGTCGCACACCACATGTCTCAAGTGCGACTCCTGGAATGCCACCGTCTTCTGTTGTGGTTGGTGAGTTAACGATTTACTCTTAGTTTTTTGAGACCAAATGACCCTTAAATTGCTTTTTACCAAAAATGAAAACAGAGATGGTAAAAGTGATGACTATCATTTAAAAAGTTTTTAAGGAAAAGAACTAAAGTCTATCTTGGCGACAGTGCTCGCAACTAACTTAAACTAATACTACTTCATGGCTTTAGTATGGATGGTCACACTGTGGGATTTTCTATTTGCATGTGATTACCATACTTTTACAAGAAGAAGTGCTTGGAAAAATGCTCTTTTTTTAAAATGCTTACTTTTCAGCAATTGTGGAAGGGCGTGGTCTTGCAAAAGGAGAGATCGGTATGGCCAGCATTGACTTAAAGAAGCCTGAACTTGTCCTTTCACAGGTCTGTCATCAGATTATTTATATTATCAATTTAATTTAGAGACTTTGATGACCAAACGCTTGCATTTTTGATGACCATCTAAAGTACTGGTAACCAATTACCCTGAAGACTTAAATTCAGATTTTATTTACTTTGTTATTTTGAATCTGATTCACAGTAACTTAGCTTTACTTTATACTGTTAGCTTCCTTACATTGTAAGTGGCCCATGATGGTGCTTCTAAAGAATAAAAATACCTCTTACCTTTAGTTGAAAGTTCCTTATGCTGTCAGTCACCTCTGAAGGTAGCTGTCTCTTTTTTGTCTCTTTTTTCAAGTTTTCAGATAACCAGACCTACGTAAAAGTGCTAACAAGATTGCAGATTTTAGAGCCTTTGGAGGTACATTTTGAAAATGTTTTCCATATTTAATTGTTTTAGTGTGAACACCTCATTAAACTGTGTGGGTGCTGTGCATCTTTTTCGAAACAAAGCCTCTCGAAGAATGGCGGAGTTGATTCAGTAGTCGCCAAACGCTTCGATTTTATGGGTTCTTTCATAATGTACAGCGTGCCCATCTGGTTCGCCAGCGCTATAAGTGCTTCAAGTTTGGTTGAAGAAAAATAAAATAATGTAGATATTAGGCCTCACATTAGGGCAGCTTTTGTGTTGAAGGGTCATCTCTAATCATGATTGTATCTTTGTTACTGTCAGATAATCATGCCTAATACAGCGTGTGAAAACGGAAACATGTCGACTTTATTCAAGCTCCTAAGTGACCAACTCCCATATACGAATCTATCAGCTGTTCAAAGAAAGTATTTCAATGAAGCAAAAGGTATTACGTTTGAGATTTGCATTGACAGACTGAATAAACGATAACATTCCGAAAGTCAAAGTCCTCAGTGAACTGACCTTAGGAGAACTGTTCGATTATGCCCTTGAGGTGCTTCTTATATTAATGGAAATAAAGCAAAGTATGGTCATTCAACTTCAGAAAAAAAGTCAGAAGCTCAGATCCATTTGTTTTGAGGATCCTTCTTTTTTCTTTCTTTTATATGTTTTATGGCAAAGTGGAGATACCTTCCTTACCAGGGATTGGCCTGCTTCATGAAGCCAGACTTTGGGGTCTTCAGTTGACCACTCATGCATACCCTTAGTTTACCGGCCATTTGTGCTTTTATGTCATTGACGTTTTTCAGAGCTTCATAGCTTCCTCGCATTGCATGATCTTGGCATCTTTCCATCTCTGCCCCTGATTTGTTTGATGGTGTCTTTCCTTACTAGGTCTAGAGTACGTAAAACAACTGTGCGTTCCTGAATACAACACTGTAGAAATGGAGGTGGCTTCAAAGTAAGTTACAGGCTCCTTTTGAAACGTCTTTAACATGTCAAAACGTATTCGAAAATTACTACTCCTCTAAGTGACAACCTTTTAATGAATTGAAAAATGAAATAAAATTCATGTGTAACATGAATTCCTTCATTTATGGTCCGTTGCTGGCGATGCATCGAAACCCTCTTCTTAATGTTTTCCTTGCAACAAGTTTATCTAGTATATATTTTTGCGACTGTATCGCAGTATTGCCGGTCAAACGTTAAATTTATTGATATTACTCTCTCGTTAATCACCATTTCATTATTCATTTTTTAAAATTATCATTTCAGGTATTACTGTCTGGCAACGGCTTCCGTAAGTATTTGAAATATCAGTAAATTATTGAAGCGAAGTTGCAGGAAAGTCTTCAAGTTTTGGCCCCGAGTTTGCGTCGTAAGCTTAAATGCTAATTCTCAAGTATTGCCGCCTAACAACATGTTATTTTTAAGAAACACTTACACGATATCTTATCAACAAGATATCTTAACCTTGGACGTCTTCATAAGTTCTAAGCATGGTTTTCTTTGGGATAATCTTAGGCTTTCCTAAAATCGATTCAAGGAAGCGGTAGACGAATCCCAGCCGCACCTTTGCCAAAGAATACTGAAAAGTAAGGATCGCGAGCCTTAATCTAGTTTCTTAATAACCAGTCCTCTTGTTTCTGAATGTTTTCAGGCTTTGCTCAAGTATGTCGAATTCATACAGAACATTGTTTATGCACCGTATTCGGTTAAGGTCCTTTTCAAAGGGAGCGAGAAGACTGCAATAATAGGTAAAATATTTTATCTAGCGTAACTGCTGGTATGACTCCGGCATACGGCTGGTATTCTGATTGCTAGTACGTAAAGTCAATTCTAGCCTCCGTGACAGGCTGGAATCTTGATTGGGGAAATTAGGGGGCGCGAGAACGCGATAGGAGCGCGTTTCAGTGTCTCTCCTTCCTGGCGCCCCCATCCCGCTCTCATGGCTGACATTCTAATTGCTAAGTACATTGTATGTATAGACAATTCCGAGCCTGCGTTGCAGGCATCTGAGAGAAAGAGGATAATTTTCTTGGTGTTGCGGACGAGTGCAATCATCAAATGACGTAATACAAAAGAGTGAACAATGTAATAAAAAATACCCACACCACAACACAAAAGCGTACCAACAATGGTGTCCGAAACACCCAGAAAGGGGCAATTTAGGGCGCGCGAGAACGTGATAGGCACGCGTTCCGTTTCTCCTTCCTCGTGCGCCCGTCCCGCTCAAGCGCTCCTTATTTCCCCTTAACCTTCAGAAGTCTGCCTCACAGGCTAAGTCAGTTCTCAATGAGACGGATACTAAATGCCGGTCCCAGTAGTGTCAGCCTTACACAGAGAGTCATAGTCAAGGAGTATAAAACGTAGGTACCAACTACAGGAGCCTTTTTACTACATAGCAGTATGTCCTTTTAAAGGTGTGTGCACCAAGTTTCCTTGGAAATTGAAACGCATTTTGGCACACTAGAATAACATTAGTTGCGTCGTTAGTGCATCAAAAGGGAGATTAAGCAACGCGACGACAATGGCAGTTCTTTCAAACTTTATAGCGTTTATTAAGCCTCGGTCAGGTTGTTCAGTTGTTGTTGCTTAAGCTCCCTTATTGCGCGAAAACGCGCCATATAGAATGAAACGTGTTTCTCATCAGGGCTTCATCAGCACTTTTGTATCGTTATTTGCCTAACTTGTCGCATTTGTCCTATTTCATTGCCAGATGCTTCCACTGCCAAGAACTTAGAACTCATTCAGAACGCTAGGGACCCTAAAAGCGGTCACTGTCTGTATGGAGTTTTAAATCACACGAAAACCGCCGGAGGAGGTAATATGAAACATGTTGTGGTTGTCTTTGTTGTATTGGAGCGGGAATTGACTGTTAACTAATCCGTCGGTCCACCTATTTCCTTTATTTTTAGCCCGTCTTCTAAGATCAAACGTTCTTCAACCTCCATGTGGTAAGCATAATTCCAACTAAGTTTATCTTTTTCGTCATTAATGATAGAAAACTGACACTCTTGTTATTTGACGGAATGAGTTGAACATGAAGGAGGTTTTTCTCTTCAAGTACATCAAGTGCCACTGAATATAAGGCTGAACCCCCGGGCTGAACTGAAACAAAAACTCCTTTTAGAGTAAAACGGAATAAGAAGTTTAGTGATAGGCTGTAGGATCGCAGAAGTTGATTTGAATACTATTCACTCGATATATTTAAGTTGTGCAGAAAAGCAGCCTAGAATTCAAAATAAAAAACTTAAACATTTAGCCATTTATACTTACTTTTTAGCATTGCAAGGTGATAAAACCTTTAATGCAGCTGTACATCAAGCTGGCAGGTTAGCTGAAAACGCGTTCATTACATAGAACTTCTTAAAATATTTTCTTGGGAGCTCAAAGATAATTGGTAGAGCGTTAGCTAGCGTTGGTCTGCTGAGCGGAATGTCAAGTTAGATGTAGTCAATTGACAGACAATACTAAGCGCCTTCTCATATTTTTCCTTTGATGTCCTTCGTTCTTGCAGATGAAGAAACAACAAACGTACGTCTGGACTGTGTAGCAGGTGGGCCGTGAGATTCTCAATGCTGTTCTCTGTATATAGCTATTATACACAGTAATTAACAATTATTCCTTGAGCCCGAATGGGCTATTGACTCAGAGGCCATGAGGGCGAGAGGAATCAGGAATTGTTTTAGTAAAATACAACTAGTTGATCAAACATATCGAGAATAAAAAACTTTTAGCTACTTAAAGCTAGACTTTAATCCCTTTTTGCCGCAAAAAGCCCGCGCTTTTCGCGACTAGTGGGCTGTAACATATAGCCCAGTAGTAGCTCAACCAATCAGAACGCAGCATTGATAATAGACCACTAGTTGGATTTTACTAATACTAAATGCTTCTTCATCAACTGCAATTTTTATCGTAATGCGGAAATCTTTCCGGGGCGTTTTTCCTTTAAATCCCAAAGAAATTGATTTCTTTTCAATAAATAACCTCCATGGTACGTACAAACCCTGTAAAATAGGGACAACATTACTTATAAGGAGTTTACCGAGCACATTATTTCGTCAGTATTATACTTGTTCTGACAATGTTGACTTATTTTACTTTTCTTTACTCTACAGAACTGACAGACAAAGAGGTATAATATCAATTTGGTTTCACGTCTAATTATTATTGCGTTCGTAGAACGCAACCCCTAGTCTTGTGTTGGGCTGCCTGTTTCTATGGGAGACCTGTGGCCGATCTAGCCAGGATGTTTTGACATTCCAGACATTGTTTAGTAAAACTCCCCACGTCTTAAAGTTATGCTTCATCTCCTTTACTATCCGCCTATTATCCATGTCAAACGCACTCCCTAATCTATGATTACTCGTAGTAATAGCAATTCTCTCTTCTTTTGTAAAGAGCCGAGCATGAAAGATGCGTGAGACCCTTAAAAACCGTTTACTATGCACTAACAGCAAACGTTAGTAATTGGCTGGGCTCACTCACTCGCTGGTGATTCGTTGCAAGGCCTGATGTTAAATGCGTCGCTGTCCGTTTGTTCTTCCCTCTCCCAGTCCTTATTTTCTCTCCTTTGAATTTAGCGATAGAATTCCACGGTCGTTAGGCCCATGTAGACGTGTAGTTTACATCTTTTAGTTTACCTGAAAGAAGCTACCCCCGATAGAAGTAATGGTCTAAAACTTTAGAGGAAAAGGATGCTACATCCGCCAAAAGTAACGAAGGTCGCAACTTGTTAATTCGGAACTTTACAATAGCACGTTTGGAGGACCCTTACTTACATCAGTTTTCTCTTTCAGGAGCTGTTCTTCGGATTGCAGTCCGGTTAGTTCAATAGTTTAAGCTGTTCCCCTCCTCGCCCATTACATAGATAGTTATTGATTTTGTAAGTAATTTTGTAAGCAAGGATCCACTGACCTAGCTCTATGTTCCCTGCTTCCTATCAAACTTTATTACTTTTTCCTGAATTGCTTTGACTCAAGGAGAAATTGAACTAAAACTGGATTTGGTAGCAGTAAATTCTCTGTGTACTAGGCCGGAAAGTGAGTGATCTCGTTTTCGGTCTTGTTGGAGTGAGGGCTCATTTCCCGAACAACGGCTAGTAATCGAGCCTGTGATAATTTTATGTTGTTTAATTTTGCGTGGAAATTCCAAATAAAATGAAAATTAATACACTAACTTCTACATGACAGTGATCGGGCGATTCCTGGACGTTGATCATTTAACTTCCATGTGCGTCCAAATTCCCAAACAAGAGACAGTCAAGACAGCCGAGTCCAAGATCACTACTGTAATTTATCTGAAGCATACCCTGGAGCTGGTCGAGCCCCTCAGGGTAGCTCTCAAGGACACAGAGGCGGAACTCTTGAAGGCTTATGACGAGGTAAATGCGCGGAATGTGAGATGATAGAAAAATTTAGAATCACATTTACGGCAAACGGCAAACGGTCAGATTCAAATTTTATACAATTTCTCAAATTAGGCATTGAGTAGAAAAAATAACGGTATAAAATAATTCTTATGGTTGAAACTTCTTGTTTTACTTTAGAAGTAATGAACAGCAAGTGACCACAATAGGGAAAGCTTGGTCACATGGTACGTGGTGTTTCTGTTTGCCGTAAACGGGATATTAAACTATAATACTGTACTCGCTCTAAATAGACTTTTTGACGTTTAGGAAAAGCTGCAGCATCCAAATCGGCAAACATTAGAGTTTTTTTATTATTTAACCCCCTTTCCCTTCCCTCGCTTCCCTCGCTTCCCTCGCACGCTAGTTTATTGCACTGTTATATGCCTGACATGCGAGGAGACGCCCCTTCCCTCCTCCCTTGTATCCTTGTGTACGCTCATGTTTGTTCACAAGTGCGCAATGCTCTTTCCATTTTACGCGATTGTAATTATTTATTCTGTTTCGTATGTGACAGTCTCTCAATGACAACAGGTTTGCGACCATTATGGAGAAGATTCAGACTGTCATTCATGATGACACTAGGTATCAGAAAGGAACTCTCAACATGAGGACCCAAAAGTGTTTTGCCGTCAAGGTACTGAAACCCTTAATCATAAGAAATCCTTAAACTCTTTCAGCATGAATTTATTTTACATTACTTTGGAAGTTCAAATTTCCGCTGTTAATAATGATGATTAATCATAATTTTGTCCTCACTGAAAATTTTACGCTGGTATTAATGCAAATATCACTTTTGAGAAATTATACTAAAGTACGCAACAATCATGAGAGCTATAGGTTTCCCTTACTGATGCGGACTGACTTTTTTCCTAAGTTAGATTGGCTTAGTTTATTATACTAATTCTAAATTATTTTACTCCCAATCATCGGAAAAACTTCGAAATTGGATGAGAAGCCTCATATTAACGGTAAGGATATACCAATATTACGCTAACAAAATATGTTGAATATTTTCAATAGCTCAAGTTATACAAAGTGGTTTTATAAGTTAATCAGTGTGTGTCCCGCTAAGAACTAGTGAAATCCATGCGTTAGATGTCACTGAGTCATGAAAACATGTATCTTTCTATACCCGTCCAGAATTGTAAAGTAAAGTGAAAATGGGATGTTCCTCGTACATATGTTGGACACAGTTTTCTGACTGCTCACTTGGCAGATTAAATAAAAAAGGGAAAAAAAAAAACAAATCAAAGGAAGTCTGCTGTCGCAAAGTGCACAAAGCTGGTCACTGGTCAATTTTGAATGTCACAAGTTTTATTCGAAGTAACAAAAGCTTAATTAAAGTCTAACAGGTGTAGTAATCCAGCACTTCCCCTCTTCTGGTTATAACGCCTGTAAATAAGTTTTGATATATGAGGTCAACTTTATACAATATGTTCATTAAAGGGAAGTAACCTTCAATGGATGAAAACAGCTGTATGTCACCCTTAAAATAATTGTTCACATGAGTGGAACAAGAATCCACAATGACCAGTCTATAAATGATGTCTATTTTGGTCAGGTGGATGAGTCGAAACAATAAAAGCACTCGGCCGTTTCAACTGTTTTTCGGTGTTTAGAATCCCTGATGAAACCCCCGCACTCGTTTTAGTGTCGCAGCTAATTTTACGAGTTTCAAGTAGTTGATTTTGTAAATGTCATTAATTTATGTTTAAGCTTTATTTCACTTATTTTTTTTTGTCTAGTTATTTATTTATTTATTTATTTATTCATCTATTTATTTGTAATTTATTACTGACTACCGTACCTATCATCTCCGCCCGCCTCGATTAACTGACTAGCACCTGCTATTTGCGGGCGGAAATGGACTTAATGTAAATGTAGATTGTTAATAATAATTAAGTGTGTGTGTGCGTGTGGCGATATTTTACTTGAAAGTGGCCCATTTTCATTCATATACATCGAGTGCTCTCAAGTATCAAAACGTATATCATGAAAATAGTGAATGAATCCCTGACTAACTACTGACAGTGTAGATAACGCGCAAATACATTTGTAGCAGCGTTACAGGTTTTGATGTACTTCAGACCCAATATCATGGTTGGTCGGATCAAACGTTTGAAATGTTTGCATTTTTGTCTTTTTATCATCTTTTTGACGTTGAATTTCATCACGCTTGTCTTGATTAACATTCGAAGTTCAAATGGTACAACTTTATCAGATCAAGACTGGTCTCCTTGGAATCAGATAGCTACCGTGATAAAAACGGGTGATTTTATTGCTGCTACACGAATAAATACTGAACAAGCTTCAACGGAGGTTACCGCTTGCGTTGTAGACCCTGCTTTGATTGAGTGCGATGGTAATGGATTCTCTGCATTACTTTTGTATACGCTGGATCATATCTTCACATGCCAAGCCTTAGGAAGCGACACGCCTATCGTATATTGGCGGAATTGCAATTCAGGATGCTCAAAAGACCCAAGTGTGAACTCTTGGAAATGGTACTTTGAGCCAATAAATCAAGGTCTCGAATTTAAAGCGAAAAAAGTAATATGTCCGCTTGGTGGGTACTTTGAGTTACCTGTACTTCGACCAGACATATGGCCAGTTTTAGACAGTAGCTTTAGAGACCGCTCAAATGTTGTTGGTTATCAAAACAGCACTATCATAACTCCAAAGGAAAGGAGAAGAGTAAACTGGTGGTTAAATCGGTTTGTTAGACCCAATGCTAGAATCAAGCAAAAGGTCAACAGTTTCTTCAGTAGGTATCTAGCGGGAAACACTCTCTTAGGAGTGCAAGTACGAGCTACCGACCACTGGCTGGAGAGACGCGAGGGAAAATTACCTACAATATCAGACTGGATAAATAAAGCAGCTCCAATTTTCGAAAAACTTTCAGAGCCCCGGAAAATATACATTGCTAGTGACAATACAGAGGTCATCGATCATTTTGTAAGGTTTTTTGGACAAAAGAAGGTAAGATGACTGTAAGATTAATGTTTCTGATCATTCGTTCTTTACATGTAAGAAACACTCGTTCAAGTAACTACTGTGCACCTCCAAAAATATTTCAAGACTTTGAATATATCCTAGGAAACAGAAAAAGTTATCTATTTACCTTTGAAGTTTTAACTTAACAATAGAAGACAACTGTTTTAACGATGTTCAAAAATGAGCAGCTGCAGTATTACTAGCTGGGTTAATCATTTCGTTTCCAGTTCTTCTCATTAGTGATGGGCACTTTTGTTTTATCAATTGTAACTGAGTGATCTTCATGGATACAGGCAGTAAAATTCAAGGTGTTAAAATGATGGGAAAAAAAGACAAGTGAAAGCAGTGGACAAATATATTTTCCTTAGCTTTCACCGCTCGTAAATTTTTTCTGTCGATCTTTGAATTTCCGTGTACTCCCTATTTCATATAGATCAGACTCAGCTACCCTATTAATCCTTTCGAGTTAAAACTTACTCATTTTAAATAACACGGTATAGTGCGGTACCATTGCCCCTCTTTCTCGGGTTACCTTTTTCATTGTTTTATCCAAAAGCGATAATAATAAGACAGAAGCCAGTAGTTTTGAGGTTCTTTAACACTTTCCATCAATTACATTAACAGCCACAATAGCATTTCAAAACGTCTTTCAAGGTAGCCATGCCAACAAAATTAATCATTCTCTTTCGCTGTAAAAAGGTTTTATTCATCGAGGCCACAAGAGCCAAAAGTTACCACGGTGAACCTCCACACGTCCTCCAGGTCCAGCACAACCCAGATCAATTTCACAAGGCTCTCGGCACGCAGGTGCTTATGGATATTTTACTCTTGGCAAAATGTGATCATTTCTTACACATTGAATCCAGTGTGGCAGCCCTGGCAAGTTACTTTAACCCTGTCATGAAAAGTCACTTTCTGGATGATACGCCCGAAAAGGTAGGGCCTTTTCAGGTCTGTGACGTATGTTTATTTCAGGATTCGTACAGAGTTTTGAACTCTTGAAAAAGTCTTGAAATTCGCCCAGCAATTTTTCGGACCTGAAAAGTCTGGAAAATGGAGATTAAGTTTGGAGAAATGGTAAAAAGTATTGAGTTTTTTCAAAGATACAACAAGTGCTTTAGAGGTGATATGTTTTCGTTTTGGTCAAATCCTATTCAATCTCGCCCGTTTGTTTGCAGCGCATCATGAAAAGAGCTTTGTTTCTGCGTTTTTTATGGTCTCCATTGATCACCTATTTGATAACCTTGGGTCTGGAAAAAGAAATTATTGTTTTCATAAAGGCTGGAAAAAGTCTTGAATTCTGGATCCTAAAATCTGTACGAACCCTGTTATTACCACATCACTTTTCTTTTCGAATTTCGAATTTTCATTATCCCTTTGCGTATCTGCAGTGCAAATAGTGGATATCACCAGGATACGTATACTCTAAGGTGCTATTAGACAACGTAGCTATCAACAGCATTAACAATGATGATTTGTCCCAGTTTTTGAACTATTATCATGCATAATAAATCAACATGAATGGTGCGTTGGTCTTCTGTTAAATTTCCGTATGCACTGCGCAGTCTCACACACGTACTTTTAGGTTGTGCCTATATATTGTCTAGTGCTTTTGCAAACGTAATCTAAATAAATGCTTTGATTGTTCTTCAGCCTCAAGACTCACACTTAAAACCACAAATGGAAAGAGAAAATCTAGATGCCGAAGAGTTTGAAGAAAACCCAGAAGATGTAAAGGGCATGAAAATATGTTTTGACAAGAACAGCCCGTTTAGTGCTTGTCCAAACATTGCGACGGGAATTTTTATTAATAAAGCTATGGCCAATAATTTTGTTTCTAATGCTTAGGGTTTACAAATATGATTGCAAAGAAATCAAAAACATTATAAGAGTGTCCGACGTTCTTTTAACTATGCCATTTATCTTAATTTCAAGTTTTCGATTTGTTTAGTTCCTGGCTTGTAATTTGACTATAACACAGGTTGTAATCGGTGACGACACAGCACTAAACTCGTTTTCTAACAAAGTATATGGTTAAAAAAACACGTTATTCCCGGAGAAACAGCTGCCGGACGACCTGGTAAGAATTGCGATCGATTTGCCTCCGTGCCTAATGTTCCTCTTTGCCCACACTGGTTCCTCTGTGCCTACTATTCCTCTGAATAATCACTAATTGATCTTTTTCAATTGCTATGTGTAATGATTAACTATTTCAGCTCTCGGTATTTGAAGGACAATCCCCAAATTCTGTCGAAGTTGATTTTCACATTCCTCTTACAAGCAGATCATGTGAAACGTTAGATGTGAAACGTTAGATGTGTTACAGGACTTATCTTCCCGATTTTGAAGATATATGGAAAGTTAATAAAAGTTCGATAAATATCCGATCAATAGGCTTTTAAGGTTCTAGAGCATTCTAACTGTTTACCTTTAAAAATGCAATGTAATGAATAGGCAATTTACTAATAAGCTTTGCATGCAGGAACATAAATATTAACAGTTTGCTTTTTTGAGAATGGGACATCTTGTCTCCAAAATTGACATCCCTCGGAAGATAGTTATCTTTTAAATGGACATTTCTACGTTTTTAGTAATTGACTTAGCTAGATAGGGTTTTGTGGCGGGCTCTTTTTGTTGGCAGATACACTCTACGCATTATTATATATGTAGACATATGGTCAACGACCAAAATGAATAGAATGAAGACACAAGAAGTGCATCCCTGCAACACCTAAATCCCAGTAGCTTTAGAATAAATTTAAGAAAATTCTGTCCTACAGTCATAGGATGCTATTATTGGAATGATATTCCTTTATCTATACTTGAAAAAACAACTAAAAAATTGTTTAAAAGAGCACTTTTCAACTATTATCTTGCTCAGTATTAATCATCGCCACACCGACTCTCAAATGTTACATTTTTTTTTATGTGTGTGTATGTGCTTTTTTTTTTCCTCTCTTTTGAATATTTTTCATATATTTTTCATAGTTTATAGGGTTTATACTTTTCTCTTTTTTTCTCTTTTAACCTAAATAAAACTGTAATTTAATCAAAGGGCAAGTAATTTGTTTAACTATTTCCTGCCCTCTCCATTTATTCTTGTAACCTGATATTTAATTCTACAAATAGCATCTTTAATTCTTCAATCTTGTAATACAATATAAATGGCTTGTAAAAAAAATAAATGGAGGAAAAAATAAACAATAAACGACCAAAAACAAATAGCGAGCTGCTAAGGAACTGAAGGAAGAAGGGTAAGCAGTTATAGATAGAGAAAGAGAGGAACATCAGGAAGAATGTAGAACCGCCTTGCGAGTAAGGAAAATAAACCTTGGAGGTTTAACTGGCTGATTTTGGTGGAGTTCCTCTCCTTTTCGCCGACCCCATCAGTAAACGACATTAAAAAGCATCGTTTACCAGTGGAGAAGCCTTCTTCATCAGTAGACACAAAAATAACCTTTATCAGAGGTGGACTGAGTTACGTTCAGCAGAGTGCTGAAAAAGAAAGTTTATCAGATGGACAAAACTTTTAGCTATCCTTTAGTTTTCTAACGGATAACAGATTATCGTTAGTGTATTTTTCCCAAAGACGGTCACACTATTGACTTTAGCACAAGCAGAAAGCACAGTACCACCTGCTGCATCGTTGCGTCACTCCAGCAGTTCGTTGTTGTTTCGCTTTGTTGCATTTCAATTACGACATGACGACATGAAATTTATTGCGGCGTCCTTTTTTTCTTTACAGCCTTTAATGCGAAGCAGCAAAGAAAAAAAAGCCAAAGAGAAAAGAAGTCACTACAGCGTTATAGACTGAGCAAAACGCATTAAGCGACAACTTATGGAAAATATTATAAAATGTTCGTATCCAAAGATGACCGGTCAAAATGACCGGCCAGACGAGAGTTTGACCGGTCAAGTCCACGATCAGGCCCGACATTGTCCGTTGACCGGCCGTTATTTTGAGCCCTGCTACAGGTTTTGATGTACTTCCGACCCAATATCATGGGGGGTCGGATCAAACGTTTGAAATGTTTGCATTTTTGTCTTTTTATCATCTTTTTGACGTTGAGTTTCATCACGCTTGTCTTGATTAACATTCGAAGTTCAAATGGTACAACTTTATCAGATCAAGACTGGTCTCCTTGGAATCAGATAGCTACCGTGATAAAAACGGGTGATTTTATTGCTGCTACACGAATAAATACTGAACAAGCTTCAACGGAGGTTACCGCTTGCGTTGTAGACCCTGCTTTGATTGAGTGCGATGGTAATGGATTCTCTGCATTACTTTTGTATACGCTGGATCATATCTTCACATGCCAAGCCTTAGGAAGCGACACGCCTATCGTATATTGGCGGAATTGCAATTCAGGATGCTCAAAAGACCCAAGTGTGAACTCTTGGAAATGGTACTTTGAGCCAATAAATCAAGGTCTTGAATTTAAAGCGAAAAAAATAATATGTCCGCTTGGTGGGTACTTTGAGTTACCTGTACTTCGACCAGACATATGGCCAGTTTTAGACAGTAGCTTTAGAGACCGCTCAAATGTTGTTGGTTATCAAAACAGCACTATCATAACTCCAAAGGAAAGGAGAAGAGTAAACTGGTGGTTAAATCGGTTTGTTAGACCCAATGCTAGAATCAAGCAAAAGGTCAACAGTTTCTTCAGTAGGTATCTAGCGGGAAACACTCTCTTAGGAGTGCAAGTACGAGCTACCGACCACTGGCTGGAGAGACGCGAGGGAAAATTACCTACAATATCAGACTGGATAAATAAAGCAGCTTCAATTTTCGAAAAACTTTCAGAGCCCCGGAAAATATACATTGCTAGTGACAATACAGAGGTCATCGATCATTTTGTAAGGTTTTTTGGACAAAAGAAGGTAAGATGACTGTAAGATTAATGTTTCTGATCATTCGTTCTTTACATGTAAGAAACACTCGTTCAAGTAACTAGTGTGCACCTCCAAAAATATTTCAGTAGTTATCTATTTACCTTTAAAGTTTTAACTTAAGGTCTCGGTAAAGGAAAACGAGGTGCCCACAGAAAAAAATTCTAGTCGCGCGAGTATTTTCGCTACAAAGGCAAGTTATATATCAAATTAAAGCTAAAAGACTAAATTACTTTATAAAAGATTTTATTTCATGGAATTTCAAAAGGCGCTTAAGTTTTCTGCTCTCGAACTCTGAGGTATCGAGTTTACTGCTGAAGCTCCAGCCCTTTCGCGTTGTTAAATATTCACTTCCTTTTTATTGCATCTGATTGACAGATAAAAGACCTGAAAAAGAGTGTGAGGAAATTTGCATATGTCTCGTATTAGGGGAATTATTGCATTTCAAACTAAAGAGTCGAATCTCGAGCGCGATTTACGCAAAGAAACTGAAATAAAATTAGTTACACAGGGAAATCGGAAAATTCCTCACACCCTTTCTGAGTCTATATCATTATCCAACATATCTGAAAGTTTCAAAGCGATAGCTTAAAACCTGTCCCGACTGGAGGTCGGAGAATTTTGACTTTTGCGTCTAAAATAGAGTGAGAGAAAATCAGCTCTAAAGATTTAGCGCGAGGTCCACGCTTGGCTGGTTAGCTCAGAAAAGGCTCATTTTAGAAGGGTTAAAAAGCACTTTCTGATTTTCTTTTTCTGCCAAAATAAAATTTAGGACCCACCCATGCCAAAAATTCCAAAAAACGAAAATCGAGCAATGTACTAAAACTTTCATTTACCGAGACCTTAACAATAGAAGACAACTGTTTTAACGATGTTCAAAAATGAGCAGCTGCAGTATTACTAGCTGGGTTAATCATTTCGTTTCCAGTTTTTCTCATTAGTGATGGGCACTTTTGTTTTATCAATTGTAACTGAGTGATCTTCATGGATACAGGCAGTAAAATTCAAGGTGTTAAAATGATGGGAAAAAAGGACAAGTGAAAGCAGTGGACAAATATATTTTCCTTAGCTTTCACCGCTCGTAAATTTTTTCTGTCGATCTTTGAATTTCCGTATACTCCCTATTTCATATAGATCAGACTCAGCTACCCTATTAATCCTTTCGAGTTAAAACTTACTCATTTTAAATAACACGGTATAGTGCGGTACCATTGCCCCTCTTTCTCGGGTTACCTTTTTCATTGTTTTATCCAAAAGCGATAATAATAAGACAGAAGCCAGTAGTTTTGAGGTTCTTTAACACTTTCCATCAATTACATTAACAGCCACAATAGCATTTCAAGACGTCTTTCACGGTAGCCATGCCAAGAAAATTAATCATTCTCTTTCGCTGTAAAAAGGTTTTATTCATCGAGGCCACAAGAGCCAAAAGTTACCATGGTGAACCTCCACACTTCCTCCAGGTCCAGCACAACCCAGATCAATTTCACAAGGCTCTCGGCACGCAGGTGCTTATGGATATTTTACTCTTGGCAAAATGTGATCATTTCTTACACATTGAATCCAGTGTGGCAGCCCTGGCAAGTTACTTTAACCCTGTCATGAAAAGTCACTTTCTGGATGATACGCCCGAAAAGGTAGGGCCTTTTCAGGTCTGTGACGTATGTTTATTTCAGGATTCGTACAGAGTTTTGAACTCTTGAAAAAGTCTTGAAATTCGCCCAGCAATTTTTCGGACCTGAAAAGTCTGGAAAATGGAGATTAAGTTTGGAGAAATGGTAAAACGTATTGAGTTTTTTCAAAGATACAACAAGTGCTTTAGAGGTAATATGTTTTCTTTTTGGTCAAATCCTATTCAATCTCGCCCGTTTGTTTGCAGCGCATCATGAAAAGAGCTTTGTTTCTGCGGTTTTTATGGTCTCCATTGATCACCTATTTGATAACCTTGGGTCTGGAAAAAGAAATTATTGTTTTGATAAAGGCTGGAAAAAGTCTTGAATTCTGGATCCTAAAATCTGTACGAACCCTGTTATTACCACATCACTTTTCTTTTCGAATTTCGAATTTTCATTATCCCTTTGCGTATCTGCAGTGCAAATAGTGGATATCACCAGGATACGTATACTCTAAGGTGCTATTAGACAACGCAGCTATCAACAGCATTAACAATGATGATTTGTCCCAGTTTTTGAGCTATTATCATGCATAATAAGTCAACATGAATGGTGCGTTGGTCTTCTGTTAAATTTCCGTATGCACTGCAGGGTCTCACACACGTACTTTTAGGTTGTGCCTATATATTGTCTAGTGCTTTTGCAAACGTAATCTAAATAAATGCTTTGATTGTTCTTCAGCCTCAAGACTCACACTTAAAACCACAAATGGAAAGAGAAAATCTAGATGCCGAAGAGTTTGAAGAAAACCCAGAAGATGTAAAGGGCATGAAAATATGTTTTGACAAGAACAGCCCGTTTAGTGCTTGTCCAAACATTGCGAAGGGAATTTTTATTAATAAAACTATGGCCAATAATTTTGTTTCTAATGCTTAGGGTTTACAAATATGATTGCAAAGAAATCAAAAACATTATAAGAGTGTCCGACGTTCTTTTGACTATGCCATTTATCTTAATTTCAAGTTTTCGATTTGTTTAGTTCCTGGCTTGTAATTTGACTATAACACAGGTTGTAATCGGTGACGACACAGCACTAAACTCGTTTTCTAACAAAGTATATGGTTAAAAAAAACACGTTATTCCCGGAGAAACAGCTGCCGGACGACCTGGTAAGAATTGCGATCGATTTGCCTCCGTGCCTAATGTTCCTCTTTGCCCACACTGGTTCCTCTGTGCCTACTATTCCTCTGAATAATCACTAATTGATCTTTTTCAATTGCTATGTGTAATGATTAACTATTTCAGCTCTCGGTATTTGAGGGACAATCCCCAAATTCTGTCGAAGTTGATTTTCACATTCCTCTTACAAGCAGATCATGTGAAACGTTAGATGTGAAACGTTAGATGTGTTACAGGACTTATCTTCCCGATTTTGAAGATATATGGAAAGTTAATAAAAGTTCGATAAATATCCGATCAATAGGCTTTTAAGGTTCTAGAGCATTCTAACTGTTTACCTTTAAAAATGCAATGTAATGAATAGGCAATTTACTAATAAGCTTTGCATGCAGGAACATAAATATTAACAGTTTGCTTTTTGAGAATGGGACATCTTGTCTCCAAAATTGACATCCCTCGGAAGATAGTTATCTTTTAAATGGACATTTCTACGTTTTTAGTAATTGACTTAGCTAGATAGGGTTTTGTGGCGGGCTCTTTTTTGTTGGCAGATACACTCTACGCATTATTATATATGTAGACATATGGTCAACGACCAAAATGAATAGAATGAAGACACAAGAAGTGCATCCCTGCAACACCTAAATCCCAGTAGCTTTAGAATAAATTTAAGAAAATTCTGTCCTACAGTCATAGGATGCTATTATTGGAATGATATTCCTTTATCTATACTTGAAAAAACAACTAAAAAATTGTTTAAAAGAGCACTTTTCAACTATTATCTTGCTCAGTATTAATCATCGCCACACCGACTCTCAAATGTTACATTTTTTTATGTGTGTGTATGTGCTTTTCTTTTTTCCTCTCTTTTGAATATTTTTCATATATTTTTCATAGTTTATAGGGTTTATACTTTTCTCTTTTTTTCTCTTTTAACCTAAATAAAACTGTAATTTAATCAAAGGGCAAGTAATTTGTTTAACTATTTCCTGCCCTCTCCATTTATTCTTGTAACCTGATATTTAATTCTACAAATAGCATCTTTAATTCTTCAATCTTGTAATACAATATAAATGGCTTGTAAAAAAAATAAATGGAGGAAAAAATAAACAATAAACGACCAAAAACAAATAGCGAGCTGCTAAGGAACTGAAGGAAGAAGGGTAAGCAGTTATAGATAGAGAAAGAGAGGAACATCAGGAAGAATGTAGAACCGCCTTGCGAGTAAGGAAAATAAACCTTGTAAGTTTAACTGGCTGATTTTGGTGGAGTTCCTCTCCTTCTCACCGACCCCATCAGTAAACGACATTAAAAAGCATCGTTTACCAGTGGAGAAGCCTTCTTCATCAGTAGACACAAAAATAACCTTTATCAGAGGTGGACTGAGTTACGTCCAGCAGAGTGCTGAAAAAGAAAGTTTATCAGATGGACAAAACTTTTAGCTATCCTTTAGTTTTCTAACGGATAACAGATTATCGTTAGTGTATTTTTCCCAAAGACGGTCACACTATTGACTTTAGCACAAGCAGAAAGCACAGTACCACCTGCTGCATCGTTGCGTCACTCCAGCAGTTCGTTGTTGTTTCGCTTTGTTGCATTTCAATTACGACATGACGACATGAAATTTATTGCGGCGTCCTTTTTTTCTTTACAGCCTTTAATGCGAAGCAGCAAAGAAAAAAAAGCCAAAGAGAAAAGAAGTCACTACAGCGTTATAGACTGAGCAAAACGCATTAAGCGACAACTTATGGAAAATATTATAAAATGTTCGTATCCAAAGATGACCGGTCAAAATGACCGGCCAGACGAGAGTTTGACCGGTCAAGTCCACGATCAGGCCCGACATTGTCCGTTGACCGGCCGTTATTTTGAGCCCTGCTACAGGTTTTGATGTACTTCAGACCCAATATCATGGTTGGTCGGATCAAACGTTTGAAATGTTTGCATTTTTGTCTTTTTATCATCTTTTTGACGTTGAGTTTCATCACGCTTGTCTTGATTAACATTCGAAGTTCAAATGGTACAGCTTTATCAGATCAAGACTGGTCTCCTTGGAATCAGATAGCTACCGTGATAAAAACGGGTGATTTTATTGCTGCTACACGAATAAATACTGAACAAGCTTCAACGGAGGTTACCGCTTGCGTTGTAGACCCTGCTTTGATTGAGTGCGATGGTAATGGATTCTCTGCATTACTTTTGTATACGCTGGATCATATCTTCACATGCCAAGCCTTAGGAAGCGACACGCCTATCGTATATTGGCGGAATTGCAATTCAGGATGCTCAAAAGACCCAAGTGTGAATTCTTGGAAATGGTACTTTGAGCCAATAAATCAAGGTCTTGAATTTAAAGCGAAAAAAGTAATATGTCCGCTTGGTGGGTACTTTGAGTTACCTGTACTTCGACCAGACATATGGCCAGTTTTAGACAGTAGCTTTAGAGACCGCTCAAATGTTGTTGGTTATCAAAACAGCACTATCATAACTCCAAAGGAAAGGAGAAGAGTAAACTGGTGGTTAAATCGGTTTGTTAGACCCAATGCTAGAATCAAACAAAAGGTCAACAGTTTTTTCAGTAGGTATCTAGCGGGAAACACTCTCTTAGGAGTGCAAGTACGAGCTACCGACCACTGGATGGAGAGACGCGAGGGAAAATTACCTACAATATCAGACTGGATAAATAAAGCAGCTTCAATTTTCGAAAAACTTTCAGAGCCCCGGAAAATATACATTGCTAGTGACAATACAGAGGTCATCGATCATTTTGTAAGATTTTTTGGACAAAAGAAGGTAAGATGACTGTAAGATTAATGTTTCTGATCATTCGTTCTTTACATGTAAGAAACACTCGTTCAAGTAACTACTGTGCACGTCCAAAAATATTTCAAGACTTTGAATATATCCTAGGAAACGAAAAAAGTGATCTACTTACCTTTTAAAATCAATAGAAGACAACTGTTTCAACGATGTTCAAAAATGAGCAGCTGCAGTAGTACGAGCTGGGTGAATCATTGCGTTTCCAATTCTTCTCATTAGTGAAGTTTAAGAGATGGACACTTTTGTTTTATCAATTGTAACTGAGTGATCTTCATGGATACAGGCAGTAAAATTCAAGGTGTTAAAATGATGGGAAAAAAAGACAAGTGAAAGCAGTGGACAAATATATTTTCCTTAGCTTTCACCGCTCGTAAATTTTTTCTGTCGATCTTTGAATTTCCGTATACTCCCTATTTCTAATAGATCAGACTCAGCTACCCTATTAATCCTTTCGAGTTAAAACTTACTCATTTCTAAATAACACGGTTATTCGGGTTAGCTTTTTCATTGTTTTATCCAAAAGCGATAATAATAAAACAGAAGCCAGTAGGTTTGAGGTTCTTTGACACTTTCCATCAATTACATTAACAGCCACGTTAGCATTTCAAGACGTCTTTCACGGTAACCATGCCACAAAAATTAATCATTCTCTTGTGCTGTAAAAAGGTTTTATTCATCGAGGCCACAAGAGCCAAAAGTTACCATGGTGAACCTCCACACGTCCTCCAAGTCCAGGGAGACCCAGATCAATTTCACAAGGCTCTCGGCACGCAGGTGCTTATGGATATTTTACTCTTGGCAAAATGTGATCATTTCTTACACATTGAATCCAGTGTGGCAGCCCTGGTAAGTTACTTTAACCCTGTCATGAAAAGTCACTTTCTGGATGATACACCCGAAAAGGCAGGGCCTCATCAGGTCTGTGACGTATGTTTATTTCAGGGTTCGTACAGAGTTTTGAACTCTTGAAAAAGTCTTGAAATAGGCCACTTGCACTAAGAGGTCACGTGACCAATGCTTCCTTTAAACAGTGAGTTGGAATGTTGCTGATGCCAAAAATTGTTAGAGCACACAAAAATTATCTTACACCCGAAATTTGGGAGGAAACGCATTTAAGGGAGATATTTTACGGCACTTTGATTTTTCAGCAAAGTAGTATTATTTGTATTGGCCGCCATGTTGGACGGCATGCTCTTGCCTTCCAACATGGCGGCCAAAACTACTTCTTGCTTATATCTTGTTCAACGTTTCGTAGTTACGCTCAGATGTGCTGTAAACGTTATCACATCATCTTTTCAACATTTTCCTTGAAGTTTAAGTGCAAAATTTGTGTTCAGAGAGAGGTAATTCATAATTTCAAAAATCTCATTTTGGTCACGTGTCCATTTACGAACTTATTCATTTTAAGAAAATGGTGCGGGTTTGAAAAACCAAATCACCATTATTTTGTTTAAGATATGACCCACTAATCGTTTTTCGAAGGCAAAATCATACAACTTTCATTTTCATAAAAATGATGTCACATGCCTCTTAGTGCAAATGGCCTATTCGGCCAGCAATTTTTCGGACCTGAAAAGTCTGGAAAATGGAGATTAGGTTTGGAAAAATGGTAAAAAGTATTGAGTTTTTTCAAAGCTACAACAAGTGCTTTAGAGGTGATATGTTTTCTTTTTGGTCAAATCCTATTCAATCTCGCCCGTTTGTTTGCAGCGCATCATGAAAAGAGCTTTGTTTCTGCGTTTTTTAAGGTCTCCATTGATCACCTATTTGATAACCTTGGGTCTGGAAAAAGAAATTATTGTTTTGATAAAGGCTGGAAAAAGTCTTGAATTCTGGATCCTAAAATCTGTATGAACCCTGTTATTACCACATCACTTTTCTTTTCGACTTTCGAATTTTCATTATCCCTTTGCGTATCTGCAGTGCAAATAGTGGTCGAATTTATAGCTTGGAGAGTAAAAAAATTAAATTTCGGTGAAAATTTCTCGCGGTTTCGGACTTATGGTAGTGCTGAATTGATTCCTCTGTTCAATTGTTTATTTCCGGGCGGAAGTATAATGCTGTTAACCGTTAGAATAGGTTAAGGCGACTCTCCTTTGTTTCCTTTATTGTTTCAAAAGTCTTAACGTTTGGTTTTGAACAGGAGCCCTCCCCACCCCCCACCCCCCTTTAGGCTTGTCTAGCATTAGATATCTAGTGTGCATATGTATACTCTAAGGTACTATTAGACAACACAGCTATCAACAACATTAACAATGATGATTTGTCCCAGTTTTTGAACTATTATCATGGATAATAAATAAACATGAATGGTGCGATGGTCGTCTGTTAAATTTCCGTATGCACTGCTCAGTCTCACACACGTACTTTTAGGTTGTGCCTATATATTGTCCAGTTCTTTTGCAAACGTAATCTAAATAAATGCTTTGATTGTTCTTCAGCCTCAAGACTCACACTTAAAGCCAAAAATGGAAAGGGAAAATCCAGATGCCGAAGAGTTTGAAGAAAACCCAGAAGATGTAAAGGGCATGAAAATATGTTTTGACAAGAACAGCCCGTTTAGTGCTTGTCCAAACATTGCGAAGGGAATTTTTATTAATAAAGCTATGGCCAATAATTTTGTTTCTAATGCTTAGGGTTTAAAAATATGATTTCAAAGAACTCAAAAACATTATAAGAGTGTCCGACGTTCTTTTAACTATGTCATTTATCTTCATTTCAGATTTTTCGATTTGTTTAGTTCCTGGCTTGTAAGTTGACTATAACACAGGTTGTAATCGGTGACGACACAGCTCTAAACTCGTTTTCTAACAACGTATTTGGTTAAAAAATACGTTCACCTTTTTTGCGCGAAAAAGGAAGGCGGTCAGCATTTATAGCAGCTGAGGCGATAAACTAAGGACGCTTGGACCAGTCCAGTTCTAAAGAGAATTTCACTATTAATCACGACTGTTCGGCCAGAATGGTATGCCCTGCAGTGGTGGATTTTCAGGGAAAATCTCTATGAAAGACTGATACTTTATTTGCAAAATGACCGGTCAGAGCAACCAGTTTGACTTTTGGTAAGCGCCCTGAAAATACTGAAAGTGGCCGAGGACAGACTCTCAGGACTTTTGGATATATCCTCCATGTTACATACTATATAGTATGTTTATTTTTTGTAGAGATTTATGTTCTTACTACGTGTTTGTAGCTCCTTGGAAAATAAAAGTACATTTGGCACTTCGCCTTATGGTCTTCATCTCAATCTCATACGTCTCATGTAAAATAAAACGATTCTTGCAAAAAGAAAATGTACTACATTATGAAATAACAATTATCACATGATTGTATCACTTAAAAGACGGGATTGCCTTGGTTCCTTCTGCACAGGCTTTTTCGTAAGTCTAAGGTGGATACACGGCCTTAACAAGCGGGGTGCTGGAGACGAGCGAGAAGCTCGAGTGGGGGATGATGGTAACGAGTGCAGAGGGGACGGCGGGAGATTGCCTTATCGTAATATTCCACTTAGTGGTTCGAAAGAGAATGTCAGGCTACGATGTCTGAATTAAAACACCTGTAACCTCAACGATAGGTTTATGAATTAAGTTGATTTCACAGTGTCACCCTCTCTTAGGTTAGAGAGATCTGGGTTTTGCTTACGCTTATGAAAAACGGCAAAGATAATTTGCACCACATGACCAAGTTATCCAATCAATCGTCCTTTACCGTTCTTTATATTTGTTCAAAACACGAAGTAGTATTTTAGGTTTAATCCATGAGAATTCTTTTGCACAGAATTCTTGGTCCCTTTACCAAGAACCAACTACTTAAAAAGGAACTTTAGCTATAGAGGTGCAACTCTCTGGAACATGCCCTGCAATCTTAGGCAAGAGAAATCTCTAAATCGTTTTAAGCAATTGTTAAACTTTCATTTTAGTTAAGTAAGTTAGGTACACGGCATTCATGGAAAACAGGTATAGTTTAGTGTAATTTTCAGTAGTATTTTTAAGAGACTCTTTAGATATGTATTTATTATTATTAAATATTGTTATGTAGTTTATACTTCATATGTAACAAAAAACCTGATGAATTTTTACCGTGTTAATATAAAGATTTGAGATTTGAGATTTGAGACGTTTGCAGTAAGTCGTAAAAGAGTTTATAAGTCTCTATTTTGATTTTCTCAAGCTCTCAGTTCCGATGAAGGAACATTTGCCTACAAGATTTTGTCTAAACTTGAGAAAATTCTCGTAATACTGTTCTTTTGTAGACGTTTGTGACAGATATGTTTATACTCAAAATTATCAATGGCTTCTCAACAGGTCTTTTAGACGTTGCGAGGAGAACATATACCGAGATTGTTGATGACATTACTGGTGAGTCTCGATATTAAGTCAGTAACGTCGTTTTTTCGCAGAGAACGGTAGAGAAATTCCCCCAAATATTAAGGCTGGTGCAGAGGCATTTTTTTCGCTCATTAAACCGTTTTATTATATATTGTCCACGCTGGCGTCGTCGCACGGTCGCATCTAAAAACAAGTAGGGTGTAGGAGCAAAACAGCAGTAGTGCAAGTGCATCACGCACTTGCACTTTTTGGGGGGGAGGGGGGTGGGGGGTGCGGAGGGATTATAAGAATCCAATTTTTCCAGCCAAACCTTCTTCGTATCCTACTTCCCGTTGTCCAGATGTCATTCTCACCATCTTAATTCATAACGAATCCCTTTGTTAAACATATAAGATCTTTTCTCAGAGATGGCTCAGAGTGCAACAATTTTCTACTTTTTCTTAGGACTTTTAATTTTCTTTTTTTGAAGAAATGCCAAAGCATTTGTTTAACGAGTTCTGGTTATTTTTGGCATAAAACAATAAGAGGTTTTTATAGCAACATTACAACCTCTAAACTAGAAATACGTAAATCGCATGACCTCGCTAAGGACTCCGGGGGAACGGCAAGTAAAGCCGAGAAGAAAATTTGTAAATCTAAAACTGATTGTAAACTATCTATCTATAGAAACTTAACAAAACTGTTATACCTAAAATGAAAACTAAACGAAAAGAAAAAGAAAAGAAATGAAGAGAACAAGGTTATGACGTCATGGCGGACACCATCGGATATATACAAGTAAAGATGAGATCTGCGAGTTTGCAGCTCGCTGGGACCCACACGTGGTTCACACACTGCGCGCGCACCTCGCGCGCGATGAGATTATAAACTCACCTCGCTCGGCGCTTCACGAGGAAAAACGCTCATGATCAGCTTTGCGTGCTTGTGAATCAAAACGAGTTCTGTGACACCCATTTGTTGTTGTTGTTGTTGTTGTTGTTGTCTGGCGAACAGTGAAAACTATACCTAAATACTAGAAACAGAACTAAGTTTTAAAAACTTGGGAACCAGCTTTAGGGCCATCTTGATTCGACGAAAATTTAAGGTGGCTCTGAACCTACTATCAAACTTTTCCGAAAGGTGAATCTAGACTCCATGCTGATCAATAATAACCAGTTACACATGCATAACTTGTTCACCAGTGGCTGGACATTTTTTTGTTACTATTATTATGGTATCTAGCTCTGTGAATAGACCACTTTCGATGTATTAAAATTCATACTTGGCTGCGAGGCTTGTGGGAACAAAACAGAAGAAATCATCCACAGGCTCAATAATGAATAGTACATTTCTTTTGCTTCATTAACTCAATCCTCGGAGCTAAGTATGGAATTGTAATATATCGGAATTGGTCTATTGACAACTTATTTTGCTAATCAATGTTGCAGAAATGATAAAGCAGCTGGGTGAGAAACACAATCTCCCGCTTAAAACTGGCTTTAATGCTACCAGAGGATTTTTCATTCAACTGACAGTAAATCGTGATCAAGATGTTGACCTCAGCTCGCTGCCGAGTGAATTTTTAAAGGTGGTTAAAGTGCGAGGTGTGGTCAGCTTTACCACAGTTGATCTGGTGAGTAAGGGTCTTACACACAAAAAAAATTAATTAATTTTAACTTGTAATTGTCGTTACGCCTTTTTCGTTTTGTGCTAACTCACAGAAGTCATGGAATGGAAATTTATTTTAAGTGGGTTGGTTGAAATTTCTAAGGACACCACACTGGAGTGCATTCTCCAGAATTGGCCTTTAGGTTATGAGAGAGTAAACTGATTATCGGAGAAATACTTTTAAACAGTACTGTCTAGTTTTGTAGTTTTGCAATGACAGCTTTTGTTATTTACTAATCGACTCACTCTATTTTCTTTGTCACATCCAATCTTTCATGGATACAGATCAAGCTTAATGGTAAGGTTACAATGAACCTCTTTCGTAATGGCGGCCTATTAATATATTCTTTTATGTATGTGATAATAAGCCTTTTTTACCTCGTTTGAAAAGGAGAATTCTTTTGTGTTTTGCACATGCTAAAGAGGTCAGAAAGGTTAATCATCCATATAAAATAATTAATATTAATAGGCTGCCATTATGAGAGAGGTCTATTCTTCTTCATTTATTATGACTTTTCTCTCAAAGTCGCAGGTCTTAAGTTCTGTTTCGTATTTCGTTTTTCAGATAGAATAAAAGAATCTTTGAACGAAATATACCTCATGACCAACGTGTAAGCAATTCAGTGCTAATTCACAGACTTTGAGAATCAACGAGCACAATAATTCTAGAGTGATGACAAAACTGTTTTATTTCTAACATAATACAGGGTTGTATCTGAACTTCTGTGTGAGATCCGTGATCATATGGGATGTCTGTACAAACTCGCTGAACTTGTCAGTGTCTTGGACATGCTAGTTTCGTTTGCCCACCTATGCACAATTTCTGACTATGGTGAGTTTTCTCTTTTTTCTTTCTTTCTATCAATGAAATGACTTACTTGCTGGAATTTGACAATCTTTGGTAAATGCATGATGTTACTTCTTATTAAGTTATGATTTAAGGTATTTGATAGGTTGTCTTTAAAGTTTGTCCAAGATTTCGTTGTTGTTTCTTTGAGTGGATCAAGGTTAGTCAGGAATTCACCCCTATTCAGGGGTGTTTTCCTGTTTTGGTCTTTTAATGTTAGTCGTACTTGAATTTAATTTCATGATAAGCTTGGAAGTATACCTTTTGTATTTAGGTAATGTTACTCAGTCTAATCTTGCCAACAGATGTGTGACCTACTTAAGTGGTCGCACTTGAGATTAAAGCTGGCCATACAATACAATACAATATTCTTTATTTAACGAAGGTGACGTAATAACCCAATGAGTTATCTAACTTACGGCCATGGGTTTTGGTCGCGTAGAGGTTCCTGTTTGGGTTTGATAACCAGCGTTTTTCCATAACCTCTTGATAACCAGGTTTCATTACTGTGTGTTCTGTTGTCGATCGTAGTCGTGTAGGTGCACTGCCAAATTATTATCCACACAGAGTTTACTTAGTCAGCTAACCCTAACATGTCCACACGATTTTGCTATCTTTAAATTTCCTCACGAGTTTCATAGCAGAAAAGCCGTGAAGCAAGCGGAGAGTGCTTTTTTGGTCACTACACGAAGAGGGCTGTGAGCAAGCATAATTGATACCTGAAGTTTAAAAAAAAATAGCTCTAGTAGCTACAGTCAAGATAGAAGTCAAACTGTGAACAGTCTTGGTATCTCTTCGCGTAGCGAGCGAGTGCTTTCACTACGGTTGTACTAACGTTGACAGTGGCTCTTAAATATATCTTGGTAGTGTTCATTTGGTGATTGTACATGTTTTTCAAACCGGTTTAAGCTTCTTGAAAACAATATTACAATCTTGCATGACTGATGTCCGTTCCATCTGACAACTCAATGTACGTTTTGGGACAAAATGAGATGTTTTTGCCGGTCGGTGTTCCCATTTTGCAGTGCGACCAGAATTCACAGACACCTTGGCAATTAAGGACGGACGTCATCCAATTCTGGACAAAATTCTTCCAGAACCACCAGTGGCAAACAACACGGTTTGTTTATACTACTCTTAGTCTTAAAGTAGAGCGATTATGGTTTGCCTTGAAAATAGTTTTCGTAAGCCATGAGTTGATTTGATTGGTAATGATGAGCACTTAAAGGCCATATTCTTTCATTTCCTCCCACGGTTACAATAGGTGGCTTGTTGCCTTCGAAGGAGATCTAAATTTATATAAACGGGATAAAAAATAATCATAGTCAAAGAAACCGACCTTCCCTAACAACCTTACTGACTTTCACCTGTTTTCGTAACTTTCAGTACGCTACTGATGGATCAAATTTCTTGCTGATAACAGGCCCTAATATGGTAAGCGTTAAACCTCCTTGAGTTTGAGGAACTTACAAATGAAACTGTAGAAAACGTGTTAAATTTACTTAAAAACAGTCCCCTTAACGTGAAGGAGGGGGCAATAATCCCTTGGGCATTAAAGGAAAAACTGTAGTAGTTTTACTCAAGTACTTTATTTCCAAATGACTTTCTGAGATGAGAATTACCCTAAGTTCTGTTTGATATCAATATTCTATATAGTTAAGGAACTATGTTTATGACATCTATGGTGGACTTAAATGGATAAATTCACATTTTTCCACTTTTTGCGGGAAAATACTGAACTAACTAATGGTAAATACAAAAGCCTAAGTACCATCAGTCTGCTAAAATGGAACTCTTACCCTAAACTACTTAAAACACTGAAACTAAGACGTGATGCAAACTAAAGAGGAATGCTGTGACCAAAAACTTACCAAAAACTCGACTACTCTTGTGATCCTTATATAAGGTTAGGGTGTTCACCTACGGATCTAATATCACGTTGAAAATTCAGTACCTCAAATTTGGGACAAAAAATTGACATTGGATTTGTATTACATTTTTCATTGAATTCGGCCCTGTTATGCTCACACGAGTCTGTTAAATGTGTAAACACTCTCTTTACTACAGAGTGGCAAATCAACGTACTTGAAACAGATCGCCTTACTTCAGATAATGGCACAGATTGGATGCTACGTACCGGCCGAGTATGCCTCTTTTAGAGCTGCTGATCAGATATTCTCCAGGATAGGAAGCGATGATGACATTGAAACTAATTCATCTACTTTTATGCTCGAAGTGAGTTTTTTTTGTGTGTGAAATTGTCAGAGGTTTTTTTTTAATTTTTCGTCTGGCAGAAGGTAACCGACTCAAATGCTCTTTTTTCTGTTTTATCTCCCTTTTTTAATAACTAATTAAAATAAGGCGCTGTGTATTTGTTTCATTTTAGATGAAGGAAGCCAACTACATTATCCAGGTGCGCACCAAACAGTTTTACTGCGGTTTCGCTGAGTTATTCTGTGACATTTTGTAGAATCCTTTTGAATTAAAGTAAGAGCTTTAAAGTAAGGCTTCTTTTTCATAGAATACAAGTGACAAATCCCTTATTATCATTGACGAACTAGGACGGGGTATGTATATTACACAACGCTGTTTTCTCCTTGTTTCTTTTTTTTATTTATTGTTTTCTTCAACACTCAAGTATCCCACCGAAACACGAGCAACTGTATATCTGTGTATAATTTCAAGAGTGATTGACACTGTGGTGTACAAGGCAAGACTTACCAGGGGCAGATCCAGAAAATTCATTGGAGTGTCGGAGGGTGCGTGGGACACTTGCCAGCCATAAAGATACTATTTATTTCAACGAGAATTCCGTTTAAAAATTATGAAGAATTTCACAGAAAAAGAAAGGGGACGGGGTCCCCTCGTCCCAACCCTAAATTCACCCATGCTCAGTATTGACCTTCCTTCTTTCAGGAACAAGCAGTGAGGAAGGGGTTGGAATCTGTTTTTCCATATGTGAGAATCTGTTAAAAAAGAAGGTAACTGTTAAACGTTTGTGCCTCCTTTTAAGACTTCTGCGAAAGACCATTTTATGATTAATTACTGTTGATAGTGTTTTTATCGTTAGTTTACGTAGCTACCCCCTTTTTGTATACTGTCCTTCAATACTGTGGAAAGGCGAGGAACTGACTGACAAAAAAGAACAACTTCAGTTGGTACCTCATTTTCAGTTTCAACAGTCGATTTAATTATTAGGAAACAAAAGGTCTTTGGAGCAAATCTGGCATTGGCATGTAGATATCTGAAAAGCCTTTCTCTTCTTTTGCCTGTTTTTTTCCGCAGGCATTTACTTTCTTCGCAACTCACTTCCTCGAGTTAACTACAATGGACAGCATCTACCCAAACGTGGAAAAGTAAGCTAAATCATTCATGATCATGTTTTTTTTTAGTAAAATGAATAAAATAATCATTTCATTTAGTGTTACAATTTTACGTAATATACATATGTGTAACAAAAAGATCTTTTTTTATTTTGCAGTTTACATTTTAAGATTCAGGTAATTCTTTTTTTTTTTTGGTTGTAACACACTTAAATTCAGTTTATGGTCAGCCCATCAAATTTTGCATATGCTATTTGCAACCACGAAAACGAAACTACAACCGCGCCCGTTGTACCACCTAAAAGCCTTTTATATTGTTTCCTTTAGCGGTTTTTGCTGGTTTGGTATTCAATCCGCCCAGATGCGGCTTTTTGAAAAAGCTTTCACAACTGAAATGCTATCACAAGCCTTAAACTTCTTAGGAAAAAAATATACTACAACCTCTACGAACTTAGAGGCCTGCGTGTACCAACAGCGTTTTCACGATTTGCTTTATAGACCGTGGGTGTATCCTACAGTAAACCTATTGAACATGGCCTATCCGACATGAAAGCTATATTTAAACAAATGTTAAAAGCACGAATTTATTTTATCATGTAGAAAAACTTCAGCGAGGAAGCCGCCTGTGAGAAGATTACTTATACTCATGTTTTATCAAAGGGAAGAACAGAAGAGAAACATTATGGCAAGTCTTTTCCCTTTTCTCCTAAATCATTTACTTTTTATTTGATGTCGGTACCACCAGAGCTTGCTGGTGGTTTTAAGGTTAAGGATTAAGTATCAGGGATTTCAATGTAACGTACATTACTAGAAGAAAGCTTAAAGACGGAAGTCATACGGCGAAAAATGACAATGAAAGAACATTCGGATATGGGCGAATAACTAAGTTTCTCAAGTGCGCAGAACACAGCTATCAGCTTTGCGGCGGTCCCTGTGTTGGCAAGCATGAAGAAGTATCGTCGAAAAAGCAACTGGGTTTTTTGCCCAATGTAAGGGAATCCGTATTTCGCAGTCCAGGAAATTTTTGCTTGTGGAATCCGGAATCCGGGAAGTTTTTGCTTGTGGCCAATCTGGGATCCTGGGTTTTGGAATCCGGAATACAGCTCAAGGAATATGGATCGCACTTCAGATTGTTTTCCGGAATCCAAGGTGTTATTACATATAACTATTTACAACTATAGCCCTTTAAAAGTGTAAAAAAGAATGCGATATGGCCTAAAATATTCTGGTTTAAAGTTTTTGTCCACTTAAAAATAAAATTACTCAATTTCGTTATGCATTTTGTCTGAAAAAGCTGTGAAGATAGATGGCCCGTACAGGTTAGCTAGACCTTTAATCTCCTATGCCGTGCTAACAGAGAAACGTCACTTAACTCCCAAGGTCTCTCTTGCTCTCGAACACCTAGAACAGACAACAATGGCTGGCGAAACGTTTCATTCTCCCCTAGCTTAATTGAAGCATATGTCGCGTTCACCCTTGTTCTAACTTCTACGTCTCATAAGCGACCAGACTAGACCAGGGAAAAGGAACAGCCCTGGTTTTGTAAAGTGGTTTTCACTTACTTGCTTTGGAAGGTTTAATTTGTTTTCTTTCCTTTTATCTCTTAAAAGGTCTGCAACTCGCTGAAATCTCAACGCTTCCATTGTCTATAGTGAACGAAGCTCGGGAAATTTCAACAGAATTGATTAGGCAGAAAGAGGTATGCGAAGCCTGCGATTTTCACTGCACAAGTGATGATGGTTGGCCACTTTAAATCTAAAAATGATGAGGCCCAAATTGCCAAAGTTGGCCTAAATAATTTCGCATTCCGTAGGAACTGAAGATGTAGGAAATATAGTGAAAACGCGAAATACCCATCGACGTAAACGTAAGCACTGAGTTGGAGAAAAGGGGTTATATTTTTTTTACAACATATTTATTCTTCTAATCGACCGTATGCTGATGTTTGAGAACGGGCTCGAATGTATTCGACCCACCCGAGACATTGTGACTAGGAAAATAATTCAGTTTCACATTGAAAAATACTGTTCATGTTGATAACATAAGGAGATTTGAATTACGTCCAGATTTTGTACCTCGTGACCAAGTTTTATATATATCACCTACTTTAGTAATTTTACGCCAGTTTCACCCATAACTATTATTTTTGCGCAGTGTTCTTCTTGTCATTTCCTGTTTGGAGAAATTTTCAACTTGGGTCTGACGTTTGTCGTTTGCCGTAACGTGATAAATTTCTGCAATTGATCTGACTTGCCCTTTTGGTCTTTCTTTTTTTAGAGAAGTCAACTTTTGTCAACGGAGAGTCGCCAACAAAGAGCCGTTTTCCGACTGGCAACAAAGCTCATTCAAGCAGCACGAAACTCGTGCCTTGATAGTGCTGGACTACGCGCTTATCTCGTGGGGCTAAAAAACCAGTTCGAGCGAGAATCTATCCCGGAAGCTGTTGAAGAATAAGACTGCTAAGGGTATCTGAAGGAATATTCAAATAAGTTGAGTTAAGTGTTGTTTTCTTTCAAAACACGCAGTTTTTAATTGAAGATTGTAAATTATTTTGTCATCAAATCCAGATAACGTCCTTCCTGCCTCGAAAAATGTTACTTCCTGTGCTTGCGCATGTAGACATCTAGACTGACATTTTACCTTGTATGTGAGAGCGTAAGACGAACTTTCTACTTATTTGCGGGTTAAATATGTACAAATAAATTTTCTTGTGCATACAAGCCAACGTACAGTTCTGACCTTACGCAAGCTCGTCTTATTTTTTGGTCGTCAGACCCCCCTGGGCTCCCGAACGCAGCCTCTCTCTGAATTGTGCAGAGGGTTTCTCGGCTCCATATGGGAAGAGATTGTCCTTAACAAAATAAAAGTGCCTTAGGAAATTCACTTTCGCTAAAGGTAAGCGAATAATCCCCAGGTCTCTTTGTTCATTGTATAAACTACGTCACCCAGGGTGTACGGAAAACGTTTAGTGACAACATGGAACTACACTTGTTCCGTTTAAATTAGAAATTGCATGCAATACATTCTTTGTCAAAAAGAACGTCTGGACCCCACCTTGGAAAGACCCCTGTGGTTCGATTAAGCGGCCACTTCCGTTAAACCGGGCCACTCAAAATCTAGCATTTGGGTGGTCACTTACGAGAGGTTCGATCAGTATTCAGTTTCCTGAGTTGCATTAGCTATTGTGGTTCATGATGACTACATATATATTAAGATGAAAGAATTTGAATTTAAAGTTTTACAACTCCACAGAAACATAAAACGGGGACAACAACTGACCCCTTTTGCGGCACTGTTGGCCGGGTTCACTGGGGCTCGGTGCTTCTCGTAACCTCCGTGACAGCCCTTAAAAACACAAATCGCTTAGTAAGCAATTGACCGTCAAAGCCGTCATCATTTGACCAAAATTTAAATCTTATCAGCCTGTGTTTTCAAGTGTTTAGTCTTAATAAGGCGCAAAATCTAAACGACGAGCAGGAATTGACATATTTCAGCTTATTTGGTAAACCTGATTCATAGGTGTCAAAGTCCTTCAGTCCCCACAGCGGATCAGAGATTAAACAGAGTTTTGTTACCGCTTCCTCTTGGTCCACCACAGTAATTCCATGCAAAGGTGTCACCGGGTTTAGAGGCTATATTTAGGTCCATGTAATGTGTACAGATCCAAAGGTGGCCATTAAATAACTGAGTTTAAGTTACTAACTCTGGACAGTTCGGTCATTAAGTTAGTGGCGTACCTCAATTAAAAATGGAAATTGCAGAACAGGAAAGCGACATATATTAGTACAACCTTCAGTATTCTATTTTTCTTCCTTCATTTCCCAGAATCAAAAACTTGACGGTTCGCAGATTGGCGCATCCATTGAATTCTCGGAAAAAGACTCGCCCAAATTCGGACTCGGGGCAACAAGGCACGCACTGAACACTTTTAGCCCAAGGTCTCTATACTGCACATGTTGACCTACATGTTCGTCATGTTCTAAACAGATGCAGAGAATATCTTCTGCAAATGGATGCCGCGACATGAAAGGCCTGACAAGGCTTGAAGCAACAGGTGGCGATAAACGAACAATTCCCGGTCAATACTGCATGGATTCCGATTGCATAACTTTTGAAAGAGAACTTAACAAATTTTGAGATAGTTTTTTGCTAATTTATCGCATTCAAGGTTATTCACTGCAAGACGCTTATGAGTTAGTATTGACGACCGCCCCAGTGAAATGGCTAGCTGGGTGAGTGTAAGATCGGTTATAGATCTTACGATAGGCGTCGTGTTTTCTGGGAAATACGTACAAAAAAAGCAAAACGTTGACTTAACTTAGCATTCCCTTGGTTAAAAAATCGCAGTAAACTGAAACCAACGTATTAGTACATTTAGCTCTGCAATGCTCTGATATTTCCTTTTCCAAATATTGAGTGTTAAGTTCCGTTCCTGAGTCAAAACGAAAACTTTGAAGTGCGTTATTTTTATCTCTCCTTAACCCAGACCACCTTCTTCGTGTGTTTATATATCCATTAACAGCAGGAAACTCGAAAAAAAAAACATACATGATTCAATAAATATTTCTTCAGTTCAAACCTTTATTGAACGATTTACATTAAAATCCCCTTCAGTTACCTCGTTAACCCGCCGCTATAGTAAACTGTCTGTTTATTTTGTGACTTCTGTAGCTTATTTTGCGATTAATGCTCCATTTCCGAGTAACAATTAGCTCCACGAAAAGAGGGTGGTCTGCCTATGATCTCTGCGATGGCTACTCATTTCACCTCTTTTGTCTATTTTGTTTTTAATTATCAGACTTTGTATACATCATAGGTTTATATACAGAGTGCCGTTGACGTTTCCCATGAGCCAACCGAGAGACATATACCGCGATATTAAGCTGCTGGATTGTTCCTGATAAAAATGGCAAAAGATGATAAAAATACACTGAGGTCGAAAAACAGTAGGGCAGACAGAGTTCACTGGTCACGAACAATGTTCGCAGATAAAAGATGTGAAAGAGTTTGCTTAATTAAGCTGGCATTTTTTATGAAGTCTTTTCGAACTGGCAAAAGGCAAGGTGGCTTAAGGGCCAAAGTCTGTACACTACAAAGTCCAAAAAGTGTGTTATCGAGTTTGTAAATGATTCGAGGTGGCTTTATTTGTCTTACTAAGAACAGTATTTTGATTAGATTTGAATATTAGCAAATAATAGAATCACTTTTCCACCTTCGCCTCGTTCCACGAAATACTCGATTTTAATCCCTTTTTAAACATTGTCGAGTAATCGTTATTGATATGAGTGTTTAATAAGCTATGCTTAATCTAGACATTGTGTAGCTCATAAGTCAACTACACCAGCAGACATTCTGAGAGTTATCCTAAATATTTATTTCATCTTCTAAAGTGAAATCTTTTTTTGGAAAAGGGGTAAATTTAACATGCAAAATACCAAGTGCTTTTGTATTGCCGTGCATGCATCAATAAACACATCAAACCAAAAATGCTTTCTACGCAAGATTCCTGATTTTTAAATTGATGGGGCAAAATCAGTCTGGTCGTTTGCTAGTTGTTCATTTCATATTGCGTTCGAGTCAGCAAGTAAATTAATCTCGCTTCCCCTGAAAGTTCTTGTAGCCTACAAACAAATCTTTTGTCGGTGACTCTGGTAAAAACGAGTCAATACACTAGGGAATGCGATCTCTTTTTGAGCTCTCTCAAGCATGGATGAGCTTGAGGTGGAGACGTACTTTATAGCTCTTGGCGCGCATTGAAAAATGTTAAGGCAATACGGATTATCATAACAATGACAAAATACTTCGAGTAGATTCTTTTGAGTGAATTCATTTGCATCATAAGCGTATAGCCGTGGCATTTTTTATTGAATTTGTTTATTGTTCATGAAGTTAAAACAAAAAATTCCAGCGGGAAAATGCAACGGCTATAAGCGTATCCAGTCTGTTATTGGAAGAGGCCTGTAGCTGAATGAATGATCGTGATCAAAGTCTATAACCGCAACGTATTTACTCACGTGTTTAAATGTTTCACTTGACAAGTCAACTTGACAGATCACGTGAAAATCGCCGCTTTTGTAGTTAAGAGCATTGTTATAAAAGCAACGTGAGGTGAAAGGTAGGTTTTAATCAGATGCAGCTAGTAAATGCAGTCAACTGCGGCAAGAAAGGAACCTCGTAAAAGGATAACTACTTTGGTTCTTTCAACTCTCACTGTCGACCTGTGTTGATCATCTAGCTGAGGAAAGAACAAAGGAAACCAGTCCAGCGAAACTCGCAGAATGGCTAACCATACAGTAGATTTCCACAAGCTTGAAGCAAACGTGAAAACCATTGGAAGCAATCTTGATCAGTTGTTTCTAATACTCATGGGCTGCCTTATATTTTGTAAGTATTCCGTCTAAGGTTTATTTCTTCCTTTTTTTTCATAATCTCATTACTTTTCATTACTGTTCAGCTCTTATTCTCTTCCGTACTCTATAGTTTGTCCGATTTCAATTCCAGCAATTTTAACAACGTTTTTGGAAAACAAAAGAATATTATGTAAACCTTACACACCTAGAATGCAATTACTATGATCCAATTCCAATAGAAGTCAGTAAAATTTCAATTTGTGCAGTTTTTACGCTTTTCAACTAAACCAATGAGTCTGCAACTAAAAGTTATCTCCCAAGGATCAAGGTCTCACGTTCGCTTTGAATACAAAAGTTCCTTTGTTATCCACAGTAGTCATTGCAAATCAATGCCTGGAAACTTCTACATTTCAATTTCATTTGGTTGTCTGCGCTTTCGAAGAAAAGAACTGATTTTAGCCGTCCTGTAACCGTGTAAGATAAATTGAACTGACTTTTCCGCATGTTTTGGTGCATGGGTGTGAGTCGTCGTCAAGGTTAAAACATCAAAACAATACAATACACGTCTAAAAATCATACAAAGCGAAGACAAAGCGATACGAAACGCGGGGAGATAATTCCTTTTGCTGTGTTAGAAACGGAAAACACTATTATTAGTTTAAAATAATTATGAACATCATTTTGATATGATTTTACTGCCGTGATGGAGCATTTTCTTCCTTGATATCATTTTACCACCGTGATGGAGCTTCTTCTTCCTTTATATCATTTTACAACCGTGATGGAGTGTTTTCTTTCTTGGTGTCATTTTACTACTGTGATGGAGCATTTTCGTCCTTGATATCCTGTTAATTTACTTTGTTTTTTGCCGTATTTTCAAATATGTGATTGACATTTTTACCGGAATGAACACTTATCCGTTGGGAGTGCAATACAACGTGAATAGAAAACTGACCTGATGGTCGTGCTTATGTAATCTTCACGGAATATGGACGGCAAGCAGTTATTTTTATAAAAACAGGATCATTAACGCATCAGGGGTAACCGCTTACTGCTGGGATCAAGTGACGGAAATGTTCTGTATGAAATTGTGCTTGATACAAA